GCATTTCTTCCCCCTCCTGCTTAGCAGCCCCCAAGGAGACTAACTGCCTACTTACAAGGAAACTAGTGGAGACTCTGAAGCCCTTTGGGGTTTTTGAAGAGAAAGAGGAACTTCAGTGCAGGATTTTAATTTTGGGAAAATTAAGGCGGTGAAAGACTGGATACGAGAAATCGGTGAAAGTGAGAAGCGTCCGCAGTCTGTAACTGAACATGCTGATGGGGAAATGTTTACATCTGGATATCACAGATTCGGAGCGCATACAAAAAAATGCAAATATGCATTGTGTGTTGCACCAAGACATATTGACTGAAGTGACTTTTTCACCTCATTCTATGATAAGTTGAAATTACAGGGAGAAGTAAAAGATGTAAGAGCTGTTGAAGAGGCATTTGTACCAGTTATCAAACTGTTTGATGGGATAGAGATTGATGTTTTGTTTGCAAGATTAGCACTGCAGACCATTCCAGGAAACTTGGACTTAAAACATGACAGTCTGCTTAAAAATTTACATGTGTTTAAGAAGTCTTAATGATTGCAGGGTTTTGATTTCATTGCAAATCAATGCAATGGTTTTACGAGATGTTTTACATCTAGTATCAAACATTGACAACTTCAGGTTAACCCTGAGGGCTATCAAACTGTGGACCAAATGCCACAACATCTACTCCAATATATTAGGTTTTCCTCGGTGGTATCTCCTGGGATATGCTTGTAGCAGGAACTTGCCAGCTTTGTCCAAATGCGATAGTTTCAACTCTTGTACATACATTTTTCTTGGTATTTTCTAAATGATATGTGTTTAGATTATATTAAAATAAAGTTGATTATAGACACTGAAAAAAAAAAAATTGTGGAGACTCTGGTTTGTATTATTTGTCTCCAAAGAGTGACGGTTCTTTTATCAGGCAGTTAGCTTGGGTGGATTGTTGTTGTTGTTTAGTTCTTAAGTCCTTTCTGGCTCTTTTTTGACCCCGTGGACTGCAGCCCTCCAGGCTGCTCTATCTGTGGGATTTCCCAGGCAAGAATACTGGAGTGGATTGCCATTTCCTTCTCCAGGGGATCTTCCTGACCCAGGGATTGAACCTGGGTCTCCTGCATTGGCAGGCAGATTCTTTACCACTGAGTCACCTGGGAAGCCCATTTTGGGTGGATACACAGTGCAAATCACACTTAAGGGGAAGCAGCTCCAATCTCAGTTTAGATTTTCTGTCTTTAGCTGAGTTACTTGAATCTGAACAACACATTTGTGGTCCAGAGCTTGGGCAAAGATGTGGGCAGACAGAACTTGGTGGTTGCTGCCTCTTCCCTTCTGAGACTCCCATCTTTTCCTCCAGTGGCTTCAGTTGCCCTGGCTCAGTACTTGTACTGTGATTGTCCACCAGCATAATGTACCTACTGCTTTGTTAGCTGCCAAGTTATAACAGCAAAAATAGGAAACTTTCTCTGCACAATTTCCTCCTGAGTGTAAACTCCCCATCAAACTTTCTGTCTCCCTTCATTCTCCAGTAGTCTTTAAGTAGCTGTTTTTCCTATTATGTTCAGGTTTTACAGTTATTTGTTGGAGGGGTCATTCTCAAGCATAGTACTCAGTCATTATTAGACATCCTTAGGTGTAGTCTAAATAATTAATCTATTTCTTCCACATTTTCCTCTATTTCTTGAACATATCAGTTTAAACTCCTTTTCAACCTTCTCAACAATATTTGGCTCACCTGTTTCTATTTTCTACTTTGCTCTGGTTTTAAATAATATGGTCTTATCTCTTGACTTGCTAGTGATTCTTACTGGAGTCAGAAATTGTATATAAAAAAAATTATAGCACCTCTAGATTTTTGTTTCCAGTCTTTTCTCTGTTACACCAAGAGAATGGGGGTTGATCACCTTAATCCACTCAGAGACCACATGGTTTGAGGTTGCACTGGGATTTTAATAAGCCTCAGTCTGCCTGTTTCACCTTGTTTCTAGTAAGGAGCCCTACTGAGCTTTGAACTGAAAGACCCGTGTGTTCACCAGTCCCTGCCCCATCATGGGTCCTGAATTCTAATCATCAGCACCATTAGTCTGACAAAAATTCGATTCTGCTTTTCAGAAGTTTGAGGTTTAGCTTTTTATAGCTTCTGGCCCTATACAGCTTCAGAGTTTGGTAAGTGTCTTAAAGAAATGTGTTACGTCCTTGAGGCTCTTTCAGTCCCCAGTTTTGTTCTTCCAGTGTAATGAGAGCACTAAGCTCCACTGGCTTCTCTGGTCCCCTCTGCCTGGGCAATGCTTGGATCCTCAGCCTCTTGCTCAAACCGAGTCAGCAAACACTCCCAAGGGAAAGTCTGCTGCAAACTGTCAGCTCACGTCCCTGGTTCTACTTCAGAATTTTAGGCCCTTTCATCATCTTTCCTTCAGCAATTCTCTAAGACCTTTTTAGACGACTTTCATATTTTGTCTGGTCTTTCTAGTTCTCTAATAGAGCATTGGTCAGCTAAAAGCAACTCTATGCAATTAAAAGTCAGCACTTTTAAAAGTGTTTATTTTCTTTCTTTGATCTTTGAAAACTAACTGCCCCAAGCATTCAATTTACATCACATCTTAAAAATATATTCCTACTGCTAAGTGAAAAAAGAAAAGCAAACTATGTTATGGCATATTCCCCATAATCACAACTGTATATAAAATATAAGTACATACCATCAAAAATATGATATTATTTATTTCTGGGGTAGGATTACCCATTTTTTCTTCTGTAAAAATGTTTCTGAAATGTTACACTGTCTGTAAGAAATTATGCAACTAAATGTAGATTGTCAAGAGGGGAGGGAGAAGGAACTCTGACTGAGATACAGAAGTGGAAAGACTAATTGCACAAATATAACTTCAATTTCGTATCACATGAATGCATTAACTATCAAGATAAAGAAAGAAACAAAGGAAGAGGGAGGGAGGGAGGGAGGTGGGAAGGAAGGGAGGAAGGAAGGAAGGAACACACACACACACACACACCCACCCACCCAAGAGACTCCTGGGACTACAAAGTGCCATTTATACTGGGAGTGAGGAAAACAAACATTTGATTGTACTCACTAGCTGCAAAGACTGCAGAGAACAATCCAGCCCTGATTCATTTGGGGACACAAAAAAATCTATCTTTTAGGGATTGTGATGAGCAAAGGGGATTATAATATTCCTGTAAGAGATTTTATGAAAAGATTCAAAATTGGGCTATTGTTATTTTTTGTACAGACGAAGGTACAGTACACATAGATGGTGGTTTTGTTAGGACTTTTTAGATCACTTCTCCCAATTATAGGGGATGAGATCTTAGGTATTTTCTTAGAACTCTGTAACTTGCTTTTAAAATATCTGATAAATCTTGACAGCACAGCTGATTAACTACAGCCTCTCTTTTCCTAGGACTTCACTGTAGGCTTCTAAACTAGGGGTCAGCATACCATGCCCTGAAGGCACATCTAGCCCATTTTGTATGGCCCTCAAGTTAAGATTAGACTTACATTTTTATGTAGTTGAAACAAAATCAATATATTTGTGACGTGGGTCATTCATCTGAGTTTCATCTCTGGCTGCTTTTGTGCTTTGATGTCAAAATTGAGTAATTGCAACAGAGGCCACATGTCCCTCAAGATCTAAAATATTTACTATCTGACCTTTAACAGGAAAAGTTTGCCAACTCCTGGGCCAAAGTACTTTTTTTTTTTTCTTTTTTTTAAAGTACTTCTGAATAATGAGTTTCATGGGGCAGCTCTCTGGTGGGGCAGACTGACAGCACCTTTGTCTTTTGCCAAGAAACCTCCTAGTGCTTTCCCACTCTGATACTGGGCTCAGTCACATGATTTGCTTTGACCAATGGGAGTTGAAGAGACAGTAGAGGCTTGAACTGGGGTTGCTCCCTACAGCTTGATTTCCTGCTTCTCTGCCCACTGTCTAGTCAACCGACCCAGGCAAGCCTGCTGGACAATAAGTCATGTGAAGCAGAGTCATTCTAGCACAGGTCAGCCTAGGTTAGCCAGAAGTCAATGATCTCAAGATCAAGACAGCTGCCTGGCCTCAGCTGACCAGACACATGTGTAAGCCCAGCAAAAACTACCCAAACCCAGCCAGATGAGCTGAGCCCCAACACTCAAGAGCCATGCCACTGAAGTGTGGTGGTGGGTCTGTTACAGGCGACTATTCCGGCAATAGAAAACTGATACTATGGGCACATGAATGTTTAAAATTTCTTTTGCCAAAAGAGGCTAGGGAACATTTCACTCTCCTGTGGACAATTCTGGGTTCTGACAGGGGGAAAAACATGGAAGTCTGAAACTCCAGAGGTGGGGGTGGGGCATCAGATCACATCTTGATTTTCTGCAAAACTATCTTGTACTCACAATGGGATTCAAGGAATACCCATATCTGCTCTGTGGCTCAATTTGCCCACTGGACCAAGTAGACGCTAAGGCTAGGCTAGCCTAGGACTTGGCATTCCTCTTAACCACAGAGGGATTAAGCAAGGCAGAGACTCCATCATTTATGGAAAAGAATTTATTTCCTATTTATACAATGTAAAAAAAAGTACCTTGGGTATAAAATCTAAATGTCTGAGGTGTGCTCAGTCAGGAGCCCAGAAAAGTCACTCCTTGCATCCTTCAATCATTAGTGTGCAGTGCAAATAGAGCCAGGGCTGGGAGCTCCTCCTGTACTAGCGTCAGTGTAAAGTTCCCTTGGGAAAAAGCCACAGAGCCCTTGGTGAGGAAGAGGGGCAGAGAGAGGGAAGGAAAGAGGGCAGGACTGAGGCAGGAGGCTGGGAAGGAATGATGTTCAAGAGTCTGTACTGGGGACACTTTAATTTGCTAGAGGGAGGCTCCTCCTCTTCACCTGCTGCACACTGACTGGCCGGGGCCTGTCCTCGGAATGTCAAGCTACTTCCTAGCACATAGGCCGACTGCCCCTCTGCAGAGCCCCCAGTGTGACTTCTGTCAGAAAGGAAAGGTGTTCATCGATGTGACAGAAAACCGTCACCTTCGAACTTGCATGAACTCCTTGCGCAGCCATAAAGAGTCCTGGTAGAAGCGAGGATCGCCCAGCCTCACAGCTGTCCGTTTGTAGAAGTAACAGTACAACACTGCCGCTGTGGAGAATAAATAGGAAAGGAGAGTCAGGGATGCACCTGAGTATTTGTTTCAGGGGAAGAACATGACCAGACGAGGCCGAGGGGCCCAGTCCCATGATTTCCCAGTGACTCCCAGAAAGGGCAGAGGGCAGTGGTCTCTCCTGGTCTTGGCATGGCTGTTCCACTCCTCTCACGCCGGTTGTGATGGGCTGGGAAGCTAGGATCAAGGCCCTCACTGCCAGAGCCACAGGTGGGACCAAAGTGAGGCCTGAGGTTGTTCTGGTTCTTACCTAGCCTCTGGAATACAAACAATGTTTGAAGTCCATCTGTCCAGACAAAGCGGTTGGAGTTTTTCCAGCGTAAGTTCTAAAGGAGACATGAATAGACAGAGAAAGGTGAATGGCCAGATGACGCCCTGACATCTCCAGCCTGGTGAGCTGCAGAGATGCTGCTTGATTTAGTATCAGGCTCATCTCACCCCCTTCTTTCTTTCCACAAGCCAAAGGAGTGTTTCTCAAACAAGCTTCAACAAGTCCCCTTGTTTTTTGCTGCAGAGGAAGTAATTCTTTTAACTCTGAGGGAGTAAGTTTGAACTAAGCCATTTATTTCCTTTCATCCCATTGCCTTGGCCAATGAGAAATGATAGACATTATCTCAGGAGTTCGGCATGGTCATATTTTGCCTTGGAAATCTGAGGCTTGGTTCCTGGCAGATAAAGGCTTGGTGCACTCAGGGTTTAATCAGATTAGCAGTTTCACAGTACAAAGCTAGGACTATTTTGGCTCTAGGAACCTGAGCAGAGACAATCCTCTCTGGGAAGCACCTTGAGGCTTTGGCACTGTGCTGCTTCTTCCCTGCGAGTTCTTGTTCTCTGTGGAATCACAGGGGCAACCTAATGGGAGGTTTAGTCTGAGAACGTGCCTTTAGTAAAGAAATGACTAGAGAACCCTGAGGTTTTAATGTGTTCCATTAAATGAGTACAAAGAAACACATGAGATACCCACATAGACAGAATTTGTGGAACAGAAGAAATTTGAAGGAGTTCCCTGGTGGCTCAGTGGTCAGGACTCCACACTTCCAATGCAGAGAGCATGGGTTTGATCCCTGGTCGGGGAACTAAGAGCCCATAAATCACTCGGTGCGGCAAAAAAAACAAAACAAAACATGAAAACAAAAAAGAAATCTGAAACCATGAAAACTGGATCTGCTTCAAGGCCTATGTCAGAACCAGAGGGAGGCATCTCGGAGGCACATTCTCCTAATGTAAGTGATGGGGACACAGCAGAGGGCTCGTGGCACTCCTGCCTGGCTATTTCCCATGGGACACTGATGCCTAAGGATAGCCTGTATCAACATGCACCTGCCCAAACAGCTAATGATGGAACAGATTCAATTTCCTGTTTTAACCTGCAGGTCTTTGGGGGTAAAATGAATCAAACGTTCCACAAATGCCCCTGGACTCCTGGATATGGCTGTTCTTCAACACATAAGGTTGAGAAAAAGTGCCTTATGAAATTCTCATGTGTCGAGCTACAGGCTGGACCACATTCATTTCACCTGTTTCTTATCAAGGATTCTGTGAGATAAACATCCAGAGATGCTGGATTCCCACAGATAAGACATTCCAAGTCCTTTAAGGACTCAGAGCCTCCCTCTTACCATGACCCAGACATGAAGAGAGATGCTCAGGGCGAAGTACACAGCTGTCAGGATGATGGTCCCTTTGAACTTATGGAAGAGGAGGTTGACCAGGCCAGCCTGGAAGACGAAGGTGTTGAAGAACATGAGGAAAATGATGATGATGTTGAAGAGGATTGCGATATCCTGGATGCTGCAAACATGGAAAACAAAAGGATGGCCAAATGGAGGCCTGGGGAGCACCCAAGAGTCAGCCCTGAATCCTAAGGGACACTATGACGTCTGTCCTTACCTCTGAAACCCCCCCAGAGGTAGTGTGGGTTTTGGACCCCAAATGACATGAAATTAAAACTACCTGCTACCTATTGGTCCAATCAGTTGAATTGCAGTCTATGGACAAGGCTTTCCTGCTGACACTCCCAACTCAACAAGCCTCCCCAGCACCTGTGAGAAGCAGCTAGTTTCCTCCTTGTATCCAGAAAATGCCAGCCCTGTCTGTCAAATAACCTGGTGCCTAGTGCCATTCAAGTGTTGGTTCAAATGTCCCCTCTTCAGAAACTTTTCTCTCACCCCACTACCTAAAGTAGCCTTCTCCCCATTCCACATACTTTATATCCACTGTATAACATTTATTACTATTTGAAGTTATTAAAATATTTTTTGTCTCTCTCCACTAGAATGGAAATCCCATCAAACAGAACTTGTCAGGTCCACCACTGCAACTATAGCACTGTCTGGTAGGCTGATGAACATTTGCTGAATGAAGACAGGGTCTAAAACTGTGGTTTTCTGTTTAGAACTTGCCTCATGGAGACTAAAAATCACTGTGGATGAAACATGACAATAGGTTCCATCCTCTGGGATGCATATATGTTATCAACATGGTTATTCTGGAAATTTCCTGGTGGTTCAGTGGTTATGAATCTGCCTTCCAATGCAGGGGATGCAGGTTTAATCCTGGTCAGGGAACTAAGATCCCACATGCCACAGGGCAACTAGAGAGCCCATGCTGCAACGAAAACCCAGAACAGCCAAAAAAAAAAAAGATTATTTTTACTCAGGGCCAGGGCAGTGAAAGCGGTGAGTCCTAACCCCTGGACTGCCAGGAAGTCCCTGATAACCCCTTTACCTGACATTTTGCAACCCTGTTTCATGGCACTGTAAGACACTTTCTACTCACAGATGGAGATAATGACAGTGTCAACAATCTGACCCTCATTTTCTATGTGCACTGCTTCCTGTGTTCCAAACCCTTGTTAGAAGTATATCAAAGCAGAAGTATCAAAACGGTATATCCTGTGACATATCTATGGACCATGGAGTACCCAAGACAAACTGCAACTTTATTCTCCCTGATATTTCTTTATTAATAACTTTAAAACACTAAATCATGCTTTCTGGGGCTTCTGAAATGATTGGGTTGAGCTGCCCAGTCCCACTCACATGAAGAGCACCAGCTGTATGACTGGAGCCTTTCGGAGTAGCTCAGAGAAGGAATTGACAAAGAGGTCATAGGACAGCAGCAGGAACTGCAGGGAGAGCACCAGGCTGTAGTTACTGGTCTGAAGCATCTTCCTTCTGCTCTCTCGTGCCCCCAAGGGCACATTCCACAGTTCCTCAGAAAACAACTACTGGTCCACCCCCAGGCACTGAGTTCTTCAGAATTGCAGCTGCTTCCCTTGCTCTAAGACAAGGATCTGTTAAAGCCCCCCCCCTCAAAAAAAAGAAAAGAGAGAAAGAGAGGTTAGAAATTCAACAGTACAAATATTTACTTAGGACCTACTATATGCCAGGTACTATTCTAGGTGCTTGTGATACATCGATGACAAAACCAACAACAACAAATGCCAACTAGTCATTCCTTCCAGGGACCCTCACCCTCAAACCTGTCTCCATGCCTGGAACTCTCTAAATGTAGAGCTCTTTCTAACCAGTTTTGAGTCCAAAGGAATCTAGGGAAAATGCACAAAGTGACTGTCTGGTCATGTAGTGATAATAATTCTAATTGCAGAAGCAAATCTTTGTATATCACTTACAATTCTAAGCACTAACATTTAAATCTCTCCATTATCCTTGAGGTGGAAGACACACTATAACTCTCTCCATTTTACAGAGGGGACAATCGAAGCCCAGGGAGGAAAATAATTTGTCCAACGTCATGCTAGTAATTGGCAGGGATAGCAGTCAGATCTAGGCGGTCTGGAGTCTGAGCACTTAACTACTGCACAAAGCTGTCTCTCACAAAACTGACAGCTTTACATGCAACTAGGCAGGAAAGGGCTTCTCAGGTGGTTCAGTGGTAAAGAATCCACCTGCCAATGCAGGAGATGTGGGTTTGATCCCTGGGTTGGGAAGATCCCCTGGAGGAGGAAATGGCAACCCACTCCAGTATTCTTGCCTGGGAAATCCCACGGACAGAGGAGCCTTGTGGCTACAGTCCATGGAGTCACAAAGAGTCAGACACAACTGAGCATGCACACGGGCAGGAAAAACATTGACACATAAGTGGTTAATGGTGTAGGCAGAAAAAGCTGAGAGAAAATAGTGTTCTTCTAAGGTTAAAGATTATGGTAGCGACACAATGCACCAGGTAAGGGGGGCTAGGCCTATATTTTCATTTATTTCAAGACAAAGAAGCTGCTCTGGGGTTGTCCTATGACCCTCTCCAGCTGGATCAAATCCATAAGCAAATTTCAAAATGTTTTGAAGTGTTACAGAATGATTAAATCAACATATGTAAAATGTTAGTTTACAAACTCTGCATATTTACTTCCTTATTTAATCCTATATCCATTTTAAGAACTAGCTGTTATTATGCTTATAACCCCACTTTACACAGAGGCTCTGAGAAGTTGCAGAACCTCGTCCATCTCCACCTAATGAAGTCCCACTAAGGATGTACAATGTGGTTTTCTCTGAGCCGAGTTTCCTTATTCATCAAATAACATTGATAGTATCACCTATGTACCCGCACCATGATAAACTTGTCAACCCAGATAAATTCCTTTAGTCCTCGAAACTACTCTGCAAGGTGGGAAAGAATTATCCCCGTTCTACAGGCAAGGACAGTATCAGAGTTCAAGCCGTTCCTCCAGGATTCACAACTAGGTGTGATACGAAAGCCCATGCTCTTAACCGCTAGTTCACACGCCGCCACAGAAGGCTGTTGTGAGGCTCCGTTAAAAAGAACCGCTCACCGCCATCATTAACGGAAAGATGACCATCACCTCGGGTTAGCGTAGCGGTGATCTCGCAAGGTCTTCTCACCGCTAATCTGCCGCGTTCTCTCGGTAGAGCAGAGCAATTTTCCCCACCCGTCCCAACCCACTTTTAAATGGGACTGCCTTAGCGAAAGACCAAAACCAAAGCAATTAACAACCAAATTCCAACTTCTGGCCTCTACACACTCCTCAACACGGACTCTCACCTCAGAGGCCCAACGTCGGTTGTCATGGGGATATCACCCTGGCTTCCGGAAGCCGGTTTTAAATTCCGGAAGTAGATGGTGGACGTAGGCTCATCCTGCGTCGTGCTACACGGTTGTCCTCGGCTTTCTCTCCCCGCTCTAAGGCCGACTCGGCCGCCATGTTTGAGCCCCCGCTTTCCTGGGCTCGCCTCTCTCCAGGCCTTCCCAGTGTCGCCGCGGCCTGTTCCAGGGCTCCTAGATCCGGCCAAGGCCTCCCGTTCACCCCGCGCGCCGCCTTGCGGACGGCCAGCCCCTGGCCAGAGGCTTCGCCTCGGCCTGAACATTTCCGCTTCAGCGGAATCGTGGGGCTGAGAGTGAGGGACAGGGCCGACCCGTGACGGCGTTCCTGGTCCCCAGTACCTCGGGGTTGGGGAAGAAACGCCCGCGGAATAACTGGAGTTGGGGGTCAGCGCCTTGGCGCCCGAGAGCTGGGGACTCCCAGATCCGGGACTTCATTTCCCAGGCGGCCACGCGCGCGACCGGAAGTATGCGCGCCTATAAGAGGACAATGCGCCCCCGAGCTTTTCGGCTCTAGCGCAGCGGTGCCTGGTGGTCGAGAGTGTTGCTGAGAGTGTCTCGCTGCATCTTTCAGGAGCCTCGAGAGCAGCGGCTCCGGCGCGGGTTGGCAAGAGGTCTCGCAGACCCCAGTCCCCTTGCGTCCCACTGTGGTTCGGGGGTGAGAAACAGCCCGGGCTGGGAGTTCCGGGATCTGGGTTCGAGTGCTAGCTCTGCTACTACCTCGTTTCGCGCTGTCACGACCCCTCTCTCTCTCTGAAGTTTTCTCTCATAGGAAATGGACACTATTCTCCATGCCCTTCCTTCCACAGGTGGTGGTTGTAAAGTACGAAAGCTCTTCGGAAGTCACAGTCAGCAGGCGGAACCCCTCGCCTAACTTTTCACCCAAGGTTCAGTTAAGTCGCTCAGTCGTGTCCGACTCTGCGACCCCATGAACCGCAGCACGCCAGGCCTCCCTGTTCATCACCAGTTCCCGGAGTTTACTCAAACTCCACTGAGTCGGTGATGCCAAGGTTAGCTGGGACCAAGGTGGCCCTGGCGGCGGGCCAGTCAAGGATCAGTCCCTGGGTTCCTAGTACCCTTCTCTGGATACTTCGGTCAGACCAGAGCACGGTGCGAAGGGCGTCCCTGTAATCACTCTGGCGCTCAGGAGGACCTTGCTTGTCTATCTCCTGCCAGGTATTTAAGGCCTCTCACTCCTGAGTCCCTGACTTTAAGGAAGCTCCGTTTGGAAGTGAGTCCTTGGAGCCGAGGGGGAGTCAACCTGGAGTCTTACCAGCTCTGCCACTCACCTTGGCCGAGTCATTATCATAGTTTGGGCCCCAGTATTTTTAATCTGTAAGATAAAAGTTTAGGATTTGAACTCTAACTCTGGGTCTCAAGATTCCTAAAGCCCCCCACTATTCATCTGAAAAGTGGGAGCAGCCAACAGCCTTCCTATGCCTTGATCTATTTGCTCTTCTAAGTGCTTGTGAAAAAGTTTGGAATCGTAGGTTTTCCTAAGACTAGGGGTGAGTAGGATATACCCGTTTTCTGCCCCAGGGCTTGATCTGTTTTAGTGCAGCCTGGGAGAATCTTTTTTGCTTAGGGATTGAGAGTGTATTAGGTTGGAGAGTACAACTCCTTAGATCACGGTCAACAAACATGACCCACAGGCCAAATCTGGCTGACCTGAATGGGTTTTACATTTTTCAGTGATTGAAAAGAAAAGGATATTTTGTGATGTGGAAATGATATAAAAACTGAAATTTCAGTGTCCATAGTTTTTTGAACACAGCCTGTACATTTGTGAAAGTATTGTTTAAGACTGCTTTTGCAGTATGTCAAGAGTTGATAGCACAGTTGTGACAAACCATATGACCTGCAAAGTCTTAAGATATTTACTATTCTCACACTTTATAGGACTTTGAGGACTTTTGTTTTCGAATGTGGCTCTACAAGTGCGGGCAGACTAGGAGCCTGCACACATCCTGAAATCTTAGCACATACTACTCTCTTGGAATAAATGAGAGGATGTTCTTAGTATTTGGATGACAATTTTCACTGTGTTCTTTTTTTCTCCTTTTGCTCTCCATGTCAAGCAGAGGGAGGGCGTGTCTGTGTACTTTGAGCAGTAAAACATTCCAGCCAGTCTGTCAGGAAAGTGTCCCCTTTGTCTATTCCAAGTCTGTCCCAGACCAGTAATCCAGATCTCTTCTAGGGGCGTGGATATGGTCCCTTTTGGATATTTTCTTTTTACCTCTTACAAAGGGAAACAAATTTAAAAGTAGATACTAGCCAATGGATGGAGCCTGCTGATTGGGAGCTCCTTTGTGCTGACACTTCCCTGGGAAGTGGGTGATTGAACATCTGGTGACCTGAAACTTGCACTGCTCTTACAGGAACTAAGGGGACACCTCTGAGGCTGGGTAGCAAATCGCTGAGTTCAGCAGCTGAGTCCAAAAGCTTCCAGGAAGCAAGTGGCATGATTTTCTCCCTCTAACCCCCTGGAAGCTTATATATTTTTTCCCCCCAGAACTCAAATCTTGCTTTCTCAGAGACTGCTGCCACCTTGGATCCCTTTTGAGAGCTTCGCACCTGTTTCTGGTTAGGTGGCCATCTGGCATCGAGAGAGCTGGCATGACATGGAATCGGGACCACTGAGAGGCTTGGGCAGCCATGGGGGCCATGGCCTTCAGGGTTTCATTAGTAGTTAGGATGAAATGCTGTAATACTACTAAGAAAATGTTAATAATTTACAATGTCCTTATATATTTTCTCACTTGATCCTCTGGCAACCTATGATCAAGTTAAAAACACGGAGTTTGAAATGGAAATAACCCCTCACAGGATTGTCAAGAGGAGAACATGGGATCGATCATGTGTCTTAAGGTTCTGGTGTGATGTCTGTTCATAGCTGCCTTTCAGTAAGTTACATCCTGTTGCCGTGGTTTTCTTTCAGATGAGAAGACAGTCCTTCAAATGTTAAGTGATTTGCTCAAGGAGCCTCAGAGCCTAAGAATTGGAGTCCAGGCCACTACTCTGTCAGCTTGTCACTGGGTATAAAGGTGAGGGTCAAATGTTTTATCTCCTTGGGAGTTCTTGGCGATTTTAGGGGCCTCTTCTCGTGTTAGCTGGTTCCAGTTGAGGAACCTGAAGTTCCGGAAGCCATGTGTCACCTTCTTGCCCTGACTCCTTGGGGACAGTGTGCCTGCCTTGAGAGCTGTGTTCATGCTGAAAGCAGGGGCATCCTGTGGCTTTGCAGACTGCCTGCCAACCCTCATGCCCACTTGCCTGGCTTTTAAGAGCAGCTGCTTAGGGGGCTAGGTGTTCACCATGCCTGAAACCAGAGTTGGTTTCTGAGTTATCAGGTATATGTGGAAACCTCAAAATAAGCTCTTTGCTTTCTATCATGAGTTCTTGCTTCCTCTTTTCTCCTCTGGACTTTCCCTAGAGAAGAGAAAGCAGAAGTTTCAGGTCTGGGGACCAGCTGCAGGCTTTTGCCCAATTCAAGATGTGGAGTATGGGGACTGGAGCGAAGACCCCCATCTTATCTCCACATGGGTAGAGGTCACTGTCTGGGGAAGAACTCTGCTGCGGAAGTGGGATCCTATAACACTTTTCTCCCAGGTGGCCTTATAATAGCGTGGAGACTGAATTTTGCCTCCTTATGTTAGAATGGAAGGCCTGGGCATTTGTGTTATCTAGGCTGGATTTTGATTTCTGGCCTTTCTTTTTGCGAGGAATGGAAGTATAATTCTTTACCTGTGGTCCTGTGAGGGGAGACCCATCCTAGGGCTCTGGACTTAGCATCCGGCCACCTCAGAGGAGGCCTCTCTCCAGGGCCAGCCCTGGGGCTGAGCTGGCTGCACTGTACGCCGCCAGGTGCTGGGGCGGCGCCTCACTCTCACTCACTGTTCATAACCAGAGATGGGGTCCAGCCTGCCGTCAAGGCTTCATGGGACAGAGCCCAGGCTGATGCAGGGGAACCACCCTTCCAGCCAAGAGCAAGGTCAGTGTTACCTCCTCTAGCCGGGGTGTGGGGCGCACCCGAGCCAGCAGGGCTGTGTGATTTCCCCTTCCTCTAGGGCTGCCTGATCAGAATGGCGGTGGGATGGTTTTACCTGTCTGTGCTGGCACTGTGCTCCCTGGGCTCGATGTGCATCCTCTTCACCATCTACTGGATGCGGTACTGGCATGGTGGCTTCGCCTGGGATGGCAGCATACTCATGTTCAACTGGCACCCGGTGCTCATGGTTACAGGCATGGTGGTACTCTACAGTGCTGGTGAGTACGGGTCGGCAGCAGACACGTGTGGCCCAGGCCTGCGTGGGGCAGTGCTCCTCTCATCCTGGCCTTTGTTACTGAAGGTTCAGGGCTCTGAGGGAGGGATGGGATGCCGTGAGTTTTCTCTGGGCCCAGCTGACATTTGGAAGAAGTCGTCTCGAGAACTGAGACATCTGAGAAGGGCAACTCCACGGACGTTCTTAGGCAGGGGTTTGCACACTTCCTGTTAAAGGCCAGATAGGAAACATTAGACTCTGCACGCCCTGTGATCTGTGTTGCGACTACTCAGCTCTGATGTTGTACTGAGTGAGCAGAGACATCACAGAAACGTGTGTGGCCATGTTCCAGTAAAACTGTTTGTAGTGGTGGGGGGAGGAGAGAAATAGGTGAGGGAGAGCAAGAGGTACAGCCTTCCAGGTGCAGAATAAATGAGTCACAGGTGCAGTGTGGAAAGTAGAGTTAATGATTATATATCTTTGCTTGGTGACAGATCATAACTAGAACTGTCACAGTGATCATTTTGAAATGTTCAGAAATAGCGAATCACTGTGTTCTGTAACAGGAAGTAACATAGTGCTATAGGTCAATTATACTTCAAAAACAAACAAACTCATAGTAAAAGAGATCAGATTTGTGGTTATCAGAGGTGAGGAGTTGAGGAGAGGGGGAATTGAATGAAGGTCGTCACAAAAGGCACAAACTTCCAGTTTTGAGATAAATAAGTATTAGGGATATAATGTACAACATGATCAATATAATTTTTAACACTGCTGTGTGTTAAATATGAAAGTTGTTCAGATAGTAAATCCACAAAGTTGTCATCACAAGAAAAAATTTTTTTCTATTTAATTCTGAATCTGTATGACAAGATGGAGGTTCACTAAACTACTATGGTCATCATTTCATGATGTGTCTGCAGCAAATCATGATGTTCCACACTGTAAGCTTATGCAGTCCAGTACTTATGCAGTACTGGAAAAAATCAGTAAAAATTTAAAAATTAGTGTCATATAAAGTATTATTTAATATATATGATTTAATTGGGGTTGCAAAGAGTCAAGACACGACTAAACGACTTCACTTTCACTTTCGGTAAGCATTAGTTACCTTGGCATAAATTAACAAAAGTTATATAAATTCTACAGAGAAAAATGTATAAAACTGTATTGAGAAAAATTAAAGAAGCCTTAAATAAATGGAGGGATATACTACGGTGTAAGTGGTCTGGAAAACTAAACATTGTAAAGATGTAAGTTCCCCTGAAATTATTTTGTAGGTTAATTTCAATCCCAAAGCCTCAGTGCTTATTTTTGTGAAAACTGACAATTAAATTACCTTGAAATGCAAAGGGCCAAGATTAATCAAGAAGGTTTTGAAAAAGAGCACAGTTGGAGGGCTTGTTCTCCCATCTAGACAGGTTTATTATAAAGCTACTGTAATCAAGACTGAGGGAACTCCTGTATGACACAGGGGTTATATTCTCAATATTCTCTAATGGCCTGTGAGGGAAAAGGATCTAAAAAGGAGTGGATATATGTATGACTGATTCACTTTGCTGTACACTTGGAACTAACACAACATTGTAAATCAACTATACTTGAGTTATTATAAAAACAGTGTAGTCATGATAAGTGAATAGACAGGTGAGGAAAGGTGGCTCTGTAGAGCTGTGGGACAAAATGTTCTTTTCAATAAATGATGTTCAGTCAGTCACAAGAAGAAAAACCCCTTTATTCACAACAATAGGCAGCGGCCTGGATCTGGCCTGGGAATGGTAGTCTGCCAGCCGTGCTCTAGGAAGCATGAGGGTGAAGCCCCTCCTGGCACAGTCAGGTCCCGACACGAGGGATCTGCTTACTCCTGCCGGACCATCCTTGCTTGCCCATGTGTCTGGGGCCCAGGTTAGTCTTACTGTACTTCTAAAATGGGAATTCCAGTGACACTGATAATAGCAGCTTACCCTGTGTACTTCAGGATATCATCCTGTTTTGTTCTTACAGGCAGCTTGTGAGCTGGGCTCTATTGTTGTCTCCATTTTACAGATGGGGAAACTTGAGATTTAGAAAGACGATGCCAGGTAGCTGAGAGGCGGATCCGGGATTTGGACCTCGGTTATCTAACCTAAAAACTTGTGTCCTTGACAGCCCACTTCAGTTGTGAGAGTTCTTAAAGTTAGATGAAATAATGAATGTGACACTGCTTTTCAGCCTATATATAAAATGACAGAATGTCAAGTCCATGAAAGCTGTTCCTCCCTCCCTCCCTTTTTAAAAGAAATTTAGGTTTTTGTTGTTGTTTTTGGCCGTGCTCTGTGGCACGTGTGATCTCAGTTCCCTGACTAGGGATCAAACGCATAACCCCCTGCAGTGGACGTGTGGAGTCCTAACCACTAGACCACCAATTCAGTTCAGCCGCTCAGTTGTGTCCAACTCTTTGCAACCCCATGGACTGCAGCATGCCAGGCATCCCTGTCCAGACCACCAGGGAATTTGCTAAATTGAAGTAGTATTGTTGTTTAGTCACTAACTTATGGACTGTAGCCCACCATTATCTTCTGTCCATGAGATTTCGCAGGCAAAGAATACTGGAGCGGGTTGCCATTTTCTTTTTCAGGGGATCTTCCTGACCCAAGGATCAAACCCACATCTCCTATATTGGTGGGAGGATTCTTTTCCACTGAGCCGCCTGGAAAGTCCAAAAAATTGAAGTATAGTTGATTTACAATGTTATGTTTCTCATATACAGTGATTCAGTTTTATATATGTATATATATACACACATATATATATATTCAGATATTCTTTTCCATTATAGTGTATTACAAGATAGTGAATATAGTTCCTTGTGTTACACAGTAGGATCTTACTGTTTATCTATTTTATATGTAGTAGTTTGTATCTGCTAATCCCAAACTCCTAGTTTATCTCTCCCCCCATTCCTCCCCTTTATCATGATCTCTTCTCCCCCTTCATGAAGTGATGCCAGGATGGAATCTGCTGGGGAGTTGATACTGATGTCCTAGCACTTCCTCCTCCCTGTTAGGAAGCTGTTTGGGATCACGGCAGGGTGACTCCCCTGATGCTTGCGTGAGCATAAGGGGAAGAGGCTGAGCCCTGGGACTGCTCTCTCCGACAGCATCGCTGGTCTACCGCCTGCCCCAGTCATGGGTAGGGCCCAGGCTGCCCTGGAAGTCCAGCCATGCGGCCATGCACCTGCTGGCCTTCCTCCTGACGGTGCTGGGGCTGCACGCGGTCTTTGAATTTCACAACCATGCAAAGATCCGCAATCTCTACTCCCTGCACAGCTGGCTGGGCATCACCACCGTCTTCCTCTTCGCCTGCCAGGTGGGTACTCTCTGTCCTCCTTGGGTACCCATTGGCTGCCCACTCCTGCTGGGGCTTCCCTGGCATCAGTACCAAATCTTCCTTCTGCTCAGTGTCTGGAGACGGTGTGGCAGGGCACATGCTATAGGATCGGCAGTTTGAGGGGCTCTGGGAGGTTGGTGGTTCTCCCATTCACCCTGTTCTGCTCTCACCCCTCACACCACCCACTGTGGTCCTGGAGTGCTCTGACTAGCTCGATCGCAGTACGCACCAGGCTGACTCTAAGTCACCTTTTCCACTACCCTTTTCTGTGAACCAGAAGCAATTTTAGAAGTAGTACCCACATCCTGATTTTAGCCCTGTACAAGTTGGGAGTTTTGTGAGCCAGGATAGGCAGGGAGCAGAGACAAACAAGGATGGCTGGGTTTGTGGGAGGGTGGGGGGTAGCCAGGCATCTCATGTAGGTGACAGACCACAGGGAGGATGCAGCAGTGCCTGGTAGGAGGGTTGAGCTGGGAGAGATGGGCCAGGGTTCATTGATGGGTAGGGGCTGCTGATGGGTGGTATGACCCAGCGTGCCTTTGGTCACACACAGTAGTTGGGTATTTCCTGTGTCCACAGTGGTTCCTGGGCTTCTCGGTCTTCCTGCTGCCCTGGGCATCCATGTGGCTGCGCAGCCTCCTGAAACCGATCCATGTCTTCTTTGGAGCCTCCATTCTCTCTCTGGCCATTGCGTCTGTCATTTCTGGCATTAACGAGAAGCTTTTCTTCAGTTTGTGAGTGTGGGGGGGTGTGTGGGACCCCCAACTGTAAGGTGGGGGGCAGGAACAGGGTCTTCAAAAGATGGGTCATAGGACCCGACTGAGGGAGAGAAGCCTTTGGGGTTGAGCTCATTCCTGATCTGCACGGTAATGGACTCATCTTTCTTTAGGCTGAGATTGATAAAGTAGTCACAAAATACTTACCCAGCATCAAAGTGATTTAGAACCTACTCTGTGGCAAAAACTATTCTAAACGTCTCACATTTAATCCTCCAAGTGCCCTACAGCATTGGTAATGTTGTCATTGCCACGTATAAATTAGGGAACAGAGGCACAGAGAGGTTTAGCAGTGCACCCAAGGGCACACAGCCAGCAAGTGGCAGAGCTTTGAGTTAGAGGACTAGAGCTCATACATCTAACCACCACCGTTCTCCCTTTGGGGAGGCAGTGGGGGTGCAGTGAAGCGCAAACAAGATTGGAGGTCACACCTGGGTATAGATCTTGGCTGTGCCATTTCCTAGTTGGGTAACTCAGGACAAGTTCATTTCATGTCTGGGAGCTTTAGCTTCCTCAAGGGTAGACAGCATTCTGCAGACACTAGTCATGACAGAGACTTAGAAGGTATGTTAACATTCCAGGTTGCAGCAGGCCCTGGGAAGTCTTTCTCATCCTCTGTTAGTGGCATTGGGCAAAAACAGGTAGAAAAGTTGCTCAAGGGCCCATGTTGTTTTTGTCCTCCTCAGGAAAAATGGCACCAAGTCATACTCCAACTTGCCCAGTGAGGCTGTCTTTGCCAACTGCGCTGGGATGCTGGTGGTGGTCTTCGGGCTGCTGGTGCTCTATATCCTACTGGCATCATCTTGGAAACGCCCAGAACCAGGGATGCAGGCCGAGAGAGAGGTATGAGGTCTTGGTCTCCTGTTTCAGGTTGGGCTAGGGCCAGGTCTAGGGAGGGGTCACCCAGTAAAGGCTTGGGCTTTGCCAGGAAGACCAACCCAGTAACGTGGTGGGAAACCAAGTAGCTTGAAAGTGGGGTTTGGCTGGCTGATGGGGAGCACCAGAATGAACCCAGCACTTCCTGTTGTGGCAAGTGCAGCTGCTCCTGGGGGCCTGTCCGCTGGGGGAGCAGGGGGTTCCTCCCCTCCCCAGGTGGCTGTGGTCTCACAGGAGGAAGTGTGGCCTTACCTTTCCCAAGGGCGGGCTTGAGCATGAGGAGGTGTGCTGACTTCTGCTTCTCCAGCTTCACGGCTTATCTAGCGGGATGGGAGTGTTCCTCGTGGGTGTGTGGTGACAGGTTGAGGACTTGAAGCACATTTTGCCTGTTCTCGGCCATGCAGGCACTGAGGGATGGGGTGTGTTGTTTGAGGGACTCTGGGGCTTCCCTGAACGGTGTGGTGGGTGGACCTGGGGCTCATCCTGCAGGTTGGGGTCTGTCTGAGCAGCTCAGGCCTGGCAGGACTCCTGCAGGTCGGGGGCCATTTTGACACCTGTTTGTCTTTCCAGGCCCTGTTGCATGGTGGGGAGTGAAGCAGGAAGGGGCTCCCAGGAGCAGTTGGTGTGCAGTCTGGACTCCTTCCTGAAGCTCTGCTCTCGCTGGTTGCAGGCCCGTCCCCCCTTGCCTCTGGGTGGGCCTGCTTTCCCACAGCCTGCTGCCCATGTGCTTTCCTCGGTGGCTTTGGCTTCTCTGCCCCTTCTTGGCATTGACTGCTCAGGTCCTCCGTTGACCCCCGGCCTCCTTGCCCTGGCTGCTCACACCGCCACTGCTCGTATGAAGTCAGGTTCGCTTCCCCCCACATGCCTAAGGATGTGGTAGGGAATCCTGAGGACTCAGATAAGCTGGGAATTGAGTGCCATCCATATTGTGAAGAGTGGGGGAGCCAGGGCTTCCCTTGGCTTTCCCCTGAAGTTTAGGCTGCCGCCCTGGGCCAGGCTGCATTTGCTCTTGTAACCTCCCATCCAGCCCACCAGGACACGAGGCTGGGTGGGAACGCCAGAGGTGATGCTGGAAGGAGAGCGGGGACTGGCAGAGCCGCTTCTGCAGAAGAGAAGCTGAGGGCCAGCTGCTTGCTACTCGTTTCCCGTCGCTGCCTTCTGTGTCCGCGTGTCTACGTGCCCTGCTCGCTGCTGCTACGCCTGGGCCTGGATCCTGGCTCTTCCCTGTGACTGACACGCCTGTCACTGCTGCACAGCCCTACGTAACCTGCTCTTCTGAGAAGAGCCTGTCCAGCTGTCCCTCGGAGGAGGAGCAGACCTCCTTCCCTTTCCCTTAGTGGACCCAGGCTCGCCTGCTTGTCCCCAGGCGGGATCAACCTTGCGCGCTCACCAGGGAACGTGCCAGCGTTGCGGTGCACTGTGCCCAGCAGAGCCCTGGGAGCCATGGCACCTCCAGGGGCATCCCTTGCTGAGCACCCAAGTGCCTCACTTGCCCCTCCCACCCGCCGTGGCTGCTTGCCTAGCATCGTCTGTGGGGTGACGCCGAGTGTGAGGGGTTGCTTTTCTCCCAGCGAGAGACTGGGGTGGCAGGGCTTGCTCCTAAGTGTTGGCACTGCCCCCTGCACACAGGCCCTGCCAGGTCCCAGGCTCCATGCTGCTGTGCTTAGGTGACAAGCAGCAGGACACCTGGCGTCCTGATTTCTGGCAGGTGGCAAGGCTGACTGTCCACCCCACCCCACGTGGCCAGATGCTGGCCAGAGGGCTGCGACTGAACCTCCGAAGCAGCTGAGACCCTCCAAAGACACTGGGATGACCGCCAGGCAGCTTGGTCACGAGACCAGCTCCCCCTCTTTTCCACATGGGTAGGCATTTGACTTATGAGGCTTGATTTTCATTAAATGTGTTTTTAAGAATCAAAGCCTTCTGTGCTGAAATGACACTCTGGAGAAGTGAGCTTGGGCCATTTGCAGAAGCCGTGGGCTAGTTCTGAACCTCAGACCTGGGGAGGAACAAACCCAAAGGCACCAAAGGTCCACATGACTGTTTTCCTGGAATTTCATGTGACTCTTGGTTCCTGAACTTGTCCTTAAAAGTAAATGGCCTTTGAGGATTTGGTTATCTTACCAGGAAGGAGCTGTTTCCTCTTTCATTTTCTGGAACACAAGACTCAAAAAGGCTTAAGTGATTTGCCTGAGGTCACCCAACTAGACAATGGCAGAATTGGGATACACAGGCCAGGTGTCTGAGGCCAGAGTTTCCGTCCCAGCTGCTGGGTGTGTGCATCTGTGCCCACTGCTAACTGTGCCTACGGTCAGCAACCCATGGTGTGGCTGATGGATGGAGGACCCTGGGCAGAGAAGGGGAAGCCAAGGGGTTGAGGAAGCCTGCAATCAAGTTTGGGGAAGATAAGTGGTCCCAGTGTGAGTAGCTGAGACCACCTAGTGGTGGGGCAGAGGACTTGGAAGGGGCTGGATGCAGACATGTGATGCTAGTAAATCCCAGTGAGTGAGCATCTGGATGGTCTGTGGCCCTTTATCTTTACTGGTTCATTGGAATCCTTTCTGTGTGCCTTTGGGGCTTCCTGGTGGTTCAGCAGAAAGAAGCCGCTTGCAGTGCAGGAGACGCAGGTTCAATCCCTGGGTTGGGGAGATACCCCTGGAGGAGAGCATGGCAACCCACTCCAGTACTGTTGCCTGAAAAATCCCATAGATGGAGGAGCCTGGTGGGCTACAGTCCGTGGTGTTGCAAGAGGTTGGACATGAAGCGACTGAGCACATGTGCCTATGAGGTGGGCACCATTCTTGGTTTTAGATTCTAAGAGGCTAAATAGGCCCGAGTTTATGTGTAGCTAGTCTGAAACAGGACCAGGATTCAAGGTCATGTCATTGTCTAAACTGAGTCACGCTAATGGCTTTAACTGCACCCCTGTGCCAAGCAGGGGCCAAGGGTGCACTGTACTGTCTCCACCAGGATCCATGCTGACCTCACAGCCCCTCCTGCTCCCCCCAGGGCTGTCAATGATGGCTCTGGAGACGTGGGGCTGGCCTGAGCGCAGTTTCTATTCTGGTGATCCTTAAGAGTATGATGATTTGTTTTCCTTTTGGTGACCCACCTGCCCATTTGACTCCTGAAGAATCTGAGTTCTTCTAGTCTAGTGCTGAGAAAAGCACAGCCTTCCGGGGTGGTGTATGCACCGGAAGGACAGGCTGCGGGTCCCAGTGGAGTTGGCCCACCTGCATAGGACCTGCCTCCGGGCCTCAGGTGGGAGGAGATGGGGGCTGAGTGCTGAGCCTCAGGGCATCAGTGGGCCCACTTGTTCACACACTTGGATGAAGGTCCTTCAGAGGAAGCACAGCTCTTTTGCTTCAGTGTGGTTTATTGGCTGGCTTTTCCACACTGGCTCAGTTCATGTGCAGAAGACCTTTCATGGGGAGTCTCAAAACCAAATTAGCATCACCAGTTAAAGCCTGTGTTGCCACCCAGGGAAAAGCCTTATCACTAAAGCTCAGAACTGACTGGAGGCAGAGCCCAGTGACTCTAGGACTGCCCCCTCCCCGAAGAGGGAAAACACATTCGACACCCACTCTGGGCCTGCAGTTTCTACAGTGGAGGGTCTGTAGGCTGGTTGAGGAGTTCCTGTTGAATGCAGAGGACAGGTCTCGAGAGCGAGAGGCGGGGGGTGGGGGACGGCAGAAGGCAGAGCTAAGTGACAGTGGCTGCTGGGGAGAGCAGTGAGAGGGGCCCTGAGGGCCAGGGAGGCCTTCACGCACCCTGACTCTGCAAGACCTCCAGGATGGCACGCAGAATGGCCGCGGCTGCCACTGCCCCAGGGTCTGGCTGATCCAGGCGCGCAGAGCTGATGTAACTGGCTCTTCCAGCTCCAGCTTCCATGCTCTTGGTGGCCTCGGCTGCAGCTTCAGCACTCTGGGGTCGGGGGTGGGGGTGTGGGAGCAGGTTCAAGGAGGAGCCCTCAGGCTTCCTTCCTGCCATGGACCCTGGGGTCCCAGCTTTGCCAGGACCCTCTGCACAGTCACCAGGGTGGAGAGGTCACTGCCCACCCATCACTGGTAGGGATAAGGGGTCAGCATTTGCTGAGGCCTGCTATGTCCCAGACCTAGTGCTGGGGCCCTATGTATCTCTCTACTCCCCAGCCACCCTCTGAGGTATTCTCCATTGTCAGAGGAGGAAAGTGAGGTATAGAAAGGATATGAACTTGTTCAAGGTCGCACGGAGATGGGAGCCTGGTGGTTCTGAGTCTGTCTCCCTGGGTGGCTGGGCCCAGCCTCACTCACCTTGACAGCCTTGGTCAGAATCTGGAGCAGATTGGCCCCTGGGCTCTTCCAGGCTTGGAGCTCCTGTCCTGCTGCCCACAGAGAATCCAGCTGGACAGGGTGAGGGGGGAGAGGGGCTGAGGACAGGCCCTGCCACTGAGACTGGTCTTCAGGGCTTCTACGCTCAAAAGGGGGAAGGCCTGGGCCAGATACACACCATAGTCCTGTCCCCTGGGGCAGCCTTTCCATACCTGGCAGGGAAGAGAACTAGTGAGGCTCACCGCAGGGAATCACCACTCTGGGAATGGGTGACATCAACCACCACCCCCCAGCCCACTCCTGGTCTGGGGCCCTGGGCCCTGGGCCCTGGCTCACTTCTGCATGGCCTCCAGACCGGCATCCATGGCAGCAGACCAGGCTGGGAGGTCAGTCTTGGCCTTGAGTGGCTGGGCTGCTGCAGTCAGGAACAGGCCATAGAGCTGGGGAGGACCAGGATGCTGAGCACAGAGGGCTGGCCTGAGGCCTTGGCCAACCCAGGACCCCTCTGTGTCAGCCCCCCACCCCCGGGGGGCTGCTGGCACTCACCGCCCCTGAGGAGCCTCCCATCTTCTCCAGTAGCAGGAAGGACAGTTTGGAGAGTAGCTGGGCAGGGCTGGCTGGGGGTGGGCCCTCCTTTAGCCACCCCTGAATTGCTGCAGGCAGAGATGGCAAAGAATTCAGAGACCCTCCGTCCCGTCTGCCTGGACCCCAATCAAGTACCCAGACCTCGCTGCCAGGCGAGAGGAATGGGCACTGGGAGAGGCTGAGGGAACCCACATGAAGAGACTCCCTGGCCCCCTCTCTGTCCTGCTGCCTCTGGAGAGGAGCGGGGACAGGTCGATGGGGACCTTGGTGGTCACTGAGCAGGTGAAGATGCTTCCTTGCTTCCCTCTTTTTTGTCTTTTACTGATTTCCCTTGTTAATGGTCTTTCTCTCCTACCAGAACATAAGCCACAAGGGCAGTGATTTTAATGTTTTTCTAGCTATTGTATCTACAGAGTTGAGGGCAGCACCTGACTGTGGTCACCACTAAATATATTTTTCTTGATTGAACGAGATAATCGCTGGATAATTCAGAACTTTTCCCTTGCCTGGGTAAGCTGAGAAAGAGTAAGGATTGAGTTTCCCTTTAGGATAATCTGAAGTTACTATTTGGGCTTCCCTTATGGCTGGCTCAGCTGGTAAAGAATCCACCTGCAATGTGGGAGACCTCGGTTCAATCCCTGGATCTGGAAGATCCCCTGGAAAAGGGAAAGGCTACCCACTGCAGTATTCTGGACTGGAGAATTCCATGGACTATATAGTCCATGGGGTTGCAAAGAGTTGGACAGGACTGAACGACTTTCAAAGTTATTATTCACTGAAAGATTTTATTCTGTGATAACAACCTTCCTACATTTGTAGTGCTAGAAGTACCTCTTTATGAAAACAGGTGAAAAGCATGCTATGTTTGTGATGACTTCGTTTGGCAAAATAACAGTTGCCAGCCCCATGTGAGTATTCCAAATGCTTTTGAAATCATTCTGATTCATGAAATGCCGCCATCTCCACATGAGTGTGCCATGCCACCCCGTCTCCTGCCCCAGGTGGGTCCTGGCACCAACCTCTGGCTGCACAGCTGTGAGTGGTGCCACAGTCCCCGTCACCGGCAGCGCGGTCCAGGGCGTTCAGATATTCCTCCAGGCCCAGGAGGGTGGTGCACACCCGCTCCAGCACAAGTACCATCTGCTTCGAGGCTGCACCTGCAAAGGGAGGGCAGCAGGAGGGAGGCCCCCTGGCTGGCTCTTCTCACAACTGAACGTGACCAGAGTGGAGCTATGGGTCCAGGGCCCCTGCACAGCCCTCTGCACACACTGCAGCCTCTAGGCCTCAGGCCAAAGGCCTGGGCCACCTTCCCCAAGAGCATGGCCCCTACCTGCTGCAGTAGTGGAGTCAGGGGCTGCCAGGGGTTCCGTGGGGGCGGTCCGGCTCCGCTTCCGCCCAGTCACCCAGACCTTGGCCACGTTAGGCCAGGCCGAAGCCGTGGTTTCAGCATCTAGGGACAGCGGGATGACTTTTCTTAGGGACGGGTTGGCTGGCCAGGGATCAAGTAGGGCCTGGACTCCCCACCTGGTGGCCTGGTTCCCTCCACCCCAGTAAGTGGGTACTGAGTGCTACCTGTGATATGGGAAATGAGGGCCCCCCGGGGGAGGAGCCTAATTCCAATGGCTCCACAGTCAAGTGAGAGTTGGGAAAGGCTGGGGAAGCCAGAAAGGGCCTCTCCACAGGGTCCTAATTGTCATGGTCAGCCCTGATGGAGTTGGCTCCTTCCAGCTCCAGGGAGCCCTGGTTTGGCTGACCCCAGCTTCCAGGTCTCACCTATCAGTTTCAGGAGGGGCTCATCCACCAGCAGGAGGGTGAGAGAAATGCCAGGCATCTCCAGGGCTGACATGAAGGTGCCCACGAGGGCACGGGCAATCTTCACCCCGCGGCCCTCTGCAGTACCAGACCATGAAAGAGTGTGAGGAAGAAGGGAAGTGCTTCTGGGCAGTTTCCCCCAAAGCGCATCAGAGAAAGAAACAGAATAAGAGAAAAACCAGGACTTTGGGAGCTGGAGCCCTGAGGTCAGTAGGGAGCTGGTCACATTTCCTCAGGGCGTCCTTTAAAGATACCTTGAATGACCACATTCCCTGGAGGTGTCCCTTCTGTGGGGGCAGATGAGTAACAACAGGTCTCAGTTACTGGGTTCTTCTTACCAGGTCCTGCACTAAGTGTGTTAAATCTCATGTGGCTACCTACTCCAGTATTCTTGCCTGGGAAATCCCATGGACAGAGGTGGCCATGGGGTTGCAAAAAAGTTGGACACCACTGAGCGACTAAACAACAACCTCATGACAACCCTTTAAGGCAGCTACTATTACCACCTTCTTTTTACAGACAAGGCAACAGGCTCACGGCTCCTGGCAAGCAGGTGGCAGACGGCCATTTAAGTTGGGCTTGACTGACTGCACAGCCCATGCTCCAGACCATCATCGCAAGGCTGTCTCGGGTGCTTTTCTTACATCCAGCCTCAAAGGGTGGGCAGGAGGAAGCTCGGGGGTCAGGAGGTCCAATTCCAGCGTGGGGCTCACCCAGAGAGCGGACGGTGGCGTCGGCTATGATGCCCAGTTCCAGGAATGACAGGCCACCCAGGTTGTTGACCATCAACACTACTGAGGAGCCTGTGGGTGGACAGGACACCCAGGTGAGACTCTCTGGGCTCCATTCCCAGAGGGGGAGGCAAAGCGGGGAGACAGCGTGACAGCCCCTCACCGGACTGCACAGGCACATGGGACACGTTGGAGGAGCTCGTCATGTGGTCCAGCATGAGTGCCACAATCTCGTCAGCGGTCGCCATCTGTCACGGGGAGCCGGGCGTGAGCTGTGTCGGGGGCCCTAGTCTTGGGCCCGCCTGCGCCAGGGAGGCCGCCTACCTTTATCCGGCGCACGCCAGCCTCCCCGTGGATCCCTGTGGACAGACACAAGCACTGCTGACCCGCTTGGAGCCTGGAGATTCACTCAGCATGTTCTGCTCAAGGATTTTCTAAGTGGTGAGCACTAGGCTAGGCACGTGTATCTGGGGAGCGTGGGGCTGGGGGACACAGATGGTCTAGTGAAACACACACAGTCTCTGCTCTCTGGGAGCTACGGCTTGGTGATGGAGAGAGCCAGAGCTTTACTTAACCTCCAACTAGTGAAGTAGCCTAACTAGAGGCAGTCACAGAGAGGCCATATGAGGCCTCTGCCCATCACTCTGAAAGCACAGGGGAGGAAGAAGGGAAGTTCTGTAGCTGGGGTGGCCCCAGACCTGCCCTTGAAAGAAGGGCTGCATCTTGGCAGGGTCCTGGGTACTGGAGAATGGTGGAAACACAGGCAAGGAGGTGCACGGGACATGGAGCCCTGGGTGCGGAGGGCAATGGCTGGTAGAAATCAGGCAGGTTGGGCCAGAACGGCCTCATGGGCCCAATTAAAAAACCTCAGAGCCCTGAGGCGACGGCTCCATGTGAGCAGACCCAGTAGATGGCTCCCAGGGTAGAAAATGTTGGAAAAACCCAGGAGGCCCAAGGAGTCACAAGCTTACCCAGGCCCAGCTCCATCTCATCAGCTGAGAGCTCAAAAGTGGGTTTGGAACCAGGGACGCTGCAGGAGGACAAGCTCACTCCCAGGGTTCCTACGAGAAATGAGGTATGAAGGGGATGACTGTTCTGCTCTTGGCGTCAGGCGTCAGCTGGGCAGCAGCAAGCTCAGAAGTCTCTTCACTGATACAGGCTGCCAGACTCTTCATCTCAGTGATGGAAGAGAACCCCTGCTCGGGCACCCAAAGCCGCCGTTCCCGGGAACCCCTCCCGCAGCCTCTGGGAGGCCTCCTGTGCTGCTTCGGGGAACCTGCTCCTGGTCCAAGGTGGGCCTCGACCTCCCCTGCCCTTCCCGAGTCCTGAGCCGGCACTCACCCATGGCCTTGGTGACCATGCTCACCCGATCTGTGATCTCCTCCAGTCCCACACCTGCCTCGGCCAGAGCACCCGCCACCTGCGCCCAGAGACACAGGCCCCCAACGGGGAAAGGGTCACTGTACCACTTGCGGGCAGAAGACAGGCTGGGGCTGAGCTTCTAGCTGGGAACAGGGAATCTCTTCGTCCTGCTGCATCAACCTGGCCTGCCATATTTAGGGCAACTGCCCTGGCTCTTTAAGAATCCAAGAGCCAGAGGAACTTTACAAATGGAGAAATGGACCCAGAGAGGGGAGGTGGCTTGTCCAATGTCACACAGCCAGTTGGTGGCTAGCTTCCCAACTCTTGGCCTAGAGTTCTCTCTCCATGGTGTATGTATTGTGGCTCACTTTGGCCACCCACCCACTTCTTGCCAAGCATCTAGTATGTGCTGAAAAGGGGAAAAGGTGTCTAAATCATAGTCCCTGCTTTGGAGGAACTCTGTCTGGGGAGGGGTTGGAGAAACAGACAGCACAGACTGAAGGTTTCATGTGAGGTGACGCCTCTAATGATGGAGTTCACGGTAGGAGTTACGGGAACACTGAGGGCAGGGGGTCCAAGCCTGCTTGGCGTGGTGAGAGGGCAAACCTCCTGGAAGGAGAGACAGCAGGCGTGGGCCTCCACAGAATAGGAGTTAGCCAGGCCAAAGTGGGGCTGGACAGTGGAAGGATTTTCAAGGTCAAAGATTCAGCATCAGTAAAGCCCCAGAGGTGAGCCACAGCCCAGTAGTACCGGGTGCAGGTGTTCACGGAGCATGAGGAGGCCACAGGACAGTGGGGGAGGAACCTGAAAGCCAGGTGGGGGGGCAAGAGTGTGGTGGGCGCCTGACCAGGAAGCCTGCGCTGACCCTAGGAACCCTGGTGGGGGGCTTTCTGTAGCTGAACAGCCTGGTCAGAGACACATTGTTAAAAGACACCTCTGGGGTGGTATGGGGAAGAGACTGCGGGAGGAGCGGGAAGGAAGCAGGCAGAGGAGTCAGGTGAGAAGGCAGCGGCAGCCACCTGGGTGCAAGCAGGTAAGACCAAAGCAAGGCTAAGACAGGAAGGGCGGGGCTTGGAGGAGGAGGTGTCTTTGGAGGCCCTGGGGAGTAAGGCCACAGGATGGGGTGATGGGTGGTCGGGTAGGGGGAGGGCAGAGAAGGGGCTGGGAGGATGAAAGCCTGTACCTGGGCTGAGCTAGTTACGGGGATGGGGGTGCCCTCCTGGATCAGGGAGCGCTGGGGAAGCAGTGGCTTCCTGGGGGTTGGGACAGATGGCTAGAAAAGTCCAGCACCGGGTGCAGCCTGGAAAGCAAGGGCTGGGGTCCCAGGAGGGGACCCTCACCTTGTGTATGAGCACTGTGCCACAGAGCCCGCGTCGGCCTGCCTTCTTCAGGACGGTGAAGGCACTGTCGTCCCCGACAACCACCATCTCCACAGGAATGCCCTCCGCCCGGGCCTGCTCCCGGGCCAGGCCGAAGTTGAGCCGGTCCCCAGTGTAGTTCTTCACGATGAGGAGGGTCCCCACTGTGGGAGCAGCCAGCAGGGCCCCATCAGTGCCTGCCCTCCCCACAGCAGCCCCTCCTGCAGGCCAGGCTTACCTGTGCCCGCCTGGGCCACGGCCCTAATGGCTGCCAGGATGCTGCCCACTGCCGGGGAGGTGAATACGGCTCCCGCGATGACCCCAGTCAGCATCCCCTTCCCAATGAAACCTGTGATGGAGAGAGGAGGGGAGAGGATGCTGGGTGGGGACCTGTGTCTGCAGGCCCTGAGGCTCAGGGCTTCATGCCCTGGTGAGCCCTACTGTGTGCCTGGTGCGGAAGAGCACCTGGGTCACATTCCATAGATCTTTCATCTCCTTGGAGAGGTCTTCCCCAACCTCCCAACTGAACAGTCATTCATTCCATCCCCAGCTATTTGCTACTCCTTTATCCTGCTCTCCTGTCCTCCCTACCTCACTTACATGCTCTGAAATGATCCCTTTCGTTTGTGTGTTTACCTGGTTTCTGTCTCCCCAAAGGAGAACAGAAGCTCCATGAGGGCAGGTACCTTGTCTGTCTGGGTCAGTTTTGTGCCCCTAGTGGCCAGACAGTGCCAGGCACAGGTGCTCAGGAATGTTTGCTGAATAGATGGATGAATTCGCCAGAGAGACAGAAAAGATACAGAGGATACAAAAGCCTGGTCCCTACTCCTCCTCAACCCCCACCCCCATCCACGAGCTCTCAGGGAAAGTTCACATGCCTGGCACTAAATAGGAAAAATTCCAGGACTGTCCACTTTGAATGTGAAAATACAGGCTGGGAATTCAGAAGAGGAATACTGCTCTAGGCTGGAAAAGTCAGGAAGGCTTCATGGAGGAGGAGACGGCAGGTCAGCTGGGCCTGGGAGGCAGGGAAGATTTGTGAAATCACTGACACTCAGCTGGAAAGGCCTGAGAGATCATTTGGTCCAAACTTGTGCTTTTACAGACGTAGAGACTGAGGCACAGAGAGGCCAGGCCTGGCTTCAGATCACAGCTCAAGGGAGCAGAGAGCCAGAGCAGACATCAGGCTTCTGACTCTCGGCCTGGCTCCGTCCTGAACCTCCTAACGGCACCAAAGGTCTCCCAGGAGCCCCCGTGCACTCTCCCCAGAGCCCACCCCCACCTCTACCCAGGGCGCTCACCGGCATGGGCGGGCTCATGGCCAGAGCCCCCACCCGACAGCAGAGCCACCCGGCCCTTGAGGCTGTCCAGGTCCGAACGGAGGGCCACGCGGTGGCCCTGCAGTAGCTGCAGGCTGGGGTTGCAGGCCACTAGGCCGGCAAGGGCGTCGTCGGCACAGCCTGCCACTGAGTTCACTAGCTTCTTGGAGGTCTGTGGGAGAGAAGCAGGAGGTGGTCATGGGTGTAGCTGACAGGGACACCCCAGTCCTGCCCAGCCACACCGCTGTGACTAAGACCCCTAGCCCACACCTGCCCAGGAACTCCAGGGAAAAGCGGTTCCTCGAATTTAGGCATCATTTTATCTGGTGGATGCTTCTATGACTTTGTAATTTGTGACTTTTTATTCAGTGCCTAACCTGTGCCTTAAATTTATCCTGAAGAATGGCTTTGATACAAAGAAAATGGGGGAACTGGAGTCCTCAGTACAAAAAAAATTAGGACCCAACAGCCTTTTGTCAAAGGAGAAGAAGCCCCAGGTTGGGGCTCCTGTCCCAGGGGAGGGGGCCAGACAGGTCCCACACCCATCTGCTTCCTCAGCGAAACAGGGATTTAATGAACTACAGGATATGCCCACTATACAGTAAAAACTGAATAAAAGGGAGCTAGCCCCTTCTACGGAGAAGGCAATGGCACCCCACTCCAGTACTCTCGTCTGGAAAATCCCATGGACGGAGGAGCCTGGTGGGCTGCAGTCCATGGGGTCGCAGAGTCGGACATGACTGAAGCGACTTAGCAGCAGCAGCAGCAGCAGCAGTCCTTTCTACGGCCAGCTCCGAAAAGCCGGAGCTGGCTGAAAGGGTTGCATGTGGCTCCTGCCTTTGTCCCAAACAGAGAAACTGGTGCCCAATTAGGATCAGAGAGGGCTGGGCTCCCAGCGCCCCCTGGTGGCCTGACGACAGCCTGCAGCTGAGCCTTCCACAAGTAGGCCGGAACTTGGTTCTTTCATGCAAACTCTGGCCTTTTCTGGGTCGGGGGTGGGCCAGGGCAGTGAGCCAGACCTCATTCTAGATCCAGACCTGATTCTAAGCACGTTCAAGCACATCTCACTCAACCTTCCAACAACCCTATGGAGTAAAATTAGCCCAGTGAGGAAACAGGCAGAGTTATATGACTTTGCCCAAGGTCACAAAGCCAACAAGTGTCCAGGTCAGCCTGGCTCCAAAGCTAGTTCCATTTGGGCTTTATCATGCTGCTTTCCCCAGGGGCTGAAGGGAGGCTGAGAGTGGCAGACGTTCTGCCCGAGTGAAGGCATGGGCTTGTGGTTCCCAGAGCCTGGAACATGCAATGAAGTTGAGAGTGGGTCTCAATTCCAAGCTCAGCCTCCAACGCCACTACCCTCTGAGAATGGGTCCCCTTGCCATCCCTGACAGTCTGCCCTCCCTGGGATTTGCAACCATTCCCAAACAAGAGCCAGAGGAGAGGTCAGGGGCCAGTGCCATCCGTGGCTCCCAGTGTCCTGAGGGGATGGAAGAAAGGAAAGTTGCATCCCACAGGCAAATGTGAGAGGCCCCTAGATCCTGGTCTGGTCAATACCCCATCGACTAATCTGTAGATGAAGAAAGAGGCTCGGAGAGGTCATGTTTCCGTAAAATGTCACACAGCTGGTTAGTGGTAGGCTGAAACTTGGACCCAGGGCTGCCCAGGCATGAGTTTGAGCACAATCTGTGACACAGTGAAAAGCAGGGAAGACTGGTGTGCTGCAGTTCATGGGGTCACAGAGTTGGACACGACTAAGAGATTTCACAACATCTGCCCAGGGCTGTTTTGCTTCAGACCATTTCTAGAATGAGCCTGGAGCATGCCGAGGGTCATGGTGAGCCTCCTGCACTGTAGATCCCACAAGCCCACACACGCCCAAGACTCAGAAAGACACAACAGGTCCTTCTTTTGGACTCCTGTGTCTGGTAGTGTCTATTACAGAGTAGGTAGCTGTTAATGTTCTAAATGCATGACCCAGATCAGGGCCATGTGGGCCTTGGAGGGACTCAGAGGCTGCAGCCACAGACTGGGCTGGGCCTAGCTGGGAAATGAAGGGAAGTCAGGCCCTGAGACAGAGGATGACTCTCTCTCTTAAGCTCAGTAGGCAGCAGCATCTCTTGGTCAGGGAGTGAGGAACTGCAACATGCCCAGGGCCGGCACACCTACTGCCCCAAGGCCATAGCCATAGTGCCCTTCCCCTGCCCTGGCCCTCATGGGACTCACCATGATGGGGAGGCTCTGAAGGAAGTTTGCCTCACACCGTCTCACTGAGCTTCTGGCAGATGGGCAATCCCGTGGAAGCAATCAGGTCTGAGCACAGTGAAGATGGCAAGCAGAATCTGCAAGAGGTGGGTGACAACATGAGCTGCTGAAGACACTTGCAGCCTACTGGCACAGTCATGCTTCCAGCGCCCTGGTAATTAGTGAGCTTCCCCAGACTTTGATCTAAGTCCAAACTCTAGAATGTGAGCTGGGGATGGAGAAGAGTTTGGGGCTGACCAAGGTTCACATTCTGCACCTGGCTGCCAGAACACTGATAGATCCATGCTGGGCACACGTCTGCCTTATGCTCAGGAGTGGTGCCCACCTTATCACCAGGGGGCAAAGTTACCCACAGAATAACTTCATCTATTACACGGGCACACATGCAGTGAACACATTCCTAAAGATCTTCACAGACTTGCTCTTGTCAGTGTTGGCACCTTACCAGGAAGGAGATGGCTGAGTCTGTGACTCTATTTTCCTTCTGGGAAACTGACCCAGCAAACTCTGTGACGTGCCCAAGGCCATTCCAACAACAGCCAGGATTCAAACCTATGTTTAGCTTCTCGACAAATCCTGTGTTCTTTCTACTGATAAATTCAGTGCCTCCAAAGTCAAGATTGAAAGTCCTTGATGTGGGAAATCACATATGTAAATCACAAAGACCTTTCGGTTCAGCCAGGTTCAAAGGTGTCTTGGGCTCAAGGCACCTTTCTGCAATGGAAAGACTCCCCACCAGTCTCAGCACCTAGCTCTGCCTCTGATTTTCTAGGGGATTCTGGGTAAACCAATCTGCCTGAGCCTCAGCTTCCTCATTTGTAAAATGGGGGCAGCTTCCTCAACAGCCTTGCGGCAGGTGCTCCAAGCCACGTGGTTCTCCTTCTACTCCTTGCAGAGCCTGTCTGATGTGGAGTGGCTTGCAAGCTGCAGGGTTAACTGACTGCTTTCCTGGGTCACTAAGGTTCTCACCAGGGAAATTGTGGTTTCGTGTTTGAGGTCTGAGTTTGCACAAACCACGGGGGCACTAACTCAGCTGGAGAAGGGGCCTGCTGGGGCCTTGAAACACAGTTTCAAACACAAACAAGTTCAAAGGAGAGAAGGGACAGTCTAAGCGCCTCCCCCAGACGCCCGTCAGGTGAGATAGAGTGATCGGTCATTCTAGGATCAGGCACGGCTGGGTTTAGAGATACTGGGAAGGCTAGGGAGAGGGAGGTACGAACCTCGGTTCTAGTCTGGGAGGTGCACAAATTGATGTCACCTTCCTCCCCCTCTCTGGGCCTCTGCAGTATCTTCCGGTTCCAAAATAGGGAATAGCCCCGAGGGCTCCTGGAGCTAAGAAGGGGGTGTGGACGGGGTCTGGGGAAGGGCGAGGGAAGCGGACTACGGATGAGGTCGGCGGGTCAGCTCCGGGGAAGAAGAAAGAGTCGGCGAACCTCTGCGAACCGCTCTCGCCAGGGTAAACCTTTTCAGTAACTGCCACCGGGACCGAAAGACTCGCGACGGGGCGCTCTCATCCGGGTACGCCAAGCTCCGGCGGTAGGAACTGGGCGGGGCCTCCGGGGGGCGGGGCCTCCCTTGGTTGGCCGCCTCTGTCTCCTTGAGTCCTCCAGGAGGCCAGGTGAGGCTGTCCCGTGATGCCCCGCGCCCCGGCCGCTCTGGCCTGCAACGTGTCTCTGGGGCGGAGACAGCGGCAGTGGAGTTCGCCGCGCGCGGGTGGGGGATCCAAGTCTTTTCGCTTGTGTCCATCCCTCTATCGTTGCGCTTGAGTCCCACTGGGCTTCCCCAGGCCTCGACATGTCGTACAACTACGTGGTAACGGCACAGAAGCCCACCGCCGTGAACGGCTGCGTGACTGGTGAGGCTGCCAGGGCAGGAGACCCCTGCGAGGGAGGGAGCTGGGGGCAACTGAGGCCTAGGGAAGCTCGCGGCCCCCGGGTGGCCACCAAGCCCGCGGCCAGGACCGGGCCCGGGGAATGAAAGGCGCTGGCTGCGGAAGGACGTCCCACAGTCCCCGACTTCAAAGAAGCTGTCTAAACACACGCCTTTTAGGGGAGTAAGCACCTTTAGGGGAGTCAAAACTGCTTTTGAGGGTCCACTTTCGTTCTCGGAGGTCACTTGGCCTCGAGGACAGGGACGGGCCCGGTGGGACAGAGAGTGGGCTCTGAGTTGGTTGTGCGGTGTTGCCTGAGCCGCGAGATTGGCCTCGCGAAAGGGCGGTGGTGATGGCGATTTGGGGGCACGAATTTTCAAGTGGGAGATCCTGGGAGGTGGAGGGATGTGAAGAATGTCCGCACTCAGGCGAAAGAGAGGAGTCCGGTTTGCCTGAGGCTGTTGTTTACAAGAAGGAGCTGCTGGGGAAGAGGGTTTAGAATGGCCCAGCCCAGTGCTGGGCTTGCGTTGTTTGTTTGTGCAAGAATTGTTAAGGACACAGATGTCCAGAATAATCATCTTGAGCCAAATTTTCAACAGAATAGGAAGCTCTCAAACTTGTATTTTTATGTAAATTTTAGTCACGATTCCAAAAGAAAACTATTGTTTGGAGAGTTGGAGGCGGTGAAGGAGTGTGGATGGGGTTTTGGTAGACTGCAGGGAGGGCAGGCGGGGCAAACAAAGCAATATTTTAAGGTGAAGCTCTGAGAATTCTCTTTGTTTGATCTGGTCTGTTTGGTAAAGGTTTTGTGAAAATCCAACTAAGGAACTGACTAGAGAGGAACACTTTCTTCAGCATCTCTTCTTAATTAGAGGATGAGTCGGCCACTGCAAAGGGAAAAGTGAAATCCGAGGGCACAGAGCCATCTGAAGGGTTTTCACAGGCATTGTCAGGTGAAGGACATGCTGCTTTTAGGCCCAGGCTAGTTTTCTTAGTCTGATGAGGAAAGTAGCTTTCTTGAACGTATGGAGTGAAATTCTTTGAGGATTTGTTGAGAAGGGAGAGAATGGAGGGAGCCAGAGAAATATGTGAAATAAGTGAGGATTCAAGAGGTTTTAGGTAGAAGTGATAGGATTACTTAGTGCTTTGGCTTCAAAAATTAGAGGATCTGTTCTTGCAGGACACTTTACTTCAGCGGAAGACTTGAACCTGTTGATTGCCAAAAATACAAGATTAGAGATCTATGTGGTCACTGCTGAGGGGCTTCGGCCTGTCAAAGAGGTGGGCATGTATGGGAAGATTGCTGTCATGGAGCTTTTCAGGCCCAAGGTAAGTGTTCTGGGTTGGTTGGGCCCAGCAACAAAGGGAGAACTGTTGGTTGTAGTTGAGTTTATGCTGTTTTATGTCATTGCTCATTTAGGATGGCCGAGAGAATAAGGCCTGGGAGAGAAATAAGGCCTAGGAGAGAAACTTTTCTCTTTTTGAATGGCAGAGTTCAGTTTATATTCTTACTTAATAAGTTTCCAAGAGATAGAAGGAGAAATTCGCTGGGGAAAAAAATTATTTTATCAAGTTGACTTTTTTAGAAGAGAATATTAAAGCAGTTTGAAATGTGGGTCACCATCCTGTGGGCCATCATAGTGATTCAGAGAGTAGGCTCTGGAGTTAGGGCAGTACACTTTATTCCTTACTAAATCTAATTTTGGGTGTCACCTAACCTATTATTTCTGCATCTGCAAACTGGGGATAACAGTATCCAATCTTCTGGGTTATTGTGAAGATGAACAGCACCTAGCACATAATGAACATTCGCTGTTACCACTTACCATCGAATTATTATCATTGTTATAATCTAACTGCTTTCATCAAAATAGCCACCATGTTGCTTCATTATGTTTTTATTGAATCTGATAAGAAAGCAGTGGGTTCAAAATTTAAATTATAACCCTTTAAACAAAAACTCACTTTGTTGGGGTCTATTAATAAGTAAGAAAGACTTGGTCGATGCATTTGAGCTTCCGTTCACAGTTTTTTTCTTTTTTCCAAGTATTTGGGAGGGATTAGAGGAGGCGTTACATTCATCTTTCAGAATTTGAATGGAATAACTGAGATTAGCTGACTTGGAACTAGATGAATACATTGTTTGTAGAGCAGAGATAGAGAATCATGAAAGTGGACTAAATGTTTACCAGCTTCAGTTCTGACCCTTAGGGTGTGTGTAACTCATGTTGTTTATTAATGTATGTGCTCACCATGGATTTTTTTCAGGGAGAAAAGAAAATTCTTGAAGAATTTCATATGCTTAAGGAATGATGAAAGCCTAGATAGATATTCCTGTTTTCAAAAGAAATCTGTTTTGATGGTATGATGTTGGTTTCCAGGGGGAGAGCAAGGACCTACTGTTTATCCTGACAGCTAAGTACAATGCCTGCATCTTGGAGTATAAGCAGAGTGGCGAGAGCATTGACATCATAACTCGAGCTCATGGCAATGTGCAGGTGAGGTGGTTGCTGCAGGCTGATGAGAGTTTTCCAGGTAGGGTTATCATGATTTGGTGAAGGAAATTGAAGTGCCGGGGCAGCTCTCTGTGGTTAGAGAAACAAGGAGAAAACACTAAGGACTTCTGTAGTTTACTCAGAATCCAAGGGATAAGGTAGGTAATAATACTTCATTGAGATTCAGTGTATTGCAAAAAAGCCCACCCTGACATTTGGGCTACTTAGCCTGTCAAAAAGATGGCACTCGTTTTACTGCCACTCCTGCTGAAGTCATCCTGGGAAGGTGGTGCCCAGTGTTCTCTGTTACCCTGGGTGTTGAGGTTCTTCCCTAACCCCAGTTTTATTTCTCAGGACCGAATTGGCCGCCCGTCAGAGACAGGCATTATTGGCATCATTGACCCCGAGTGCCGAATGATTGGCCTGCGACTCTATGATGGCCTGTTCAAGGTTATTCCACTAGACCGGGACAATAAAGAGCTCAAGGCCTTTAACATCCGCCTGGAGGAGTTGCATGTTATCGACGTCAAGTTCTTATATGGTTGCCAAGCACCTACCATCTGCTTTGTCTACCAGGTACTGGAGCAGGAGGAGAGGGAGAAGCAGTGTGGTTTGGCACAGTGGGGAGTTCATTTTTGCTCATCAGAATGTCTAGATTTCATGGTAGGATGGGCAGAAGTGTTTAATGTATTTGTCCTGAAATGTTTTGAATGATGTAATTAGTATGTGTGAGGTTTTGGTTGCACCTTGAGAACAGTAGTACTTATTGTGGAGGCAGGAAGCAGTCAGGAGCTTGTAGCAGGCTTTAATCCTGAGATTACACTCTGGTTGTGCGCCTTGAAGATTTTGTAGGGTGACCCAGTTTATACTTTGTCACTTACTGGCATGCTAGGGGATTACTAAAATTTAGCTGTAGAGAAATGATCTGGAAATTGCCTTTACACGCAGTGAGAAAATGTCTTGGGGATGCTTTATGTGTCTTCCAAGAAGAAGTACATTTTGATCAGCACGCAACTTTCTGGTGACTGCTGGCTCTTGACTTCTATTTTAGTCTGTGCCTAAAACTTTTGTTGAGCTGATCCTGGGCAGCTGTTCTCTGGGCCAGATCTCTTGAGGGGGTGGGGGTGGGGGCAGGGTGGCAGAGCACCAGACTAACATGCTTGTATCTTGGTAAAATCTCAGCCTTTTAACAAAGGGCCATACAGCATGAGGTTATTTCAGTAGCATGTGCTTGAATAAATGTTGGAAGGAAGCTTAGTCCAAGTTTTAAGTACTGTGTGTGGGCATGTAAACACTTTGATAGCTGTGTTAAGTATTGGAAATACTGATGTATTTTTGTGTATTTCTTAGTGTCACCTGAGTGCTGGTTTTGATTCTGGTTGATATAAAGTTCATTTGAATAGGTTGAAATCAGCTTTGGAGATTTTGTTTAATTTTGTTTATAATACATTAAATATCAGAGCTGAAATAAAAACTTAGGATTTCTCTTCTTCAGTTTTGTAAATATCAGGTCATTAAGACATTGATGTTGGTTATTCAGGACTGACTCTGGCCAGACCCAGGGCTGCCAGTTGTGAATGAGCTTCATTTCCATATGTGGGAAATGGAGGCCCAAATCCAAAACCCATCTTGAACACATGGTGAAGTTGAGTCTTACTCCTAATTATTGATGGCAAAATTCTCATCAGCTATAAATTATTTTTTTCTCATGTTTTGTGCTCAAAAGTTAGTTTGAAAACTATCACATGAGGGAGTTCCTGGTGGTCCAGTGGTTAGTATTTAGCACTTTGACTGTCGTGGCTTGGGTTCAGTGCCTGGTCTGGGGACTGAGATCCTTCAAGCCCCGCGGCGTGGCCAAAATTAAAAAGATAAAAGAGAAAGGAAAATACCACGTGAAAGGTAGTCATGCACTGTGCGTCAGGAGCTATAACAGTGATTGAGATGTGGTCCCTGCCTTGAAACACAGCCGGATTCCTTCCATAACTTCTCAGAGCCTGCTCTGGCCTTTGATGAGGCCACTCTCCACTGGCCTCAGGCCGGCTCCTTTAGTCTCTTAAAGGTGACTTTGATAGTTCCAGGTCTGAAGTGAGTCATGGTTCAGAAAAAGGAGGGGAAGATGGTGTTGATGATGGCAGGGTTGGAAGTTTCGACTAACGTTAGAGGTGTTGCATGCTCTGTTTTCTGCTGTCACCCCATCAGAATGCGTCTGAGAGTGTATCAAACAAATTTTTAAAATGTGTTAAATGTATTTCACTTCTCAATGTGTTTGACTTTCCTCTTTAGCTATTTTGTAAGTTCCTTGAAAGTAAGGAATAGAGGAGATATATACACACACACACAAATGTACATATATGTACGTTATATTTCTGTAGTGGTTAGTACAGTGTGATATGTTCATTTTTCTACTTTTTAAATCTCTTAGTTGGTTTCGTTGTTAGAAACAGTTGGCCTCAGTTGCAGTCTCCCCAGACTATCACAAGCCCAAATGGTGGCTGTCAGCATGCTCATGGATAAGGATGGGGAGGCTGGTGTGACAGGAGTGTCCATTGCTGTCCGTTTCAGGACCCTTCTCCAGCCCAGGGTTCACCCTTCCTAGGGACTAAATATTCTACCTTTCCCCACCTAGGACCCTCAGGGGCGGCACGTAAAAACCTATGAGGTGTCTCTCCGAGAGAAGGAGTTCAATAAGGGCCCTTGGAAACAGGAAAACGTAGAAGCTGAAGCTTCCATGGTGATTGCAGGTTTGTTGGGGGATGTAGGAAATAGGCCCTGCCCCAGTTCTCTGTTGTTCCTTCCCCACCTTCTCTGCCCCTTTATCTCCGTGCTCCAGTGCTGTTGAGCACATGCATTGTTCACCCCTCCCTTATGTCTCCTTTCTGTAAATGTGCTTCTCTTTGCTTTTTGCATTTCCATCTTCAAGATCGTCTTGTTTTTCACTCTTCCCCCCGCAAAGTGTAGTTTTCCTTTCTTTGTGGTGGTGGGTTTAACTAAAACAATGAGATTGATTTGCTGAGTGGCACATGGAAAATAGTCTCATTTTATTGTTGGCAAACATTTTTAAAAACCAAAAGAGGCAATAATGCTTATCTTATCTGGTTCCTTTATTTCCCAGATGAGGAAACAGGGCTGAGGGACTTGCCTGTGCCTGTACCTCACTGGCAAAGCCTGGGCTGAAGTCCAGGTCTCTGCTGTTTATCCTATATCCTTCCTCAACATTGTTATGTGTTTTACCCAGTAGAGAAGTTTTAAAACTCTTAAGTGCAAATTGGTTCTTTTATATGGTGACCCTGATAATGGGGGAAGTTAAGCTAAGGAACAAGGGGAAAAAGTAAAAACTTTTGGAACAGACATTTAGAAGAGAAAGGGGCAGAATGCGTATGAAAGAACACTGGGAAGACTTCCCATCCTTCAGACCATGTGAACTTCAAAAGAGTGGCAATGAAAATATTTATCAGGAGTACAGAGTGAGCAGCTTACAATTTCTAAGACAGGAATCTCAGAAAAAGGTTATCGTGTTCCCTGGACTTTGATGTCTAAAATAATGATTATCCTCCAGTTCGCCTCAGAGATATCTGGCTCAGTGCCTGAGTTGCCTCAGGGTTTGGCAGGTTCCAGATGCTGAGCATTCTAATGCTGCCCTCTCTTCTGCAGTCCCTGAGCCCTTTGGAGGCGCCATCATCATTGGACAGGAGTCGATCACGTATCACAATGGTGACAAATACCTGGCTATTGCCCCTCCCATCATTAAGGTAAGCAGTATTCTTTTCCTTTCTTTCCTTCTGTTTGTCTCTCCCTCCTTATCCCCTCATTGGTCAGAAGGGGATTCACAACCGTCACATTATTCACTATGTATATGAGACTGTTGGTCACTGGGAATACAAAGAGAGATTGGCTTGGTTTTGTTAACAAAGAGCTTGCTTGCTAACTAAGGGAGAGAGAATAAAGTTCAGATTATCTTTTCTATTCACTTCTGCAATGTGAAGAAAGGAGAAATTTGGGTAATTTTATTGAATACTAATGTCGTCAGAGTTCAAAACATGTAAAATAATAAAGTGAAAAATACATACAGACTTAAAACGTTGGTCATAAAAAAATTCACCTTAAGATACTGAGTCATAAAAATGAAGCCTTGTATGTTTAGTTTTATCTTTTGAGGCTAAATAACAAACTCTATGGTAGCATAGTCCAGGGAATACTTACAGCTGTTTGCTCTTATATATTTGTTTTCCAGTAGAATGACATGTGAGTAAACAGTTAAAGTATATTGAGCTCCTTGGAACATTGTCCCCAGAAATAAGGCGCCCCTGATTTTGGCCACCGTGTGAGCTGAGTGGGTGCCTTGCTCCTGGCGTGACTGGGTTTGGTGAAGGGCGCGGTCGCCCGGGTCCACTGCGCGGTGTGGAAGGCGCTTTCTGTCCGCTGACTGTCTCCCTCTTGGCAGCAAAGCACCATTGTGTGTCACAACCGAGTGGACCCCAATGGCTCTCGCTATCTGCTGGGAGACATGGAAGGACGGCTCTTCATGCTGCTTTTGGAGAAGGAGGAGCAGATGGATGGCACCGTCACCCTCAAGGATCTCCGTGTGGAGCTCCTTGGGGAGGTAGGCCTTGTCCCTGCTCTTTTACATTCTACTAGGTGCCTGGTGACCCCAGATGTGTGGTCTGAAACTGCAGCTGGGAATTACATGAGTTGACAACAAATGCTCAGTCCTGCTGTGGGAGTTAGTTTTGGAATGAGTAGATTCTAGAGAATCTCAGTGGGTGCTACCTCAAGTATCAAAAGAAAGAGAAACAGAAAGATACACTACAGAATTAAAGGTTAATCTAGGGCTGATACTGATTTATGGGAGGACATTCTAAAATAGTACTTAAAAAAAAATAGTACTATTAAGAACAACTCAATGAATTTTAGAGGTCTCTAGCTATTTGGAGCTGTTGGGATTAAAATGGTCATTTAGAGCAGGAATATATATTTAGAGCTGACTATAGGGATGCGATAAGGAAGAGTCACAAACTTCAGGGATTTAGGAACGTTTGTTGAGTGTTACCTGGGGATTTGAAATGAAGACTTGTTTTGGGAACCATGGCTGCAGTTGTTGTTTTCCTAGGCACAGGTCTGAGAGATGGATAGGATGGTGTCTGGATCCCTTGTGAAGTACATTCTGATGACTTTCATGCTACTGATTTTCTTTTAGACCTCTATTGCCGAGTGCTTGACGTACCTTGACAATGGTGTTGTGTTTGTCGGTTCTCGCCTTGGTGATTCCCAGCTTGTGAAGGTGAGAAGACATTTTCTTCTTTCTGGCTTCTCTTTTGCAGTCTTCACTGCTTCTTCTTCAAGTTTTTCCCCTGTGTTTGGTGCCACTCAGAGTTTCTTCAGTTCATTCATATCCCTGCTAACACCTTTTTACTTGGTTGATGTAGCATCCTACCTTGATTAGCTCTTTGCCCTAAATGTTCATTCAGCAGTGTGTTAGGTTCTGTGGATACAATGATGAGCAAGATCCAGCTTCTGCCCTCAAATAGATTATAGTCTAATATACTTTATCCCTCTAGAATATAAGAATTTGAGCCTTCTCTGCAGAAAAATGCATGCAAACATTTTACATTAATTTCCAAACTGTTCCTCTGAAATCCATCCATGGGATGCCAGGTTAGAAATCCCTGACTGGTTAGTGGATCACCTGTAGGATACCCATGTCCCTTAGTCAGCATTTCCCTTCTGGAAGCATCCAGTAGAGCACAGGAAGGGCAGACCTAGTAGGGTTGAGTTTCTTTTGGATGATAACTATCTCTCTAGGGAGCATCTGGAGCGTTCTAAGACTAAAATTGTTCTTTCTTTTTTAGCTCAATGTTGACAGCAATGAACAAGGCTCCTATGTAGTGGCCATGGAAACCTTTACCAATTTAGGGCCCATTGTGGACATGTGCGTTGTGGACCTGGAGAGGCAGGGGCAGGGACAGGTAAGGGGTCATCCTGGAAAGGGATAGTTGGTATGCCCACTCAACCTGTGTCCTGTGTCTGCTTACCTTGAATGGGGAATGTGCACTGCAGATAAGTTTTGAGAGCCTCACTCACTAATTCCAAAGATGCAAGGATTACTGCCATTTATTGAGTGCCTATCTTGGTCTGCCAGGCACTTTACATACATTATCTCTGATCACCCCAGCACCCTTTTAGATAGGGATTCTTGCCTATTTCAGAAGTGAGGAAACTTAAGGCCATGAAGGATTAAACAACTTGTCCAGCGTCACATAACTACTAAAGGGCAAGTGTGTCTGCCCCCAGATCCTGTGCACTTCCTTCCCAGGAAGGAAACAAGTTTGCTGGGAGTAGTGGTAGGACCCTTTTGCTTCGTGGACTAGAGCGCCCTATCTGCTTGATAAATTTTAGAGACTTTGGCAGTCACCCTCTGCTAATTCTGCATCCTCAAACCTAGCTCCCCAGCAGAAGGTGCTTGGATTTAGGTACACCTTGTTTACTTTCTGAGCATCAGTCCAGTTGCCCCCATCTCTGGAGGGGGTTATTTAGAAACCTTTTCTCTACTTGCAGCTGGTCACTTGCTCTGGGGCATTCAAGGAAGGTTCCTTGCGAATCATCCGGAACGGAATTGGAATCCACGAGCATGCCAGCATTGACTTGCCAGGCATCAAAGGTAGTCTTTCGGTGGACATAGGATGCAAATCTTATTTGAGTGACTTTGGCCTCATTACATGTCATGAGGACGCTTGGGAGCTAGAGGAATGCAAATCAAATGAAGAGAAAAAAAAAGTTTTAATGCCAAATAAGTGATGGAAGGTTAAATGTATTTAAAGGTTCCAAAGTAAACTTAAGATATTGACCAAAATTGGATAATGGAGTAGAGAAATGGGCAATTTAGTGGAAAATTGAATGTTGTTTACATAAGGGAACTGATAGAATCCCTAAAGAAAGAGGAGACTGAGAATGTCAGAGAATGAGGTATGTAGCCAAGGTAACTTCTAGAACAAAAGTACAAATCTTCCTAAATTCCAGGAGAACTGTAATGATCAAAAAGATCAAAGAAAGACTACATAGCGAAAGACTTTTTTAATATACAAACAGGAGACATAACCTAAAATAATATGATAGAACTCAATGTCAAACATCTGTATGAGTGACTGATACGTCAGATATCTGCTATCAGTATATGTGAATAGGCTAAAATGACCTATTAGAAGAAGTAGATGATCAGATTGGCTCATAAGGCAAAAATTAATTCAAAGTAGTATATATAACACAACTTAAAAGTAATTTAGAATATAGAAAAGTAAGAAGATGAGAACAGCTTAAAAAAAAAAAACAGGTTTATGAATTAGGAAGAGATCATAAAACTACAAAACCCAAGAGAATGAATTGAATAGCTATAGACAATAAGAACTCATTAAGGTAGATATAAAATAACTGAAATCAATAGCTTTCATGTAAAAACACAGTCAGTTAGAAGGTGTAGTAGAGGAAAAGAGGAAAAAAGAGGAAAAGAGGAAAAATAGCAATAAAAAGATAAAATACCACAGAATAAGTTTAGCAAGAATTGTGCAAAAATGTTTTTGTTTTAAGAATTGTGCAAAATTTATTTAAGGAAAACTTTAAAATACTCCTAAAGGATTGAAAGGATAGATTGATCAAATAAAAAAGACATGCTAAGGTCTTATAAATTAATAATATAAAGCTTTCTCTCTCTTTGATCTTTATATTAAAATATATTTCAATAAAAAATACCAGTAGGTTTTTTTTTTTTTTTCTTTGACCTGGACAAGTTGAAGTCCAAATGGGAAGCAGAAGATGCAAGGAAAGGTGGAAAAACTTAAAAAAGAACAATGAGGTGGGTCTAGTCCTACCAGATAATAAAAGATACTGTTAAACCTTAGAAATTGAAAGTGTGGTTTTGGTGCCCAAATAGGCAGGAATCCCATGAGCAAACTCAAATGTCCAGAAATAGACACAGTTGTGTATGGGGCTTTAGTGTAGGATAGTGGTGGTATCTCAACTCAGTCAGGTAAGGATGATTCTTTTGAATAAACAGTGTTGGGATAACTAGAGTCATTTGAGAAAAGATAAGTTTGGGTCCATACTGTACAATGTGTACCTTGCTAGAATCTATCAAAGACTTAATGTAAAAAATTGAAGCCATGCAAAAGCTAAAAGAAAAAGTTGGTGATTTCCTTTCTAATTTTGGAGTGGGGAAAGTCTTTCAAACTCTGAGTCAAAAGTACAGAAGCCAAAAGGAGACTGATAAATTCAACCACATAAAAATAAAATACTCTGCTTGGCAGAAACGAAACACTATAAGCTAAGTTAGAAGAAATGGTAAATAAGATGAAAACATTTGTAGTTCATCTTATATACAAAGGCCTGGTCTGTCTAATTGATAAAAACTGATAGACAACCAAATTTCCTGCCCCCAAATTGACAGAGTACATGAATGGACAGATAACAAGCCTAACTTATAATAAGTGCAAATCAAAATAGTCATACTATTCTTCACCAGTTGCCAAAATCCAAGTGTGACAGTGTCTGTGTTGGTGAGGCTATGAGGAATGGGCATGCTCATTGGCAGTGTCTTCTGAAATTACAGCTGATTTACCCTGCAATCCCAGTTCTGGGCATCTGACCCATAGACTTTCATGTACATCAGATGACATAAATACAAGATTATTCATTGTGGTATTGTATATTATGGCAGTATACTGAAAAACCATCCATCATTGGGAACTTGCTAATAAACTAGTACATCCATAAAATTAAATACTGTGCAAAGGTCAAAAACAAGGAACTGTTTTGTTCTGATAAGGACTCAGACATATATTAGATGAAAAAAACAATGTGTAGACAGTTTGTGAGAGGCTACTGTATTGGCTTGCAATACAGCATTTATCTATTGAAAAGAATTGAAGGGATAAATTATTATTGTTTACTTACTTGGGGGCTAGGTTGGAAGGAGAGGTATAGGGGTGAGACTTCTATGTTAAATATTTAAAAAATAAATTTTGACTTTGAGTCATGGAAATGAATTATCCCATCCAAAATCAAATGAAAAGCTTTGAAATATCAAGCACAAACAATTTAAAAAATACCAAACTTCTTCAAAGTCTTGAAGCCAGGGAGGAACAGAGTGGGTATTTCATCTTAGGACTGGACTCCCAAGTTTCTTGCTCTTTTTTTGGAGTTAGGCTGCTCCTTCCTTAGACCGTGTGGAGCCGAGTGTTGGTCCGTGCTGTGCCTCTTAATCTTTGATCTGTGTTCCAGGCCTGTGGCCACTGAGGTCTGATCCCAACCGGGAGACCGATGACACATTGGTGCTCTCTTTTGTGGGCCAGACAAGGTAAGAAGAGTCAGCTCCAAGCGTCCATGTAAAGATTGCAAGGTGGGGCAGCTGGTCCGGCTAACCCCAGCCTTCCCTTCTGCTGCAGAGTTCTCATGTTAAACGGAGAGGAAGTGGAAGAAACCGAACTGATGGGTTTTGTGGACGATCAGCAGACTTTCTTCTGTGGCAACGTGGCTCATCAACAACTTATCCAGGTAGTAACTGAGGAAAGGGCAGGCCCCATTTATGCATCAGTTTGACCTGGAATGCAGTACAGAGCACCACTGGATTTTAAAAGTCAATTTTTATGGCTCTAAAAGTAATGTAAAAAGGCTTGGGAAAAAAATTGAAATTACCTAATCACCCATTACTGAGAGGAACCTAACTCTTTTTTTTTTAACTTTGGAGTTAGTCCTTTTAGTTTTAATTTTCTTTTGCAAATGTATGTATAGTTGGTCCTTTGTATCTGTGGGTTTTGCATACATGTACTCAACCAACCACAATGAGAAGTATTTGGGGTGGGAATTCCCTGGAGATCCAGTGGTTAGGACGCAATACTTGCACTTCAATCCCTGGTCAGTGGACTAAGATCCTGCAAGCCACTCAGTGCAGCCAAAAAAATAAAAAATTGGGGGGGGAAAACCATCAGAAAGTTCAAAAAGTAAAACTTGATTTTGCTTTGCCTCAGCCACTATTTACATATCATTTACATTGTATTCACAGTTATTTACATAGTATTTACATTGTATATTATATTGTATTGTAACTTCCTTTGTGGCTCAGTCGGTAAAGAATCTGCCTGCACTAGCCAGATTCAATCCCTAGATTGGGAAGATCCCCTGGAGAAGGAAATGGCAACCCACTCCAGTATCCTTGCCTGGAAAATCTCTTGGACAGAGGAGCCTGGTGGGCTGCAGTCCATGGGCTCGCAGAGTCGGGCACGACTGAGCAACTAAACGCTACATTGTATTAGGTATTACAGACAATCTAGAGATGACGTAAAGTGCACTAAAGGATGTGAGTAGGTTATAAGCAAATACTGTTCAATGACGTAAAGTGCACTAAAGGATGTGAGTAGGTTATAAGCAAATACTGTTCTATCTTATATGAGGGACTTGAACATCTGCGCATTTGGTATTGACTGGAAATTCTGGAACCAGTCCCCTTCGGGTACTGAAGGATGGCTGTATATTGTATTTATTTACATTTTCTGTTATGGATGGGATTATTGGGTGTGTGTGTGTATTTGGGGGAGCAGGGCGATATTGTTTTAGTACTAATTATATCCTGTCATCTGAGACACATTTTTCCACTCATTGTAATAGTAATATATACTTATTTGGAAAATACTGAAAAGCACAAAGAAGAAAAAGATTAGTCATACGCTACCATCCATATATGACTTTTGATAGCACTTCTAGTGTACTGCTTATAACTAGAGCTCTAACTCTGTTCAGATACTTATTTTAACTTTTTCTGTGATAATGGGGATCATATAGCCCTTTGGTACTTGTTCGCCACGAGAGCCTGATTTCTTTGCCCCTCTCAGGACCTGGCAGGCTTAAGTTTGGAGTGGCCATGATGCTCTTGGTTTTTTGCACACCCTCCTCACCTCAGGAGCCGTTCTCCACACTGAGCAGAGTCAGTATTTGCCTATCGTGGCTGTAGCACTTGAGGGCCTAAGGGTTACTGAACTGTCTCCATAGTTTTATTCTCTTGGTCTTCCTTTTAGCCAACAGGCAGTGGTGGGTTTAGTTAAAAACCAGAGGGAAGGTCTGTCACTTTGTTGAACAAGTGTGGGAAGTGCCCAGATACTGACTCAATGCTTTGTCAGTGTTTTCTAACTGGGACCTGAATTCTGGCCCCAGCTCACATATCTTGTTATTCAAGGGCCTTCCTCTTTTTTTAATTTTCAGAATTGTGCTGCTTCACTGGTTTTGTAATTTGTATTGGACCAGACTCTTCACAAACTGATTTCCTATTTTATGCCAGCTCAGTTATTACTAATGATGGGCTTCTTTACCAAATGGAAAGACTAATAACTATAGGAAGTCTTATGTAATCGCATTGTAGTTCATTAGTATCAGTAATAGCTTGTGGTGTTTTTCTGCATCTCCCATAGTGTTTATAGTTCTAAAGGTCTTTCTTTAAGTAGAAACTCAATTTTGATAAATAAAATATATTGATACATAATAATATTATCAACCTGCTTTTTGTTTTACTTCAGTAATGGAATAAATATAAAAATAAAATGCGTTTTAATACAGTTTTGTAGACTGTACTAAAGAATTTTATATGATTTTAATGGTTCATGCATAGTAAAGAACTTGGATATTTTAAATTCTTTTGGCTGTGCTACACAGCTCGCAGGATCTTAGTTCCTTGACCAGGGATTGAACCTGCGCCCTCGGCAGTGAAAATGCGGACTCCTAACCACTGGACCACCAGGGAATTCCCAGAAATTGGACTTGTTTTTTGTTTTTTTTTTTAGACATTTTAGAGATCTGATTTTGGGGTTGAGAAAAACAACTAGACTGGTTGTTGCAGGGTCTTACTCCATTGATACCTTTCCATAGGGTGCCATTTGTGATACCCAAGCCTTAATCAGAGTGAAACAGGACATGCCTTCTCTTTTTTGGGCTGTAGGTATATGAGCTGTAAGCTGCTTGAAGTCAGTCTTCAAGGATTCAGTTAAAAATGACATCTTCATGTAATCAGTCATTGCGGAACTTGGAAAAATCTATCTACATGGCAGAGGAGGACTTCCATAGCTTATTCTTAGGGTTCCGTGAGGGCGGCATTTACTGCCTTCTCCCTCTGTGTAGACCCCTGCAGGGGCTTGGGGACGTTGCTCTTCTTTTCTCTAGATCACTTCGGCGTCTGTGAGGCTGGTCTCCCAGGAGCCCAAGGCGCTGGTGAGTGAGTGGAAGGAGCCTCAGGGCAAGAACATCAGCGTGGCCTCCTGCAACAGCAGCCAGGTGGTGGTCGCCGTGGGGAGGGCCCTCTACTACCTGCAGATCCACCCGCAGGAGCTCCGGCAGATCAGGTGTGTTTCTGCCTCTGCTCTTGCTGCCCGCCCCTCTTCTCTGGGACTTTCCTGATCCCTGGAGTCCTTTCTCTGTCATATTCTTCTTTGTTCAGCCACACAGAGATGGAACACGAAGTGGCCTGCTTAGACATCACCCCTCTAGGGGACAGCAATGGAATGTCCCCTCTTTGTGCCATCGGCCTCTGGACAGACATCTCAGCCCGAATTGCAAAGCTGCCCTCTTTTGAGCTACTGCACAAAGAGATGCTGGGTGGAGGTATGTTTCTCTTTTTTTGGGGGTGGGGTGTATGTGTTTCTTTTAAGGGCCTGAGTTAGGATCAGAATCAGGATTTGGAACAAGAGCTCGAAGTACCTCTTTTCCACAGAGATCATTCCCCGTTCCATCCTGATGACCACCTTTGAGAGCAGCCACTACCTCCTTTGTGCCTTGGGAGACGGAGCGCTCTTCTATTTTGGACTCAACATTGAGACAGGTGAGACTGCATGTCAGGTGAGGGGTGCTTTGGAGAATCTGGGGTATTGAAGTTGGCAGGGTTCTTAGCTTCAGGGTGCAGCTTTCGAACCTTCACAGTCCAACTCTTTGTCCTGTTTTGTTTCTGTTTTTCTCCTGATGCTCTTCTTTCTGTAGGCCTGTTGAGCGACCGTAAGAAGGTGACTCTGGGCACCCAGCCCACAGTATTGAGAACTTTCCGTTCTCTTTCTACCACCAATGTCTTTGCTTGCTCTGACCGCCCCACTGTCATCTATAGCAGCAACCACAAATTGGTCTTCTCCAATGTCAACCTCAAGGAAGTGAACTACATGTGTCCCCTCAATTCAGATGGCTATCCTGACAGGTGAGCCTCTTTTTTCTTTCTTCAGTGAGAGCCAGGACAGAGGGCATCATGACCCTTCCCCTCCAGCCTTTCTCCAGTGACAAAGCCAGTGACTGGCCGAGACGTGTAGAACAGAGATTTGCAGACCTGCAGTAGAAATACCTGGGAAGCCTTTTAAATGTACTGAATTGTTTTTGAATCTTTCTTAGAGTTTGCTTTGGTAGATCTAGGGTTGGGCCCTAGGTCTGAATCTATATTTTAGAAAAACCTCTTAGGCAATTCAAGTGATTGGTCAAGTTTCAGAGTCCCTGATGCAGAGATCATTCATTATGTGTTCCCTTGAAGCAGGTATTCTCAAAGTGGCTCCCTCACTGCAGCCATGGCACTACTCGGGAACTCTCTGTTAGAAATGTACATTCTCACGCCTCGCCCACGGACCCAGCAAATCAGCAACTCCAGGGGCGGGCCCAGCCGTCTTAGCCTCACAAGCCTCCCAGGTCGTTTTGATGCCAGCGTGGCTTGATGGTTCGAGAATCACTGTTCTATATCCAAATGCTGTACTTCAGTGTTAAACAGATAGCTGTTAAAATCTCAGCCTAGGCCCAACCAGACCAATTAAATAAAACTTGAGGGGTGGGACTGGTCTCCAGGTGTATTTTAACAGAAAGTGGTAGTTGAGAACCACTGCCCTGGAGTGAACTAGTGTAACTCTGCCTCGTTTTTCTTCCGCTCATGGAGCTCCCTCATAGAATCCTTTCCTTCCTTGGGTGTGTTCAATCTAAACCCAGAACCTTCTTTCCAGCCTGGCACTGGCCAACAACAGCACCCTCACAATTGGCACAATCGACGAGATCCAGAAGTTGCACATTCGGACGGTCCCCCTCTATGAATCTCCCAGGTGAGGGGCAGGGTAGGGGAGCTTCAGGGGAGGGGCCCTGGGGGTTGGCGAGTAGCGCTTCAGCCTTTTCCTGAGGGGCGCTGTTGTTCCATACTTGTTCTGCAGGAAGATCTGCTATCAGGAGGTGTCCCAGTGCTTCGGGGTCCTCTCCAGCCGCATCGAAGTTCAGGACACGAGTGGGGGCACAACTGCTCTGAGGCCCAGCGCCAGCACCCAGGTGAGGGCACAGGCCGAAGAAGAGTGGTGTGAGCAGCGGCAGGCTGCTCGGAAGGGGTGAGACAGTAGACGCTTTGGCTTTGTAGCTCACGTGATCTCCTCAGCCATTACAAAGGCGTCTGTAGACAGCAGGTGGGCGTAGCTGGGCTCCAGTAAAACTTTAAAAAAATAGGCAGTGAGCTGGATTTGGCCACCTCCTTAGAGACTTGAGAAGAACTTTGAATGAGTGTGGCCTCAGTGATTTTGCTACTTGGTAACCCTTGCCTGATGAATAATTCCTTTTCTCTTAGCATCATTTTGGGTACTTTGTGTCAGGTATGGGGAACAGTGTCATACCTTACGTAAGACCATGGGACTTGGAGTCTGACAGAACTGGCTCCAGGGTTCATTGCTCGCTGTGTGAACTTGGGCAGCTTCAGTTTTCTCATCTGCAAAATGATAATGGACCGTCTAGAGCCGCACATCACAGACCCAGTGGAGATATTAGCCAGTTGTTTTATTCCATGTATTTTCTGCCTTTCCTGCTTGCAGACATCCATGGTCTGACTTCTTCCCTTAATCCAGAGTAGGTCTTTATGTATTCTTTTTATTTGCAGTGGTTTCCTGCTCTTCCCATTGAGAGAGGTGGAAGCCTGTCACTTTATTAGGTCGCCTGGGTTTCTTGTTAGCTTTCTTGATTGACTTAGCATCACTGTTTTAGTGCTGTTAAATGCCCTTAGATTCTGGCAGTGTTTTGGACTGCTGTGTCAATTCCATATGGAGTTTGGATCCTTAGCCTCAGTCCCTGTGTCCTCTCTGAAGCCTTTTGCACTTGGGCTCTGTGCAGGTGGCCAGCCTCAGGTTTTTCTTGTTCAAACTCTTGCTCTGTTCTCTGATCCTGTCTGATGTTCACACTGCTGTCCCAGCACCCGTTCTTTTGAGAGGGGTGATGTGTGTTCTCTCTGTTCCCAGGCCCTGTCCAGCAGCGTCAGCTCCAGCAAGTTGTTCTCCAGCAGCACAGCCCCTCACGAGACCTCCTTTGGAGAAGAGGTGGAGGTGCATAACCTCCTTATCATTGACCAGCACACCTTTGAAGGTGCAAATGAGCTCTTTCTATCACGCTGTACCTGCGTCCTCCTTAAGCCGGGCTCTTCTGGGCTCTGCTGTATTCCAGGTTTGATAAGACACTGGCGGACTATCCTAGGAGGAGAAAGGGCTGGGGCCTCAGAGTAGGCTGTGAGTTGGGAGTACTGGGCCTCCTCACCTCAGAGTAGGCTGGCCAGGAGATAGGACTAGCAGGAGGCAGACGCCTTCCGTACTGTGCTCCAGGCTGAGTTATGGACCTCACAGAAGTGCAGAAGCACACATGCGTGGGGGTCGTCAGTCAGTCACCTCTCTACTATTCTTCTTCTAGTGCTTCATGCCCACCAGTTTCTGCAGAATGAGTATGCCCTCAGCCTGGTCTCCTGCAAGTTGGGCAAAGACCCCAACACGTACTTTATCGTGGGCACGGCCATGGTGTACCCAGAAGAGGCGGAGCCCAAGCAGGGTCGCATTGTGGTCTTTCAGTATTCAGATGGTAAGTGGACACAATCGCTGGCTTTTGAGAATTTTGAAAACTGGGAAAGGAAGCAGACAGACAGTTTTAGGTTTCAGCCTTAGTTATGCAGAAGAACTTGGATTAATTGCAGTGACACGAGATTCAAGATATTTCTCTCTAAGCTCTTGATGGTCTGAATGAGTTTTGGAGTATGTGAGCAGCGGCACAAATAAAATCTACCCTTTTTTTCTTCCTTTTTTACTCTTTGAAAGGAAGAGAAAGGGAGAGGCGACCAGAATGAGAGTTAGGAGTTCTGGTAGGACTCCGTGGTGTTTTCCACTCGGCTGCTCAGCCTTTTAGGCCCTCTTCCCAGCATCAGCACTTGGTGTTCGTTTCTCTTATCTTTTCTCATCTCCCCTACCCATGATGGCTCTGAAGACTAGCTGTCAGCCCCAAAATCTCAGGTTAGACGGCTGAGGTGGAGTCTGGTCTCCATCTTGAGGGGAAGATCGGAGTCCCAGGTGGGAGGCAGAACCTGAGTGCTCTCTGGGATCGCTGCATGTTATGTGGGGGCCCACACTTCTAGAGGTGGTTAACCCCGGTATATATGGATTCTATATTCTTTGCTTTGAAATGAGGGGTTTGTGGGGGCAGGAATTACAGCCCGGGGGGGGAAGCACAGGATTCTTCTGATTTGTTAAAGTGTGGGCTCATGAAGGAGACTGAAGGGTATCTTTTTTCCCCCAGGAAAACTACAGACTGTGGCTGAGAAGGAGGTGAAGGGGGCTGTGTACTCCATGGTGGAGTTTAACGGGAAGCTGTTAGCCAGCATCAACAGCACGGTGAGTGCTCCCTCTGGCCTCTGGCCTCACCTCTGTCCACAGAGCGCGGTTCCCCTTGTATTTTCTGAACTGCCTGTGTGTTGCAATTTTAAGGGTAACAGTGTAGCAAGGATGGAGCTGGGAATATGGAGAGCTGGGGTTGGACTAGACACCAGATTTGATTCTGTGAAGCCCTGTATGTATTGTTCTGAGTGTTGTGGGAATTGAGAAGAGGGTAAGAACTGTGGTCCCTGCACTCAGAATGTGTCATGGCAAGAGAATATTTCATCTGTGTGGGACAGAATGAGCCAAACTGCATTCATCATGAGTAAATCCCTGAAATACTAGGCCTGTGATATTCTCCACTTTTCTTCTGGTGTGACCCCACCTCCTCCCTTGCCAAAAAGAAAAAAAGTTACACAGTCACACCGATTTGGGACCTGCTGTATCCTGTATCTTCCGCTTAGAAGCTTCTTGGTGCATTGTAGCATATGAAAGATTCTGAGAAGATCAAGAGTAGAGAAGCATTGCTTAAATACTTCTTTTTTTTTCCAAAGAAAAAGCAGCTTTATTTTTAAGCTGTGCTTTGCGGCATGTGGGATCTTAATTCCTAGACCAGGTATCTTGCCTGCACCCTCTGCAGTGGAAGCACAGAGCCTTAACCACTAGAGCAGCAGGGAAGTCCCCTTAAATACTTTAATTTGATATTTATTCGGGAAGTGCTCACTGAGCACTTGAAGTATACCAGGCACTGTTTTGGTAGTTGGGATGTAGCAGTAGATGAAATGGACAAAGAGCTAGCCTCCTGGGGCCTGTGAGCAAATAGAATATATACGTGTATGTATGATGAGAAGTACCTTGTGAAAAATAAAAATGGGATAAGAAGCTGACAAAGTACCAGCGCGAGCATGGAGATGGCGCTGTTTTGTCATGTGGTCAGGAAGGTTGACACGGTGGCTTTTGGGCAGATTTCTGAGGGAAAGGAGGAAGCCAGCCATGCCTTGATCTGGGAGAAGACAAGTGCCAGGAGTCCACAACCGGCCTGTGCCCAGGGTGGGAAGGCAGTGCTGGGTGCTGGGAAATAAGTTGGAGAGGCAGCTGGGAGCTAGCACGTGTGGAACCAGATAGGCTGTGTGCTTTAGGTTTGTAAGGACTTTGGGTTTTACTCTGAGGGGATGGGAACCTCTAGAGGGTTCAAGCAAATGCATGACATGAATATATATATATATAAGGTATTGGTTTACTTATTAGGCTGTGTCTAGTCTTAGTTGTGGCACACAGGACTTTTGTTGTAGGTGCGGGCTTTCTAGTTGTGGTATAGGGGGGGTTTAGTTGCCCTACGGCATGTGGGATTTTAGTTTCCCACCAGGGATTGAGCTCATGTCCCCTGCATTGGGGGGCGGATTCTTTTCCTTTTTAAATTTATTTATTTTTAATTAAGGATAATTGCTCTACAATGTTATGTTGGTTTCTGCTATATGGAAAGTGGATTCTTAACCACTGGACCATCAGAGAAGTCCCTGTAGTTATATTTTGAAAAGCTCACTGCACATCTTGGAGAAGGTGGTAGAAGACCAGGGGTAGAAGCAGTGAGATCAGCTCAGAGGCTCTGGTGATGATCCAGAGAGCAATGGATGGTGCTGGGAGCAGTGTGCTAATAGAGGAGGTGAAGAATAGTCAGATTCCACAGATGTTAGTATCGAGGGGCTCTAATGAGGGATTGGAGATGAGTCGTGAGAAGGGAATAAGGGTCAAGAGTTCGGCCTGAGTGACAGATAGTGTTGCTCTGTACTGATGGAGGAAGACTGAGTGGAGCAGGTTGGAGAGTAAAGGAAAACTATCTTTACTCACAACACTTCTGCCAGCATGTATGAGTTTTTCTCCCTATGACAATCAGTTTTCCAACTGGGGGTCCTATAATTGACTTGAATTCTGACTTTTAACTACCCAGAGTTGGAGTCAGATGTCACAGGTTCAAGGGCTCGGTCCCACAAGACTGTCTTTATTTAAACCCCCGGCCCAAGTAGTGTTATTCAAACTTCTGTCTGACTTGCTACTAAGTTAGGGGTTCCCACAGTCTCCTGCCACCCTTAGGTTTCATAATTTGCTGGAAGGGCTCACGGGACTCAGAATGTTTACTTGCATTTGCCGCTTCTTCACCCCACTCTTGGAAGTCTGGAAGCCCAGCCCAACTGGGCTTATCCCAATCTGTGGTGTTCTGGGCTCACTTGACCCAGAACAGGAGGTGTGGTAGCCATTGTGATTATTATGAGTGAGCCTTGGAGTGTACACCTGTGGAGCTAAGGTTCTTTGGACACATCTTGAGAAATCATGGCTTAATATATTCTTCCCAGGAGTGTCTGTATGTGCAGAGGTGAGGGTGGGGCTGCCTGGACCCTGCAGGATCTGCTGGGACTGGGCTGTGCCGAGCATCTGTTCATCTGTCTGTTGATCGTAAAGCATCTTTGTTATTTTGGAAATATGGTCATAACTGAAGAAACACTGCAGTGAAGAAAACAAGGGTATTTTTTTCCCCTTTGGGTAGAGTGGTGGCCACAGACTCTAGTTCTTTAGAGTAAGTTTCTGTTGGACTTTTCTATTCTATTTTCTTTGCTCACTGGATGTACATCAGAAGGTGCCAGGGATGTATGTGTTTTGAGAAGGGTTCAGAAAGGGCAGTTTGTTGGGAGGTGATCTTGTTTCTTTCTGATCAGGAAACTGGAAATGGATCTTCTCTTTCTAGAGATATTTCTGTAGACAGTTAACCAGACTTCAGTCATAAAACCATCTCTTGTCATTTCTATAGTGTTACTTGTATTACTATTTACTTAGTATTTTTCTTTATCCTGACTTATTTTTTTTTTTAATATAAAGGAAGACTTTGTAGTATTAAGTTTCATGTACTCAGTCTGTTTTCATCTTTCATGAATGTATAATAATTACAAATGCTCACCCAAGTTCTACAGCAAACCATTTCACACCCCACACTGCACTTGGGTAAGTGGTGTAGCAGATGGAGGATTGAGGTTGGTGCAGGCCCGGGGCTGAGAGAAATGCACTGCCCCCCCCCGCCCCCCCAGGTGCGGCTCTATGAGTGGACGACGGAGAAGGAGCTCCGCACCGAGTGCAATCACTACAACAACATCATGGCGCTCTACCTGAAGACCAAGGGCGACTTCATCCTGGTGGGCGACCTGATGCGCTCGGTGCTCCTGCTGGCCTACAAGCCCATGGAGGGCAACTTCGAAGAGGTAGCTGGGGTGTGGGCAGTCGGCTTGCTTAAGCTGGTGGTGAGGGGTGATGAAGCCCAGTGTGGGCAGAAACATCATCCCTGGAGCACACATTGTGCATCTGTTCAGTCATTTTAGAGAGCCCCAACTTGAACTCCGAGTAGGCCCCGTTTCAGGACCGTGTTCGCCAGGCAAAGGGTTGGCTCTCTCTAGAGGGGCGGTTGTTAAACACAGGGCAGGGCAGGCACTTGGCCAAGTCCCAGCACTGGCTTGCATGCAAACTGCTGATTGTATTTCCCCTCTTGTATTTTTGTCTTTTTTAAGATTGCTCGAGACTTTAACCCCAACTGGATGAGTGCTGTGGAAATCTTGGATGATGACAATTTCCTGGGGGCTGAAAATGCCTTTAACTTGTTCGTGTGTCAGAAGGATAGGTGAGTGGCCAGCTGTGGGCGTGGCCTGTGGTAGGTGAGGATACAGGGCCCTCACAGGCTCGGGTGTGCCTCTTCACAGGGGTAGAGGGCATCCGTGAGAGAATCAGGCTGCAGAGATGAGCCTCTTCCGGCTGGCTTCTCCGCTGTGGAGTGGGTGGGCCCACCAGGGAGTCTGTCCATCACTGCACGTGGTCCTTGGGGCCCCATCTGGGGGGACAGGAGGTCTGGGTCGTGAGTGTCTCGCACCCCTTACAGCGCTGCCACCACGGACGAGGAGCGGCAACACCTCCAGGAGGTTGGGCTCTTCCACTTGGGCGAGTTCGTCAACGTCTTTTGTCACGGCTCTCTGGTTATGCAGAACCTGGGCGAGACCTCCACCCCCACACAGGGCTCGGTGCTCTTCGGCACGGTCAACGGCATGATTGGTAAGGGTGACCCCGTGGGGCGTGCTCCCACACAGCCCTCCTTCCTAGGGACAGGGAGAACAGGGTTTCGAGAGTCTGTGGCTGGCTCGTCTGTCCTCCTGCCTGGGCTCCCCTTGGCAGGCAGTGCTCGCTGTGGACTTTGGAGCACCCTGTAGCTTTCGGCTCCCTTTGCTTCCTTAGGCCTGGTGACCTCACTGTCAGAGAGCTGGTACAACCTCTTGTTGGACATGCAGAATCGACTCAATAAAGTCATCAAAAGTGTGGGCAAGATTGAGCACTCCTTATATCCTTCTCAGAGTTGTCCCCTTGCTCAAAAACATGGCCTGGCCCAGGCAAAGAGCACTGGAAATTTGTCCCTCTAGAAAATGTCTTGACTAGGCTCTGGTGGGAAACAGGCTACATAAAAACTTCTCATGGAAAGTTTCAAGCACACAATAGTGGAGAGAATCGTATCAGTATAATGAATCCCCATGCACTTATCGCCCAGTTTTATTGGTTCATCTTGAAAATGTATGTTAGTATTCATGCAGCGTGTTTGCTTCTGACCTTTCTGGTGTTGCACGTCAGACATAAATGTAGATCACAACTTAGAACATCCTTTCAGAGATCTTGTTGGGGGCAGCAGTGTTTGAGGACCCTTGCTAGAGAGGCTAAATGGAAAAGGAGGGGAAGAGCAGAGAAACTGTACATTCCAGACGCCCAAGGATCAGCCCCCTGGACACTGAGGATCCAAGTACTGCTGGAAGTTTGTTTCTTATGGGAGGGGGACGAGGAGCTTTCGAGACTCTGGAGGTGATTCTGCTGAGAGTCTGTTGTAAGGCAGGATGAACCAGCTCTCGCCAAGGAAGGAGGAGGTAGGCTGACATGTTGGGTGTTTTGCTAACCCACAGGACTTTAGGTACATCTCTTGTTTCACTGAGCCTCAGTTTATTAATCTGTGAAGGCTAGACTTAAAGAGCGGTTCTTCCTAGGCAAGCATCCAGTTCACATGGAGCACTTGTTAAAAAATAAAACATCTATACATGTCCATGCTCTGAACTAAGAGTCATCTGTATTCTATCTGTTTTTTAAATTTTTATTTTTAATTTTTTAATTGTTCTGGTCTTGCCGTGCGGCTTGCAGGATCTTAGTTCCTTGACCAGGCATTGAAAGCCCAGACTCCTAACCACTGGGCTGCAGAAAATCCTTGTAATTTTTAAAATGTTATTTTGATGATTATTCCAGTTGAGAGGATAATTGGATTAGGTAATGGTTTATAGGTCTTTGAAATTACAAAGTTGCAAAACTGTCCAAACAGCTGTGATTTTTAGTTTTCTGTTCTCTTCCTGATGATTGCTTCAGACTGTGGTCTTGTGCACAGAGGTGGGGATGACTTCGGAGAGGGTATTTATTATTTCCAAATGATCGGCACATTCCTTAACTCACCTGTCCACCTGGAGATCCTTTCATACTGAACGAAAGACAGAACCAGCCACTGGCTTCATCGATGGCGACTTGATTGAGAGTTTCCTGGATATCAGCCGGCCTAAGATGCAGGAAGTTGTGGCAAACCTACAGGTGAGCTGTGCCGTTGTGCAGGGTGCAGCCCCGGGGCCACTGACTCAAATCCATTGCAGGGCCAGGCACGCCAGGAGGCCTCCCCTCCATGTGCCAAGAGCCCTTTTTAAGTTTTCTTCTACCTGCATGGGAAGGTAGTGTCCGAGGGCAAGGAAATAAGGCTAAGGCTCGGGGGTTCCCCCACCAGGCACCAAGCACTATAACTTTAGCAACAAGGGCACCTTCGGGCATGTCTGGGATCCCTGGCAAATCCTTAGGAAAGGGGGCAGGGCCAGGATCCTGCAGGGAGGAGGAGTTTCCATGGTGCTGGAGTTTGGGGTGTTGCCCACTGGAGGTGGTGCCTCTGGGGAACAGCCAGGTGGAGGTGGATGTATATACTGGGTGGCAGCCTCTGGGCAGCTTTGCTGCCAGCCAACCCTGCTCACCTGGACCCCCAAGGAGAAGCACGGGCTTCTGATAAGTCCTTGCTCCTGCCACGGCAGTGTGGTGCAGGGTACCGTTGTTGTGGGAGTCCCCTTCCCCAGGGAGGGAGAGCCTGCTTTCAGCCCTCACAGCCTCCCTTCCTCCCCTCTCCTCATTGCAGTATGACGATGGCAGCGGGATGAAGCGAGAGGCCACTGCGGATGACCTGATCAAGGTGGTGGAGGAGTTAACTCGGATCCATTAGCCAAGCAGGGATCCCTTCCCAGACCCTCTCTGAAGGCTTTGCCCTCCTGCTCTCCTCCTCCCTGCCACTGTCTCTCAGCCATGGGAAACCTGTCCCTAAGCCCCAGAAACCACAGCCTACCTGAGTGGAAATGGGGATTTCGTAGAACGAAAACCAGTTCACTGGAGACCTGGGCAAGGGCTGAAGGTGAAATATTTTCTCCCTGGATTTTTACCAGTCTCACATGATTCCAGCCATCACCTTGGGCCACCAAGCCTGGATTGGTGCAGCCAGTTGTCCTCCAGGGAGCAGTTTTGCAGCTCTTTGGCTGAAAGGAAGCTGTGTGTGTATGTGTGTGTGGGTGTGTGTGTGTGTGTGTGTGTGTGTGTGTGTGTCCCACACTCATGCATCGTCCTCACTATCTTTTTATTTAGGTTTGGGGTCGGGGAGGGTTGTGGGTAGGGGGGAGGTGGGGTGGGAAGTGTTCGTTGTCTTTGAGGTGAGAGCTTCCTTCGCTTTCTTCTGTTGCCTCTGAGAGCTTTGGGTCTGGAGAGCTGACCACCAGGCCGTGGGTTGCCTGAGGGTAGTAAGACCTGCAGATGGTGGATGATTTCCAAGCCACAGCCTTTTTGTCTCTGGGGAACTGCCTTCTTCAGCGGGAAGGAGGTGGGGGGACGTGAACTGGTGGTTAGTTTCTTGAGTTTTACCAAATAAAGTAGAGTCTAAGAAGAAAGATGCGTTTGTTTCTGTTCTTTCCCTGTCTGGCTCTCCAGCATCCCAGGCGCTCTGTGCCCAGGGTACTGCAGGCGCCGTTCTCTCCTTCACAGCCACTGCAGCGGCCCCTCGTCCTGGCTGCTGGAACACTCCTTTCAGGTAGAGAAGTGTCCTCTGTACCCCTCCTTTGTCATGTGGTGGGATCCCAGGGATGAAGGGAGTCAGGTTTTTGAAATTCAGCTGTCTTGGGTTGCCTTTGACTCCAGTCATCCTTCTATTCCCAGTGGCCTGTGTTAGTAATGCTGCTTGGGCTGCCTCTCCTGACGTCATTTTACAGCCAGCTGTACGTGCAGCATTCAGCCAACTAGCCCCCTAGGCACTGCTCCTCACACTCCTCCCAGCTTCCTGTTGCCACATGCCCTTCGGATTCAGATTTTATTTCCTCTGGTTTCATTGAGTAAACCATGGGGGTCTTAGGTTTGAAAATACAGGAGTATGGCACATTTGGGGTTCACCCTTCTGTTCAGCAAACAGCCGGTCTTCTTTCAGCCCAGTGGGTCAGAGTGTCCGGGCCCAGTTTCCACCAGTGATCCAGTGGGAATAAAGGCTGCTCTGTCCCAACAGTGGAGCGGGGTTGATCCCAGGCATATTGGCTGGCTCCTTTAAGACCAGCCTTTGATACGATGTCAGGAAAATTGTGGTTTCAAGTTCAAACTGTGGTTTTGGGAGATTCTAGCTTAAAAGGAAAAGAGCAAGGAAGCATCTCTGCTTTGGGGGTCTTCGGGAGTAAGTTTCCTTCCCTGAAGGCATTCCTTGAGTTTCATTACCGTTCTTTTACCCTTACTCTCCTGGGGTTTCTGAGGGTGGAGGATAAGGGTCTTAAGGGAAAAAATAATCATCTCTCAAAACCCACAGTTTGAACTTGAAACTCAACACTGTGATTTGAATTTTTCAAGTCATGGTTTGAATTGAAAAGGCCTGCCCCCATGCCAGAGACCAGCTTTAATAAGGCAGGCATGCAAAGGCCTCCAGATTGTGATTATTTAAAGAATTTAATCCTAGATGGGAGAAAAACAGAATGTGGTGGGGTTATTATTCTGGTGCTTCTCAGTGGTTGGACCTGTAGCTGCGGAGACCTGCCACGTTCAGGAGAAGGTTATTACTTTACCGGTAGCTTCAGTCTTGACTTTGGAAACCGGAGTGCGTGCAGCGTTTTGTTTCCTACGATCTGGGGTATATTCACTCTGGATTGAATTTCAGCGGTCCTTTGGAAACTGACATCCTGCTGCCACACTCCCACATCCCCTCTTAAAACCATTAATCACCTCTCCCGGGGTGAAAGGTTGCCTTTGGAGCTTTGCTGCAGCCAGCTGGAATGGCTCCTCTCCATGTAGGCGCTGATGAGCTCGCCTCACTCCTGGCCTCTGCACGAACGGACCTTTGGGAGAATAATAGAAACACTGACTCATCACATGACCATTTGGAAGGGTCACAAGCCAGAGGCCTCCTTTCTACAGCCAACAACAACTTGAATCCTCCACCCTCGGTGGAGGGTCCCTTTTGTTACTGAGCAGCCACAAGCCACAGAACTGGGGAAGAAATACTGAGGAACCGAATGGGCCTGAACTTGTCCTTGAGGATGGATGATTTTAAGTGAGCAGCTCTCCAGGTCCAAAGTTTGAGAACCCTTGAGGTCACACAAACCAAAACACAAAACAAACAGAAAATAGTGAAAACCAAACTGAAGAAGTGAACTTGGTATGACGAGCAAGGTGAATGCCATAAGGTCAAAGAAACAGGAAATGAAAGAAATGTCAGGGGCGATTTAGAAAGTTGTTTCTTTCAAAATTCACCGGTAGGAATTTACAGATTTAAATATCCTGGGCTTCTCCTGTTGAGGGTACATAAGGATTTTCTTTACACACAAAGTTACATCTCAGTCACTGTGGCTGCCCACTGACCCAAGTCTGCCAGACTTACAGGGTGAGATGGAGGGGCTGGACTCTGTAAAGTGGTCAAGTTCAGAAAGGAGGTAGCTGGGGTGTGCTGGAGCATGGGAGAAGATGGCATGAAGGGTGACAGGTGTGTAAAAACTGTCCTGTGCAAATGTGTTGAGAATTTGTGGGTAGCTTCTAGATCCAGGAAGACAGAGCACCTATTTGACACTGATGGTGGTCTAGATAGGAATGATAAGGACGGTGGTGTGATAGATTTTGCAGGCTTGATTTTTCTGTTTATCCCTATTTAATAATTCAGGGCTATGGGATTCCCCTGGTGGTCCGGTGGCTAAGACTCCACACCCCCAAAGTAGGGAGCCCGGGTTCCATCCCTGGTCAGGGAACTAGATCCCACACGCCACAACTAAGACACAGCGCAGCCAAATAAATATTTTTTAAAGAATGATTTCAGGGCTAGATTTCTGACTATGTGGCCACTGACAGTGGGCATCGAAGCACTCTGTTGAGTGGTGATGAGGAATGCAGTCTGAATGACAGGAGGAAGTGCATCTTTGGATGTTTAACATAAAGGAAAGATGCCTTAAGATTCTGAGGGTCCTCAGGACTCAGAAAGGACATAAATATGGAAGTGGCATTCATCTTCCAATACAGAGTACTTTGGCAGCCTATTAGCTGAAAACGTGTTGCTCAGACGGGTCAAACTAACACGACGAGCTTATTTAGTCACTTAAGTCATGTCCAACTCTTCTGTGACTCCATGGACTGTATCCTGGTTCCTCTGTCCACGGAATTTCCCAGGCAGGAATACTGGACTGGGTTGCCATTTCCTTCTTCAGCAAGGTGAGGTAACCACCCTAAATTGAACATCTGCAAAAACTCAGCCACACAGGTTCAGGTAAGGAGATCAGCTTAGCAGTTTGTGTTCTATAACAACAAAAAGACATGACAACAAAGAGCACCGGAGGCTTCCCTTTACTGTAAATCTTATGTAAGGAACTGACAGCATCATTGGCTTGTCAAAAAGGCCAAGTAATATCAGGCTGTGTTAATAGAAGTATGGCATCTGGAAGGGAGGAGGCAAGAATCCAGACCACTGTTGGCACCGTGTTCATTTGTGGCCACCAATGTTAAGGACCTTAGTGACAGGCTGAGGTCGCTAGTGGAAGGGCTACTGCACAGGCAGAACCAAAGGCACGGGGGTTATTTAGCTGGGAAGGAAAAACACTTGCCAACAAATGGAGTTACTCAAAATCGGATTGGGCTGCCTTCTGATAGGTACTGAGACCTTCATCCCTGCAAGTGTGTAAGTAAAAGCTGGACTGATTGGGTCTGGGTGGCGAGGGGAGGCTCCTGCCCAAAGCAGAAGGTAGAATTTAGTCAGCCTTTCAGCTTTCTCCCAGCTGGATGATTCTGATTTACGTCCACCACCTGCTCACCACCTCCCTGCCTACCATCTCTGACTGGCCTGGGGCAGCTGCTGAAGGGGACAAGAGGAGTCTGTGGGTTCAAGAGCCGCTAGCGCCCCCAACCAGGGAGCAGGGGAACCCACTGACGGGCGCACCCAGGGAGGGTTAGGGTGCAGACCTGATGGTAGGCTGGGGGCTAGCCTAAAAGTGCCCAGCAGCGAAAGGACCCAGCGTCCCACCTTCTCGTACAACACAGGTATCTCGGGCTCCATCGCGACCAGCAGTTCCCAGGGCGCGCAGCCTCCAGCCTTGTTCCCGGAGTCTCTTTCCTCCCCCGGCCTCCGTCTGACGCCCACAGCCCTTCGCAGGAAGCCGACTCCCAAACCCGGGCAGGGGGTGTGGGCCGAGAACGAAACCCCGCCCCCAGGGGTCCCTGATCTTTGCCCCCGCCCCGGGCTCCGCGCCTCCCCAGGAGGCCACCGGCGGGCCGGCGGGTGCCGCTGCCTTTTGTGTGTTTCGAGGTGCAAGAGTACCCCCTAGCCGCCCGCCGCGTCCCCTCGCGGCCCCCGGCGCCTCCTCTCGGCGTCCCCAGCCCCCCTGCTCGGCTCCGCGTGCCAGCTCGGGGCTCGCTGGTTCGCTCCCCGCGGCGCCAGGAGGAGGGGCGAGGGCCCGCAGCCCCCTCCCCCGCGCGCGGCGCCGGAGCCCAGCCGAGCCGGGGGGACCCGCCGCCGCCGGTCATGTGGGCCGGACTGCTCCTCCGGGCCGCCTGCGTCGCGCTCCTGCTGCCGGGCATCCCGGCCCGCGGCTATACCGGGAGGAAGACGCTGGGGCACTTCGGGGCCGAGAGGTAAGCGCCCCGCACCCCTCCCCTGCGCCTCCGCCGGAGCGCTACCGGCGCGGAGCCGGGAGGCACGGAGGGGCGTCCCGGAGCCGCGGGTCCGGGCACCCCCCTCCCCCGTCCCCTCCCCGTGGCACTGTCGGCGCGGGCGAGCCCGGGAGGTCGGGACAAAGGGACAACAGCTTGTGGTCCGGGCGGGTGGCCGTCCTGCGCCCCTGGCCGGGGCTGTCCTGACTGGGATCTGGCGGGGGAACCGGAGATCCCGACGCTAGGTGAGCACCTCTGAGTACCGTGGAGCGCGGGTCCCCGGCCAGGGGCCCGGGGACATGCCAGCTGGTCTTCGGACTGGCGGGCTTTTCGCTCCCAAACGTGCCCGTGGCTCTGCCTAGGCAGTGCCTGGCCTGCCCCGCGCGGGCTGGCTGCTCCGCGGCTGGGGGCTTTGCCTCTGTCCAGGCTCTGTGCCCGCCGTGGACCTTGGAACCGCCGGGGTCTCTCTAGGTTATGTTTCGGTTTCTGCCAGTGTGTGCACGCGGGCGGGCGGGGGTGGGGTGTTTGTCCCTTTGCTCTTTCCCGATTGATGTCTCCCTCCCCTCGTGTCTCCTCCTGGGAGGGCCGGGTCGCCGCGGGCGGAGCGCGTGTGTGCGTGATGCTCAAAGCGAGGGAACACGGTGTCAGCGGGCGGCCTGGCCCGCGGCCACGGCCTCGGGGGCTGGGGGCGCGCAGGGGGGCGGCCCCGCCAGGCTCGCAACTCGCACGTGTGCTCCGCAGCCTCCGCCAGTTACTGCTCAGATCCGCCCGCTCCGCTGGCGTGTCAGAGCCGTGCTGCCTGCCACCTGTCTCCGCGTCACCGCCCGCCCTCGGCCCCTTGGGGCGCTCGGCCCCTGCCCACCTGAGGATGAGGCTCCAGTGGCCTCCCGGGCATCCTTCCCTCTGCCGCTTTGGTGCACCCCTGTCCCTTTGAGAGCCCCATCTGAAGAGCCTCCTTCTCAGGCTGCTGCCATAATCGCTCCCGCGAGGGCAGCTGGTGAGACATCCCTGCCGCACCCCCCTACCCCCTTCCAGGGCCCCTTCTTGTGCGATGACTTCAGAGAGGGAAAAAGCTTTTGGAGGCTCCAGGGACAGTTTTCTGCAGACGTTTCTGTTTCGCCCTGTGCCCTGAGTTTCCCTTTCCAGAATACTTGTCACTTTTGACACAGATTATTCTCCAGAAGAGCAGACTGACTCTGTCTTTCCATCCATGTCCCCCGTGCCTGCTGCACATCGTGGATGCTCTGTAGACTGCCTATTGCTGTTGTTTAGTCCCTAAGTCGTGTCCAACTCTTTGGGGTCCCAAAGGCCCCAGAGGAACCCTCCAGGTTCCTCTGTCCATGGGATTTTCCAGGCAAGAATACTGGAGTGGGGTGCCATGTCCTTCTCCAGGGCATCTTCCCGACCCAGGGATCGAGCCCACGTCTCCTGCACTGGCAGGCGGATTCTTTACCCCCAAGCCACCAGGGAAGCCCAGAGACTTGCCTGACTGGCAGGGTATTCCCACCAGTCTGCAGTCTTGGGTAGAACACTGTTGGGGGAGAATTCTTGTCCCTATTCTGTTGGACTAGGATTCCTAGTTCAAACTATGCTGGACTTCACCATCCTCTGCCCAGCCCAGAACCAGTTCTTGTCATCCTCTCTGACCCCTTCCAGGCCCGTGCACATGCCGCTCCTGCCTGGAACATTCCTCCACTCTCACCGGCTGCCCCCATTCTCTCTCCAGCCTCAAGGGAGGAAACCACTCCTGTGCTCCCTCCCCAGCCTGTAACATTGTGGCACTTGTTGTTACTCTCGGTTCCTTGTCTGCCCCTTGAAGGTAGAGGAAATGGCTTGTTCATGGCTGGACTGCGTCGCCTCACCCAGCCTTGGGTACCCTGGGTCCCCCTTCACTCCCTTGGGCAGCTCACCAGCACCCTCTCCCTTTTCCCAGAGATGTCACCTGGGGACTGACATTTCACCATCTCCCCACTCTTCTGTTGTTATCCCTTCTCAGCGTTGCCCTCAACTGCCATTGATTAAGCACCTACTATGTGCCAGATGCTGCCCTTGGTGCGGAGTTGAGCAAAAAGATGAAGCCCCTGTCCTCAGGGTATGGTAGGGGAGCCAGGGAATGAGTACGTCAACAAACTAGTGAGTATTGGGTTGGCAAAAAAGTTTAAGATGTTATGGAAAAACCAGAACAAACTTTTAGTCCAACCCAATAATTCAATGTCCCAGGAAGTGTTATGAAGCAGAATAAAGTGAGGTAAGGTTGCACAAGTAGGGCCTCTCTGAGAAGGTGACTTGAGCAGAGAGACCTTTTACAGGAAAGGGGGTGCTGTGTGTGTGTTTGGGGAAGAACTTTCCTGATGGGGGAAACTGCAAGTGCAAAGGCCCTGAGGCAGCCGTCCCTGGGGTTCTTCATCCATTGCAGTCTTCCCTTCTCAGCTCTGAGGGCCCTCCTTGCTCATTGTCTACGTGACAGGCATCTACAGGCAGCTAGTGTCTGTTCTCTTACAACTTTGTCTTTGTCCTGCCTCCAGGAGGGACAGACCGTCGGGTCATTTTTCTTTGGAAACGTCTCATTGTCCGTTGCGGGTGGAGGTGGGGGTTTCCAGAAGTGTTGGTTGACTGACTTACTGACTGGCTGGGAGGCTTTCACGGCCCAGGAGATGAATCCTCCCCTGACCCCCAGGACAGAACTCGGAAGGTACTCTCTCCTCTCTTGCAGACGCCGGCTGGGTCCCCACGTCTGCCTCTCGGGGTTCGGGAGTGGCTGCTGCCCTGGCTGGGCACCCTCAATGGGCAGTGGGCACTGCACCCTTCGTAAGTGACTGTCCGTGTGCCCCAAATGTCCTCCTCAGCAGGGTGCGTGTTCCCTGGGCTGGCCTGAGGGGCAGACTGGGGGGCTCCAGCCCCGACTCCCTCACCTGTGTTTCTCCTCTCAGCCCTCTGCTCCTTTGGCTGTGGGAGTGGCATCTGCATCGCTCCCAATGTCTGCTCCTGCCAGGACGGAGAGCAAGGGCCCACCTGCCCAGGTAACTGGGGGCGCGGGCCCTGGCTGATGGGAAGAGCTCTGTTTACACTGAGACTGTGCCAGGCCCTGGGCAGTCGTGCCCTAGCGCATCATTTTCAAACAGCCCTATGAGGTAGGCATTCTCATTCCCATTTTATAGATGAGAAAACCGAGGCGCAGAAGCTAGTGGCTCGCCCTGGGTTACGTGGCCAGTAAGTGGCAGAGCTGCATTTAAACTCAGTCCTGTTTGCCTCCAGGGCCCCCTTCCCCACAGAATTTAGGAGGAGCCGGGGGGCAGCAGGGAGGGGGTGGCTGGGACTGCTGCGTGGCGCATGCTCACAGGTGCGGTGATTGTTTCAGAAGCCCACGGAGCCTGTGGGGAATACGGCTGTGACCTCACCTGTAACCACGGTGGCTGTCAGGAGGTGGCCCGAGTGTGCCCCGTGGGCTTCTCCATGACCGAGACAGCGGTCGGCATCAGGTGTACCGGTGAGAGGCCTGAGAGCAGCAGGGAGGGGCAGGCGGGAAGGGGGTCTCCTCCCCGGCCTCCGAGGCCAGTCTCCCAGGATATGCTGGAGTGAAGCCGAGCTCGGGGCGGCTCTGAAGTCTGCAAGTGGGGAGGTGGGCAGGTGAACACAAGGAATCTGCCCCTTCGGCTATTCCACAAATACCTATTGAACACATCCTACGGACCAGGAACTGACCTGGGATTGGGGTTATGCGGGCCGTCTCTGCTCGTATGTTGCTTCAGGATATGGTGCAGGGAGATGAGGAAGGACAGTGACAGTCCCACCTAATGGGACCATCATCGGAGGAGTGCACAGTGCCAGGGCCCACAGGGGCACAGGGAACTGAGTCCAGCCTTTTGCTGGACCGCAAAAGGCTCCATCGAGAATGTGACATTTGAACGATGAGGCAAGGGAAACTCAATAGTTATTTTGTAAAAGTATTATTTGTTCCTGATTTTAAAAATTTCCTACAGGCCAAGTCTGTTACCTTCCCCATAGATGCTACTGTGACCAGCTTCTTACTTGTCTTTCCAGAGAGCTTGAAAGCCATCCCCGCCCCCCACCTTTGTGCCTTTTTAACATTTTGTGAAAATAAACATTTCTTCCCCTGAATATAAAAATAAAAAATAACTTACTTTGGAACATTTGGAAAGTAAAAGAGTAGTAGAAAGGTGAAAATAAACATGTCCCAGAAGTTCCTACCCAGAGATATTTGTTACTGAAATGAAGTTATTTTTTTTTCCTGCCCTTGTTCCCTTGGTCTGTATGTGTATTTGTATGTGTATTTGTGAGTGTGTGTGTGTGGGACTGTGCATGCCTCTCTGTCTGTTTTAGAAAATTGGGATCATACCTTATCTATCACTTTCATTCATTGTTTTTTAACTTTGTGCTGTGAGCAGGAAATATTAGTAGTCCTTACAACATCACTTTTAATGGCTGCAGATGTGGCTACTGTAATCTAAGTACCTACTTCTGTGCTATCCATCCTTAGCTTGTCTGCAATGTTTGGCTGCTATGAATAATGCTGCAGTAAAGTGGCTTCCAGTCGGCCTTTCTGATTATTTCCAGAAGGAAGACTATTGAGTCAAAGGTCCCATGAAGGAGTTTTTGTGCTTGCTCCTCCCCCACCCCCTTCCCGGCCTTTTTCAGAAGGTTGAAGTACTTTCCAGACACATTTCTCCTTGCAGAGGCAAACTGGACTAAGGAAAAGCCAGAGACCAATGTCAAAGCAAGTGCAGGGCAGGGGAGTCACAGGGGTGGGATGGGGTGAGTCAGGGTGGATGTCTTAGAAGAAGTGGGCATAGTCCCAAAGGTGCCCGCTTGTGGAAGGAGCAAGGAAGGAGGATGGGGGACACCAGCTGGCATGGGGGCCAGGGGTGGAAGGGAGGCTCAGGTGGGCAGAGTAGACTGGAGTGGGAGGAGCTGACCTCCTAGGTCCTCATGGTTCTGAGATAGGAAGGGATGCTTTGAAGCATGGGGTGGGGGTTCTGTCTCTCAGCACCCTCCCCTACCCCCCAGGCTTGAACCTCTCTAAAGCACTACTGGCCCCCCCGGACAGAAGCCTGGCGGGCTCCTTTGTGCCCCACAGCTGAGCCTTAGCCCACCACCTCTCCAACCCCACCTCCCACCAGACTGACCCCCCACTCCTCCACTGTGTGCCCTGTTCTTCCTGGAAGCTCCACTCGACAGCCCCCTCCTGGCTGCCCCCTGGTCCTCTCAGCCCATGTCTCCTCCATCACACACCTGCCGTGGGGGGCGGTCCCTGCTGGGGCACATGCAAGACCCTGCCCCACACTGGCCTCTCGTGGATGTGCCTCATGACTCCTGTGTTCTCAGGCTGCGACTGTCTGGAGAGCCAGCACTGTGTCTTAGTCACATTTGTGTCCTCGACAGAGCCCTTCCAGGTCCGCTGCATGCCAGCGGTGCTCCACAAGAACTAAAGGGAATTTAATCAACCTTCCTGCTCACTCCCCTGGCCTTCTTGGGGTTGCCTTGCAGGTGGGACCATTGGAAATGGTTCTATTTCAACCAGCCTCTCCTGTCATCTGTTCTGTGTGGGTCAAAGAGGCCTGGCCCTGTGGCCTCTTCTTTCTTGGACTGGGGGTCCCTAAAACCAGAAGATTTACCTAGTGCCTTCTTTTTCCCTGGGATGGCAGTGAGGCACGCCCCATGTGGGCTAGGGTCCTCGTGGGATGCACGCCCTCCCCACATCCAAAACACATTCAGAGTGAGCTATGCAAGTGTTTCCTCTCTCCCCAGACATCGATGAATGTTTAAGCTCCTCTTGTGAGGGCCACTGCGTGAACACGGAAGGCGGGTTTGTGTGCGAGTGTGGGCCGGGCATGCAGCTGTCTGCGGACCGCCACAGCTGCCAAGGTGAGCGGCTCTGGGAGGGGTAGTGATGCTGTGTACTGTCGCCCCCGCTTTTAGGCTCTGACGTGGACCTCAAGGCCCTGCCGGGCCCAGCCTGTGCTCTCCAGGCATGACTGCACATCACCTTCACCATGGTCCTCTAAGCAAGATGCTGCTCACTCCCTCTCTCTTTTTTTTTTTTGCCTGTACCTCTTGGCATGTGGGACTTTAGTTCCCTGAACAGGGATTTAACCCATGCCCCCTGCATTGGAAGGCAAAGTCTTAACCACTGGACTGCCAGGGAAGTCCCAGGAGATGGTGTTCTCATCCTCACTTTATGGATGAAGCTTGCCCAAGGCCATTCTGTCAGTAGGAGGAGGGGGAATCAGGTTGCATGTCTGGCACTAAGGCCTTTGCTCTGGACCACGACTCAGTAGAAACTGCTGCTGCCATCGTTGCAGGGTTGGGGGAAGGGGAGGGAGAGGCAGAGGGAAGGGCCAGGGGCAGGCGGAGCAGACTGACCAGAGGGACGAGGCCCCTGAGATGGGGGAGGGCTGAGGGGAAGGGGCTGTGACACCCTGGGGGTGTGTCGTGTGGGAGGCCGTGCTGTGATAGTCACCACCTGCCCCTGTGCTGGCCCAGGCTCTGGAGACACACAGCCAGGAAGAAAGCATCCTGCCCTCCAGTGCCCCACCTGATGGAAGGGGAAGAACAGCGCGGTTTTTCAGTGAGGTCCTCATGGCTCTTCTGCTAAGGGCACTAATCCCATCATGAGGGCTCCACCCTCAAGACCTCATCTACCTCCCAAAGACCCCACCTTCTAATACCATCACATTGAGTGTTAGGGCTTCCATACATGAATTTGGAGAGAATGCAGTTGAATAGCTCTTGGTCATCAATCTGATGAGTGACCTGCCTGCCTCTCCCCAGTACGTGAACAGACAACACATGTGCCCTTATAGAGATAGAAGGATAAGAGATGCAGGGAGTGGGGGTGGGGTGTTAATAGTTATTCAGCTCCTGTGTTCCAGGCATCACGTTAAGTACTTCACACACATTTTCTCATTTCATCTTCAGAATTGTCCTATGAAGTTGGTACTGTTCATTTCCATTTTCCTGGTAGGAGTAGTGAGGTTTAAAGAAATTAATTTGCTCAAGATCATGTTAGAGCTGAGATCTGAACCCAGTCATTGCTCCACCTGCTTTTCCCCCCTTAACAGTCCATCTTGAAGATATTTCCACATCAAGGTCAACAGATTTGTTTTATTCTTGTCAATTGCTGCCTAGTACTCTGCAGTGCAAATATCTCATAGTTTACTAACTCTTCTCTTATTGATGAACATACAGATTATTTCCAGTTTTTTCCCAATTTCAAGCAATGGCTTGGGGAGGCTTTGACAGAGGAGGTGGTATAGATGCTGGGTTTTGAGGTATGAATAGGAGTTTTCCAGCCAGACAAGATGAGAAAACATTCTAAGCAGATAGGAGAACATGTGTAAAGGAGGAGGGCCACAAGAGCATGGTACATTTGGAAGACAGCCAGAATTTAGGCCAAAGTCAAGGTGAGGGGGAAAGAGGGAGCTTGGAAGGCAGCCTTGGGCTCATGAGCTATGGTGGATCATTCATACCTGTGGGAGCCTTGGAGAGATTTTAAACAGAAAGTGGCCTGATCAGAGGTACCCTTCGGTCAGAACTTCCTGGAGGCTGTGTAGAGGGTAGCTTGGGAGGAGCACAGGGAGAGGCAGAGAGACACACAATGCTGTTGTTATCCACTAGACCAGAGACAAAGGTGTCCTGGGCTAGGATATGGCAGTGACGGTGGAGAGAAGTGGGCTGGTCCATGAAGAACTTACGAGTTGATAGGCTGGATGTGGGTTTTTAGAAGGAGAGGGGTTAAGAGTCTGGTAGAAGATGGCGATGAGAGAGGTAGGTAGAGAGGACTGTATGTTTCCAAAACCCCACAGGGAAGTGAACTCCAGCCATGTCCTATTCCCTTCCAGACACTGATGAATGCCTTGGGAGCCCCTGCCAGCAGAGATGTAAAAACAGCATTGGCAGCTACAGGTGCTCCTGTAGAACTGGCTTCCATCTCCATGGCAACAGGCACTCCTGTGTAGGTAAGGCCAGGGACCCTGTTGTCTTCATACTTAGGTTGCCAATCAGGAAGACGGACAGGGTGAGCCCAGGGACAGGGAAAGGTCAACAGTCTGGACCTCCTTAGTTCCCTGGAGCCTGCAAGCGCTTGAGCCTTTGCTCAGAGCCTGCCTTTCCCTGGGGTTGGCATGACTCCTAATGGAAGACCCTGTCTTGGACTTTTCCTGGCCACATGCCACTTTCATCCTGTTATGTTTCTCTTCCACCCTCTCCCAGATACACCCCAAGGATTCCTCTCTGCTCACCCATTTTCTTGGCTGCCTTTGCTCCCCTTGGTAAATAAAGCACGTTATGTCTTGGTTCCTCTGGTTTAGAAGGAGACCCCTGTTTTCTCAGCCCATTAGCAGAAATTTCCAGAAAGGGATTGGCATGTTTGGCTTGAGCTTGGCTCATGGGTTGAAGGTGGGGTCCCATGGGCCTGAAAAAAGACCTTGTTCTAGCAGAGTTGGGTGTTTGTCCTGAAGCCTGCCCTGAGCAGTGCAGTGATTTTTTTGAGACTGTTTTTCAGAAGGGCCCACAGCACCCAATACCCAACACTGGGATGGTGGAGGGTTTGGAGCCGAGATTCCCAGTGGGGGCCCATCCCTACCAGCCAGCACTTAATCACTGCTGCACGGTGCTGGAGTGTGAGTCACTGGTGCATCCATTAAATGCCTACTGGATGTACTGACCTTCCAAGGAGACTAGCACTAGACTTCAGCCCCATTCCCAGACATCTGAGTCACGTCATCGCCCTGGGGCAGGGAAGGACCCCGTAAGAACATGGCAGGGAGACTTCCCGGTCTTTTGGGCTAAGAGATGGAGGAAGGATGACTTGGTAGCCCCGACAGCCGTCGGTAGCGAGGCTCTCCCGCAGATGTAAACGAGTGTCGGAGGCCCCTGGAGAGGAGAGTCTGTCACCATTCCTGCCACAACACCGTGGGCAGCTTCCTGTGCACCTGCCGACCTGGCTTCAGGCTCCGTGCTGACCGAGTGTCCTGCGAAGGTGAGCACCTGGCCCCGCCCCCGGCTCTGGGCCCCGCCCCCAGCCTCCCCACTCTCTCCCGGAGCGGGGGGAGGCAGGGTGCCCCTTCCTTCCGCAGGAAGTTTTTTTCAATGCATCTTCTTTGTTATTTCCTCCGCCGAACTTTCATCCTCTCTGTCTCTTTCCCCTTTACCCAACCTTCTTTTATTTTCCTTTCACTGTTTCTCCAGCCCTACTGTTTCCCCCCAAATAGTAAAGGGGGAAAAAACCCCCACCAAAAAACAACCCATGATAGAGAAGCCTTTGATGTAGGAGTCCCAGTAACCTGGGCTCCGCGGGACACTTGAGACAGTGTGGGGTCAGTTCTCTGCCATGGTTTAACAGCGTGCCTGTCAGCGTCTGTGTAATATCGTGTCAATATCTGAGGCGTTCTTTCTAGTCCCGGGGCCAGTTTTCCATGGTGTGACTGCCTGTGTTGGTCTGAGCTTGGCCACCCAGGTTCCCCTTCCCTGCCCAGCCTGTTTTCTCCTGGGCGCACTCTGATCCGTGACTCTCCCTTTCTCCGCGTACCTTCGCCCCACATTTGCCTTCTCTCTCGTGTTGGTCAGTCTCTCTTTCAGACTGTTGGGCAGTTAGTGTCCATCTGCAGGGAAAATGTGTGCTTTCCTAAGCCTGTATGTGAATGTGTGTGTGTTGGGGGAGGCAACAGCTTGTAAGCTGGCCTGTCTGGGGTGGGACGGGGGAGGACCCTGAGCTCTTCCTTCTCCTGAGCCTCAGCATCTCCTCGTGGGAAGTCCCATCTGGGTCAGGGAGCAGTGGACACACTGCTGACTTCTCGGGACACAGAAGTAGCGAAGGGTCATTCCTGGGATGGATCCCTGAGGGCTTAGAGAAGGTCTTCCTGGCTCAGGAAAACCCGAGTCTCCTCTGTGGCCAGCGAGGAGGGGAAAGGAGAAGACTGATTTGGCAGTGGCTGAAGCTTCTGACTGCTAGTATCACCAACTCGTGACTTCAGTCGGCTGCTTTGGTAGTTTTTCATCAGTCTTCTCTCCTGATCGTCACTGCAGCCCCATTAGTCTGAGGTTGAACTGGTGGTGTTAGACCCATCCTGCTGATGAAGAAACTGACCTGGAGACGTTCAGTGCCTTGTGATGGTGGACCCGAGTCCTCGCCCCGCGAATCTTGCCTCCTGCCCCTGCTGCCTCCTTCCAGATGCTCCTGTGTTTACGTTTCAGCTTTCCCCAAAGCCGTGCTGGCCCCATCTGCCATCCTGCAGCCTCTGCAGCACCCTCCCAAGATGCTGCTGCTGCTTCCAGAGGCAGGCCGGCCCGCCCTCTCCCCCGGGCACAGCCCTCCTTCCGGGGCTCCGGGGCCCCCGACTGGAGTCAGGAGCACACGACCACCACCTCCCACGCCTGCACTGCCCACATCCTCCCCTTCTGCCCTGACGCCGCTGCTGTCCACCCCGGTGGCCACCCCCGTGCCGCATCCCTCTCTGCTGGGAACCCTCAGACCTCCCGCACAACTCCAGGAGAAGACGGCGGTGACCCCTCCCTTGCCCAGGGGCCCTGAGACCACACGGCTGGCACCAGGACCTTCTGCCTGTTGGCACCTGGGGGCCACGTATGAGTCAGGGAGCCGCTGGACAGACCCTAGCTGTTCCCAGTGCTGGTGTGAGGTGGGTGTGAGGGGTCCGTGGGGTTTCCCTGGTCTGGTGTCTGGGGCCTCGTGGTGGCTGGAACTTCCATTTCTGCTTCTAGGATGGGGAGGTGACCTGTGAAAAGGTGACGTGTGAAGATGCTTGCTCCCACCCGATTCCCTCCAGAGATGGAGGGTGCTGCCCATCATGTACAGGTGGGCGCTAGTCCAGGGAATACTATGCAGGGTCCTGCCTCTTCCCTTTACCTGCCTTTCTGCAGCTGAAAGACAGTTATCTAACTTTCATATATCACCTGAAGGCTGATCCCTGGGCCTAGCCCCCAGAGCTTCTGATTTAGCAGGTGTAGGATAAGTCCTGGGAATTTGCATGTCTCACAAGTTTCTGGGTGAAGCTGATGCTGTTGGGCCAGGGACCACACTTTGAGAACCACTGGTATCTCTGCTCCCAAGGGGAACGTTTCAATCTTAAGGGCATCCTCTTTTGAGCTTTATTCATTCATTCAGCAGGTTTCTCCAGACCCAGTCTGCAGTCCCCTCCCCTGCCCCAATCCCCCTCCTAACTGCAGGAAGAGTAATTGTTCATAAATTGTATCGCTTTCCCAATTCCCTCCCACTATCTGCTGACATTTTTTAAGTTTGCTTTCACTGCTGTTAGGATAAAGACCTCAAATCTTAACAAGTCCTTCAGCAGAGTGCTTTAAAACTCACCCTACACAGGAATTGCGGGCTTCCCAGGTGGCTTGAGTGGTAAAAGAATCTCCCTGCGATGGGGGAGACCTGGGTTCTATCCCTGGGTCAGGAAGAGCCCCTGGAGAGGGGAATGGCTACCCACTCCAGTATTCTTGACTGGAGAATTCCATGCACAGAGGAGCCTGGCGGGCTACAGTCCATGGGGTCGCAAAGAGTCAGACACGACTGAGCAACTGAGCACACACGCATGCACATGAATCGCTGGGGATCTTGTTAAAATGCAGATTCTCATTCAGAAGATGTAGAGAGAGGGGCCTGAGCTGTTACATTTCTATGAAGCTCCTGGTGATAAGATACTGATGCTGCTGCACTTTGAGCAGCAGTGAAAAAGGCTTTCTAAGGGTGACAATGAAAATGCAACTCAATGATTTTATTAATGATGATTGTTATCTTTTACTGTGTCTCTACTGTGTTCTAAGCCCTGAACGTCAATTGCTGTCTACATTACATCTGAGGTTGTGGCTCCTTCCAGGTTCCCTGCAGGGCATGTGGTGGTGTTTCCATTTAACAAAAAAGACAGTCGAGTCCCAGAGAGGTTAAGTGACACATCCAAGTCCAAGGCCACTCAGGTGACAGGCCAGGTTTGGAACCTGGGGCTGTATGGCTGCCTTTCTTGCTTTATGGGAATAAAGGGCCACACTTTCAACACAGTTCTGGGCTTATCAGACTTGAATAGGACCCTCTCAGGGCACCGTAAGTAGGTGTCTCCTGTGGTTTTCCAGGGGTCTTAGGACCCCACAATTCTGAGTACCTAGATCTGGCCACTGCTGAGGCATCCAAGCCAGTAAGAGAAGGTTCCAGGTACGTTATGCCTGGAAAAGGAGCGAGACCTCCAGCTTCTTCTCCTTTGAAGAGGTTTGATGCCTCCACTCCTATTTGTCTTTCAAAGGTTGTTTTCACAGTGGCGTCGTCCGGGCTGAAGGGGACGTTTTTTCACCTCCCAACCAGAACTGCACCGTCTGTGTCTGTCTGGTGAGCATCCCAAGCTTCCTGAAGCCTCCTGGGTGTTTTCTTAACCTTTGGGGGTTTTAGAGGAAGAGGGAAAGACGGGATGTTAAAGGTGAGCTCGTTGAACAGAGGGAGTGCTCTCAGGCTGTGGATTTGGGTTGGAACTTGTCACATTTAAAAGCATGGGGGATGGAAAGGGTAGTCTGTGGGGTCAGGGAGGCTTCTGCTGAGCAGAAAAGAGCCAACAGGCAAACAGGGTCCATCTGTCTGGGAAGGGGAGGGGAGGGTACTCCTTCGGAAACTTCCTACCAGGGAAGCTGTTTTTCTCTCCAGGCAAAATATTTGCCAGCACAATAAAGGTGTCCACATGGGGAGGGAGAAGGCCCATTACAGGACTCAGCTTGTTAGTGTTTTGCTAGAGGCAAGTGCACTCCTCCAAGAATAGTGATTAAGCTCCTACTATGTGCCAGATGCAATCAGGTGCTGTCCTGAAGATTGGCTCATGAGCACCCAGTGCGCACAAGTCTGGGGGCTTGGTACTTTCCATCTAGTTCCTCACCTGAGGCTCCTGGCAGCTCTTCAGGGTTGGCTTTACTGTCCTCATTCTACAGATGCAAAGACTGAGGCTGGGAGGTGACAGAACTGGAATTTGAGTCAAGGTCTGTCTGCGTCCAAACCCAGGCTCAGCCCACCAGTCCTCACTGCCTCTGATCATGTTTAAAAGTGGCCCCAGCCTGGCAGGGATGATGGAGCCGCAATATAAAATGGGGGAGGGGTGGCACATAGCTACCACCTCCCTTACTGAGCCCTTCCCATGTGCCACACGCCTGTGCGGCAAGCTCTTTTGTGCCTGATCGCATCTTATGCGATCCTCAACAACCCTGGCTCTTCTCACAGGTAGGGAGACTGAGGCTCAGAGAGGTGATATGCTCTGCCCACAGTAGGAGGAGCAGACCCTGGGCCTCAGGCCTGGCTGACTCTAAAACTGGGTACCTTTTTTTGGTCTTAGCTTCAGTTTTTGAAAATTGAGTTTTGAATTTAATTCTCTGGCCATTATCAGTAACTTGGTTCAAAACTCAGATGCACAGGAAGGTGGAGTAACCTCTTCCTTGCTGCCTAGCATTCTTCCGAGAGCTTCTGAATGCTATAGGAGGGAATGACATAGGGGGCAGTGCCATGGAAGGGGAAAGTGCCATGGGGGACAGTACTATGGGGGACAGTGCCACTGGAGGAATGCCATGGGAGGGATACCACGGGGGTAATCAATGGGGGGCAGTGCCATAGTGGGGAAGTGCCATGAGGGGATGCCATGGGGGACAGTTCCATGGGAGGGAATGCCATGGGAGGGGGTGGCATAACAGGGGAAGTGCCATGGGGAGAATACCATGGGAAGGATGCCATGGGGGGATACCATGGGGGTAATCAATGGGGGGCAATGCCATGGTGGGATGCCATGGGGACCAGTACCATGGGGGTCTAGGCTTGTCCATTTTTGTAAGTAAGGCAGCATGCTCTGCTCTCTGTTCTGCCCCTCGTCTTGGAAAGGGGGATATTGGAAACCAAGACCATAATAAACCCTGCTACTGGGTCCCTGCTTGCGTCCCTTGTGTGTCCATGGTGGCACTTAAAGGTCTCGGATGGCCTCCTTTAGGAGACTTTCGTGTAGGAGAGGAGTCCTGTGGGTGGTGTGAAATCGGGACCGAGCTGGTTCTGACGGGCCTGACGGTCCATCCTCCCCGACCCACGCCATCTCTCACCTCCCCAGGCTGGAAACGTGTCCTGCATCTCCCCCGAGTGTCCCCCCGACCCCTGCCAGGCCTCCCCGAAGTCGGACTGCTGTACTTGTGTCCCAGGTAAGGGATTCTGCAGGACGAGGACAGCAGTGTAGGTGGGGGTGGAGGACTGTACTTTGAGTATGTTTTTTTGAGGGGGAGTGAACACAGGATGAGATGGTTGGATGGCATCACTGACTCTATCAACATGAGTTTGAGTAAGCTCCGGGAGTTGGTGATGGATAACAGCCTGGTTGTGCTGCAGTCATTAGGGTTGTAAAGAGTCGGGCACGACTGAGTGACTGAACTGAGCGCAGGAGAGAGCGAGGACATTGATTTCTGCTTTAGCAACTCAGATTACATGAAGCGTTTTAGGGTGATGGGGTTTTTTTTGCTGCACCACCTGGCATGAAAGATCCTAATTTCCCAACCAGGGGATCAGGGATTGAACCCGTGCCCCATGCATTGGAAGGCAAAGTCTTAATCAGGGAAAGTATGGTCTATTGGACCACCAGGGAAGTGTCCCAAGATGCTGGTTTTAATTGAGCGCCTACTGTGTACACAGCAGCTTGGATGCTAGCTTGGGCTCAGAGCCTGGCCTGCCCCCAGACAAGGGTGGTGCGTTCAGCACTGACAGGAAGGGGTTTGGGTCCACCCTTGGCATGGCTCTGTCCCAGCACTAGGAGGGGGTCTCCCGTGCCCCACCCATGAGTCAGTTCTTTGTTAAAATGTGCTTCTCTTTCCTGAGATACTTCATGGCTGTCACTGCTGGCTCTGGGCTGCTGCTGTGTGGGGTGCTCGCCAGCCCTTGATCTCATTAATCCCTGTGGTGCAGCCCTAAGGGAGTACTAGTCATAGCTCCATTTTATGGATTAGGAAACTGAGGCTCAGAGCGGTCATCACTGCTCAAAGGGTGTGCCAGTTAGTAAAGGAGCAGAGCTTGCTCTCAAGTTTACCTGATTTCAGAGCTAGTGTTCTTATTAAATACTGCTTTTCCTTTGAAGTTTTGAATGTTATGTTATTTTTAGTTAAAACATTTTTTGAATAGGCAGTATGCTCCCTTTGAGGTAGGAACTGTTAACCCCATTCTACAGATGAGAAAACTGAGGCTAAGGAGAGTCTAAGTATCTTGCCCCTAGCGAGTTGAGAAGCTAGAATTTGAATCCGGTGCTCTCTGACTGAGCCCAGGTGGAGCCTGGGCAGATTTTTAAGGTTGTTTTTTTTACCAGCAGGGGTGAGGGATGTTCAGATAAGAGGTTCTTACCGAATCCTCCCCAACCCCGTCCAGGGAGTGGTGGCATTCCCAGACCTGGCTGCAGGTGTCTGGGGCCCTCTTTTTTCTTCTTTTCTCTTACTCTTTTAAATTTTTTAAAAAATGTGTATCATTTTTAAAGTCTTTATTGCATTTGTTACAGTATTGTATCTGTTTTATGGTTTTGGTTTCTTGGCATGAGGCATGTGAAATCTTAGCTTCCCAACCAGGGATTGAACCCACATCCCCTGCATTGGAAGATGAAGTCTTAACCACTGGACTGCCAGGGAAGTCCTGTTTACTCTTCAGTTATTCAGGGCTTCCCTGCCTTCTTGGTTAAGGACTTTATTTTGTATGTGATTCATTCTCCGTCAGTTTTTAAGCACTGATCTAATTTTATTAATAGTTGAGGGTTCAGAGGGTAGCAGTGGTTGGGCTCTTGGGTTTGGGCAAGCCGTGGAGTATTGTGGGGGTGCATTTTCTTCCCAGAGACCCTTTTACCTGTTTCTTTAGCTGCCCAAAGACCTTGAGCTGCCTCTTCCTTTTTCCTCCACAGTGAGATGCTATTTCCACGGCCGGTGGTATGCAGACGGGGCTGTGTTCAGTGGGGGTGGTGATGAGTGTACCACCTGTGTCTGCCAGGTAGGGGGATGAGTTGGTGGGTGACGGGCAGGGGCACAGGACTTTTCCAGGAGCCCCTGACTGGGAGAAGAGGAGACACTGGACAGCAAAAGGGAAACTGAGGCAGGAAAGAGACTAAAGGGACCTTAGCATCCCCCACGGCCTTCCCGCAGCCTCCTTGAAGGTTGTCCTTCAGCCTTGTTATTATAGAGCACCTACCGTGCACCTGGGACAATGCTGAGTCCTGGGGACATAGCCGAGGACAGGGCAGCCTCGGATCCCTCCATCAGGACGCCCACAGCCAGGCGGCAGTGGACAGGAGACTGGGGCCCTTAACCAGACTATGGGCTTCAGGGAAGCCTTCTTGGAGGGTGAGGTGCTAAGCTGAGACCTGAAGGATGACAAAGACTAACCAGGTGAGGAGCTGAGACAGGTGTGCCTGCAGAGGGCACTGTGTGAGCAGAAGGCAGGAGGCGGGAGAGAGTATGGCATAGCCTGAGGCCTGGTGGTGTCCATTCTGGCTGGAGGCCAGATGGCGAGAGGGACTGGAGATGCAGCCGAGGCAGGGATCCTGTTTGGGCTGGGTTCCAAGAAGCAGGGCCTGGGGCGGGCCTCTTGTATAAGTGGTTTTCTGGGGGTGGTGCTCTCAGGAGGAACTGGCCAGGGAAGCAGGTCAGGCGGGCGAAGGGGCCACGTGGAGACGGGGTCTCGGGCTGATCCCATTGGGAGCTCTGGAGTGGGAGGACACCAAGGAAGTGGGTGTGTCCAGAGGCCAGGGAGCTGGACTCTTACACCCCTGGCATCAGGTGGTTGTATATAGTCCCTTGCTTCCCAGCGAGTATGGGGGGAAGGAACCTGGACGATGCTGTCCCCATCGGCCAAGGGCAGTGCCTAGGGGACTGATGGGGTCTGTGTGTGTGGGTGACAGCCTCTGCTTCAGACTCAGTCAGGAGGGCTTTGCCAGCCAGGCGGAGGGTTTTAAGTGATGGAGGGATGCAATCAGATTGGTGCGCGAGAAGGTTCTGTGGCTGCAGGTGAGAGTAGGTTGGAGTGGGAGCAGAAAGCTGTTGGAGGAAGCGAGGGGAAGAGATGCTGGAGGCTGCAGCTATGGTAGCCTGGGACCCTGCAGTCACACAGTCAACATGTTCCAGGGACCCTCTCCCGGCCTGACCCCCAACCCCCAGGGAAAGACTCACCCTTCCTTCCCCTCTTGCTCCCTGGAGATCTGTCACTTTCAGGGGAGGAGATGGCAGCCTGCTGATTTTCTCTTGGGCCTCCCTGATTCGTGCCTTTTGGTTCTCTTTCAGAATGGGGAGGTGGAATGTTCCTTCACGCCATGTCCGGAACTGGACTGCCCCCGAGAGGAGTGGTGGCTGGGCCCCGGGCAGTGCTGCTATGCCTGCAGGGAACCCATGCCCATGACAGGTGAGGGCCATGCAGCCTGCATCCCAGGCCGCACCCAGCTCCAGGCCGGGAGGCGGAGAGGGGTGAGGCTGAGCTTCACCCACTGAGACTCTTGTGTGTGTATGTGTACGCTGGAAGCATGTGTGTGTGTGTGTCTGTGTGTATATGCTTGTGTGTTTTAAGTCTGTATATGAGTAGCATATATTGTGTGTGAGTTTGTGTCCATGGTGTCTGTGAGGGGTATCTGCGTGTTTTATTGAGTATAATTGCTTTACAATGTCGTGTTAGTTTCTGCTGTATGATGAAGTCAATCAGCTCTTTGCATACATGTACCCCTTCCCTCTTGGACCTCCCTCCCACCCCACTGCCCACTCCACCCCTCTAGGACATCACAGAGCCGAGGTGAGCGCCCTTTGCTGTGCAGAAGCTTCCCCCTAGTTATCTGTTTTACACATGGTGGTGTAGACGTACATATATATGTCAATGCATATTGACATATATGCATTCATATATACAGACGAAATAGGTTCGTCTGTATCATTTTTCCATCTGTGTGTTTTTGTTGTGTGTCTGCTGCACCCGTATGAGCGTGTCTCTGTGTGTGAATGGGGGTGTTCATGGATGTGTATGGACGTGCACATTTGTGTGTGTGTGTGCCCGTGTATACCAGGTGCATGCTGGGAGGGAAGCAATTGACTAACACGGGGAGCCAGGTGGCAGCTGCTGGGGCAGGGCTGCGTGGATGCAGCGCGAGTGAGCAGAGGCGTCTGTCTGTCCTCCCCGGGCGGTGCTGTGGGTCCCTCTGGCATCAAGGCCACTCCTCGGCACTTCTGCCCACTCATGCTCTCTCTCTCGCTGTCTCCCGCCAGGCTGCTCTCTCGATGACAACGGGGTTGAGTTTCCGGTTGGACAGATCTGGTCTCCCGGTGATCCCTGTGAGTTATGCATCTGCCAGGTGAATGACAACCTGCGCGCCTTCAGCTGCTTTCCCTGCCTCCCCGTCCCTGACAGCACTGCTGCCTCTGCAGAAGGGGGCCACGTCAGGCCCCGTCCCAGTCTCCCTTCCATGGTGTCAGCTCCTGTTTTTGTACAAGATCTGGGATCCAGGTTATTTTGTCCTCCGTAGATTTTCAGGACGGCAGAGCTTGGCAGTCTGTCGTAAGAGTGGAATGTGACCCATGGTGCGTGTGAGGGGAGCCGCTGGTCTCAGGAGTCAGAACTAGGATTCCCGGGACCAGGTTTTTCCTGGACAGGGGTAACAAAGGGAGCCAGGCAACCCGAGGCCCAGTAGCTCAGGCCTTTTCCATGCAACTGTGATGCTTCCTTCATTAACATCAATCCTGTGACCTCACCTCTTCAGAAATGGATAAGGTGAGGGTGTGTGAGTTTGAGAGTCAGATCAACAGAAATGCAAACACAGCTGTTTACCAGCGCAATCGTTTTAGCTCCTGTTTGAGTACAGGTTGGCTTTCCTTTCTACTTTAAAAAATATTAAAAAAAATTTTTTTTTGTCTGCACCATTGGGCATCTGGGATCTTAGTTCCTGACCAGGGATTGAACCCATGCCCCCTGCAGTGGAAGTGAGAAGTCTTAACCACTGGACCTCCAGGGAAGTCCCCAGCTTTCCTGTCTTCTTTGAAAGAATTTTTAGTCCCTTTGAACTTCATTTTTTAAAATGGGGTCCCTGCACTGGCTGTGGGCTTCCCAGGTGGTGCTTGTGGTAAAGAACCTGCCTGCCAATGCAGGAGACATAAAAGACACTGGTTCTGTCCCTAGGTTGGGAAGATCCCCTGGAGAAGGGAATGGCAACCCACTCCAGTATTCTTGCCTGGAGAATCCCATGGACAGAGGAGCCTGGTGGGCTACAGTCTATAGGGTTACAAAGAGTTGGACACGACTGAAGCTACTCAGCATGCACGCATGCACTGACTCTGTCATTGGCATTGCTGGGGGGCCTGGTAGAACCTTGGTTCCACCTGCCCAGGCCTTGGACTCAGCATCTGCATTTTAATCCCTGGGTGACTTGCATGCCCACCAGCTCATGAGAACCTCGGCCTTCACATCCTCTTGATGCAGCATTTGTTAAAAGGCATTAGACTCTTACAAAACTTGGAAACATTTAGTTGGAATTAGAGCGGGCAGGAAAGGTACCTCCGCTGCCTTTTTTCTCCTTCAGGACTGATCTAGGGCACTCAAATTACAAGAAAATCACACAAAAGTTCAGCTTCTTTCGAAAGAAAAGAAACTGTATGGCGCTTTCATCTTCTGAAAGACATTTCCGGTGGAATAGCTTTCTATAAAAATAGGGTTTTATTGTAGGTTTGGGGTGAGCCAGGGTTTCAGGGAAACGCTGAGAGAAGAATTTGGATGGGGTCGTGGCACAGCCTTGGCTACTGGGGGAAGGGACCTCAAGCTGAGGAGACCAGAATCCCAGCTCTGACCTTTCCCCTCTGGGGTATGGGAAGGCTTTCTGGAAGGCTCAAGCCCCCTCTCCCAAGTAGCTTTTTCTCTTTGGGGGAACCCTGATACCTCCCAGCTGCATTATGATGCCCCTTAGCCCAGGTCCTGGCCAATTCGCAGCACTGCCCTTTCTTTTGGAGGGCTGGCAGGGTGGAGTGGGGTGGGGAGGTGGGGACTGGCGTGGCAAGTGGGGTCTTGGTGAAGTTATTCCTTCCTCCAGGCAGATGGCTCAGTGAGCTGTAAGAGGACAGACTGTGTGGACTCCTGCCCTCACCCGATTCGAATCCCCGGACAGTGCTGCCCAGACTGTTCAGCAGGTAATGTTCTGCCTGGGGGTGGGGTGGGGGCAGCAAAGAACCCCCGGCCCCCGCATCCAGGCTCCCCCTGCACCAGGCTTCTCCGTGCAGAGCACCACCCCTGCTTCATCTCTGCTCGTCCTTGCAACAAATCCATGGGACAACCCCATTTTAGAGATGAGGAAACTGGGGCTCAGGGACGGAAAACAGTTTGCCCAAAGGAAGCTCCATCTGGGTGCTGGAAGCAGATATGAAAATGTGCAGAACTCGCAGCCTAGGTGGGGTGATAAATGAACATCCCTATGAGACAATTCTAGAACAGGGAGAGGAAATTAAAGAGATCTTTTATATTTTAATAGTAATTTTCACCTTTTCCATTATTTCACAAGTAATATTTTGTTACAGAACATTTAGAATATACAGACAGCAAAGGAAAAAATTAAAAAGCAGCCATTACCACTTTTAACTTTATGGTTTTGTCTTTCCAGTCTTTTTTCATGATATAACATCAATATCTATATATCTCTATCTCTATAATGTATCTATAATATACATCTATATATCTATCATGTCATAGATATATAGCATATCATAGATATATATTACATATTCTTTTTCTCTTCCTTTCTTTTTTTTTTAACTGTGAAATCTTAGTTCTTCAACCAGGGATTGAACCTGTACCCTTGATAGAGAAAGCACGGCATCCTAGCCATTGAACTGCCAGGGGATTTCTTATATAATTTTTCTTATAAAATGTTTCTCCACTGTCCCACCACCTGCTTTTTTATACTTAGTCGTGTGGGATAAATGGGCTTCCCTGGTGGTTCAGATGGTAAAGAATCTGTCTGCAATGCAGGAGACCCAGGCTCGATTCCTCGGTTGGGAAGATCCCCTGGAGAAGGGCATGGCAACCCACTCCAGTATTCTTGCCTGGAGAATCCCATGGACAGAGGAGCCTGGTGGGCTACAGCCCACAGGGTCTCAAAGAGTCGGACACGACTGAGTGACTAACATGGGATAAATACAGAGAGGGGAGCTGTGGGGGACCCTCCTGGAGGGTGGGGTTTGGGGTTTGGCTGAGTACAGAGGAGCAGAGAGGGTGGCTGTGGCACCCAGGTTGGTTGAGTCTCCGAGTCCTTCATCCTGATCCTGCCGGTGAGGGGTAGGAGGAACGGCCCCCTTCCCCAGGTGAGAACCCTGAAGTGAAGACACTGTGATCCTTTTGCTGAATTCAGTGAGAAAAGTCAGCACCTGATCCAGGCGTGTGTTCTGTCCCTTCCCCCCTCCCCTGGGCAAGTGCCTGCAGAGCCTGTTGCCCTGACCTTTGCTACCCCGAAGCTAGGCCTTGGGCTTCGGCCCTGGCGAAGACCGGCCACCACACCCCCTCCCCCTGCACCCCCCTCCTCCCACCCCTGGCCAGCCCTCACCACGTGCTCTCTCTGGCAGGCTGCACCTACACAGGCAGAATCTTCTACAACAACCAGACCTTCCCCTCCGTGCTGGACCCGTGTCTGAGCTGCATCTGCCTGGTACGACCACACTGACCCTGTCTCTGTCTGTAGAAACTCCCCAGGAACTGCCTCCAGCTTTTGAACTCTGGAGGCAAACATCCAGAGACTTCCAAGAGAACGGTTGCTTCTGGGTCATGGCGAAAGGCGGCTCCCTCCAGCCCTGCCTGGGGTGAATCTTCACGAAGGCCAGAGAAATACTTTTACTCCTGCCCAGCAAACATCTCTGCTTCTGGGTGACCAGGGAGGGTCTGGGGGGGCCTTCAGGTATAAAATGTGGCCCAAGGTTCTCCCTGAGAGTGAAGGTGTGGAATGCAAACCCAGGACTCTGCCCGGAATCTTTAACATACTCACGTTTCTGAGCCTCTGCCATGTTTCAGGCCCTGAGCTCAACACAATCTCAGTTAATCCCCGGGGAATCCTATGAGGTGGGCACCACCACCGTCCCCAGCTGCTGAGTAAGAAGACCAGGCACAGAGAGACAGTCATTTGCTCAAGACTCCATAAGTAGTCAAGTGAGGTGCCAGGAATCTATCCTAGCAAGCTGAATCTCTTTCAGAAAGCACACGTTTACCCTAAGCCATATCACCTAGGCCATATCTTAGTCTAAATGACAGGAGTATCGTTTGGTATTTGGAAAATGGAAAAAATAAGCCCTTATTGCTTGTCATGTTGGATATGTTTCATGCTGATGGGGCTTCTTTGTTGATGGTGGTCTGCTGAAAAAGATTGAGACACTTGGGGTGAACATCCCTGGCCTCTGGGTGACCCTGTTCATTCATAGCCGTTTACTTTGGGGAGCTTTGACTTCTGGGTCCTTTCTCCTAAATTAAAAAAAAAAAATTGATAATTTATCTTTGGTTGCGCTGGGTCTTTGCTGCTGCCCGTGGGCTTTCTCTAGTTGCGGTGAGCAGGGGCTACTTTTGTTGCAGCGCATGGACTTCTCGTTGCGGTGGCGTCTCTTGTTGCAGGGCACGGGCTCTAGGCACACAGGCTTCAGTAGTTGCGGTACATGAGCTCAGTTGCTCCAAGGCGTGTGGATTCTTCCAGGATTAGGGATCGAGCCCGTGCACCCTGCCTTGGCAGGCAGATTCTTATCCCCTGAGCCACCAGGGAAGTCCTTCCTAAGTTCTGGGTGCACAGCTTCCCTGGGTGGTTCATGGCTTGTTCAACAGGTACCTGTTGACAGATGAACTCTCAGGGAAAGGCCGGGCCCTCGGCCCCGGGGGGCTTGCTTTCCAGCAGGAGGACAGGCTTGTACTCGGTCTGTCCCCTCACCATGGACCCCTCGCCTGGCCTTGGTGGCTCCAATGGGCATGCAATGGCCGGGTGGTCTGTCATTCCCGAGTGTCCCTCCAGCCCCCAGAACGAAGGGCCTTGCGAGTTTTCTGTGTCCTGCAGCTGGGCTCCGTGGCCTGCTCGCCCGTGGACTGCCCCATCGCCTGCTCCTACCCTTTCCACCCTGATGGCGAGTGCTGTCCCGTGTGCCAAGGTGAGTGGGACCAGCCGCCCTCCCTCCAGGACTCCCGGGTGGGCCTTGGCTCTCACAGCTCCTGTCTCCTCTGCCCGCTACAGACTGCAACTACGAGGGGAGGAAGGTGGGGAACGGCCAGGTGTTCACCTTGGACGATGAGCCCTGTACCCAGTGCATATGCCAGGTGAGCTGGCCCTGGAGACCCCGGAGCTGCCCAGCCGGGGGTTGTTTCTAGCCTTTAGTCCCTTTGCCAAACCTGGAGCCTCTTAGCCAGTGTATGCCCATCTTCCGCCCGCCGTTTTGCAGCTTTAATTACCTGTGGGGATACCTTTGGGTTTGATGGTATCCTTTGCCTGTATAGTTTCCTTAAGGCAGCCCCGCTGGGTCTGGCTTCACCAGTTGTTCAGGTGAGGACCAGGCCCTGCAGCTTCTGCCCAAGACCTTTCCGTGGGTCCAGCTGCCGGAGTAAGAGTTCCTCGAGGGTGCTGCTCTGGGCAGGTGAGATGCTCTTCTCACCTGTCTCCTTCTGTTTCCCCAGCTAGGAGAGGTTACCTGCGAGAAGGTGTCCTGCCAGCAGGCCTGCTGGGACCGCACCATGCCCCGCAGGGACTGCTGTGCCTCCTGTCCAGGTAAGTGGGGCTCTGTGACCTGGAGTCTTACCACCGTCTTTTTCCCATTCTGCTCTTCTCAGAAACACAGAACTTGTACCAGGCTGGATATGGCAAACCCAGGCTCAGAGACGGAATGTGGCCCACCTGAGGTCACAGAGCTGGCACACGGCATGCCTGGGCCCACGCCTGGGCCTGCTGACCCGTGCCTGGGCTTTTTATTCTGCACTGCGCCATGCCGTCAGACGGTCTGTTTACTGTTCCTTTTTCTTCATTTCCTCCTTTCTGAGTCTCTTCCCCTACTTCCTATTTTGTTTCTTTGTGCTTTTTTTTTTCCTCTGTTTTCTAAATCCTTTCTCTAAAAATTAGAATTTAGGAACTGAATCAGTTTTGCAAAAGAATAATTGCTAATATGTATTGAGTACCCTTTATTTATCAGGGAACATCATATATTATTATTTTTTAATTGATGTATAATTGACACAACACCTGATATTTGTTGCAGGTATACGACATAATGATTTGATATTTTGTATATTGTGGAAAGATCGCCAGAGGAAGTCTAGTGAATATTTCCCTACACACAGTTACAATTTTCTTCTTGTGATGAGAACTTCTAAGATCTAATCTCTTAGCAACTTCCAAATATAATATTTCAATACAGTATTATTAACTGTAGTTATGTTGTACATTACATCACCATGACTTACTTATTTCATAACTGAAAATTTCACCTTCTGATCGCCTTCACCCCTTGTGCCCATCCCTCACCTCCCATCTATGTCAACCACAGGTCTGTTCTCTGTATCGATGAGCTCAGCTTTTTAAAAATGATTCCATATATAAGGGAAATTATATGATATTTATCTTTCTCTGATATATTCATTTAGCATAATACTTTCTAGATCCATCCACATTGTTGCAGATAGTAAGATTTCATTCTTTTCTGTTGTTGAGTAATATTCCACTTTATATATATATTAATACAAGTATATATATATAAATATATACAAGTGTATATATATATGTATAGACCCTGATGCTGGGAAAGACTGAAGGCAGGAGGAGAAGGGGATGACAGAGAATGAGATGGTTGGATGACATCACTGACTTGATGGACATGAGTTTCAGCAAACTCTGGAGATGGTTAAGGACAGGGAAGCCTGGTGTGCTGCAGTCCATGGGGCTGCAGAGTTGGACACAACTGAGCGACTGAACTGAACTGATATATATATGCACACACCACATACTGATCCATTTTTATCTTTATCTATTGATGAATACTGAGGTTGTTCCCATGTCTTGGCTATTGAAATAATACTGCGATGAATCTGGAGGTGCATATATCTTTTTGAATTAGTGTTTTCATTTTCTTCGGATATATATCTGGGCATAGGCTTCACTGGTAGCTTAGCAGGTAAAGAATGCACTTGCAATGCAGGAGATCTGGGTTCGATCCCAGTTGGGAAGATCCCCTGGAGGAGGGCATGGCAACCCATTCCAGTATTCTTGCCTGGAAAATCCCCATGGACAGAGCAGCCTGGCGGGCTGCAGTCCACGGGGTTGCAAAGAGTCAGACACGACTGAGCGACTGAGCACACACGCATACCCAGGTGTGGAATTGCTGGATCGTATGGTAGTTCTAGTGTTAGTTTTTTGAGAAACCTCCATACTGTTTAACGCAATGGCTATACCAGTTTCTGTACCAGTTTACATTCCCACCAGCAGTGCATGAGGGTTCCCTTTTCTCCACATCCTCACCAATGCTTCTTATCTCTTGTCTTTGTGACAGTAGCCATTCTAACAGGTGTGAGGTGGCATCTCATTGTGGTTTTGATTTGCATTTCCCCAATGATTAGTTATGTTGATCATCTTTTCAGGTATCTGCTGGCCATCTGTCTGTTTTCATATGTGTTATTCCATCCCCTGTTCACAGCAAGTCTTTGTGATAGGTTCTCTTGTGTGTGCTAAGTCACTTCAGTTGTGTCTGACTCTTTGCAACCCTATGGATTGTAGCCTGCCAGGCTCCTCTGTGCACGGGATTCTCCAGGTAAGAATACTGCGTGGGTTGCCATGCCCTCCTCCAGGGCTTCTTCCCACCCCAAAGATCGAATCCGTGTCTCTTTCATCTCCGACATTGGTAGATGGGGTCTTTACCACTAGCCACCTGGGAAGGCCCATGGGCACTCTTAGCATCCCTATTTTCCAGATGAGGAAACTGAGGCATAGAGAGATGAAGTGAGGTGCTCAGGGTCACACGGCTGATTGGCAGTAGAGCTGGGATTTGAGCCCAGAGTCAGTGCTTTTAGCTACTCTGCTGCATTAACTCCTGGACATTATTATGATCTCTATGTCATGAGTGTTCATCCATGTAGATCTTTTTGCAGAAGTATAAATGAGATATGGACATCCTACTGTAACACATGCCTGTGTGCATGCTAAGTTGCTTCTTTTTGATGCTACGAACTGTAGCCTGCCAGGCTTCTCTGTCCACGGGATTCTCCAGGCAAGAATACTGAAGTGGGTTGCCATGCCTTCCTTCAGAGGACTGTCCTGATCCAGGGATTGAACTCACATCCCTTATGTCTCCTGCATTGACAGACGAGTTCTTTACCACTAGGAGCCCCCACACAGTTTCAAAGAATTCATGTAGCCCGCAGTTGGCCGTTTAAAAAGTTCCCAAATGTTGTGGTTTGCTTACCCCTTGCGGTTTTGGCTGACATTTAGGTGGTCTTCTTCTTCTTCTTCTTTTTCTATCCATAATGGACCTACTGTGAAACATCTTTGATCAGACACTATTTTTTCCCAAATATGTGAGTTGTGTTCAGACCCCGTGGTTAATAGGTGGAGTAAGTGTGTCACAGGGTGTCAGGAGTGGTTTGGTGATTCCCACGGCATGACAGCATGTTACCAGAGGGGGTCCTGGAGAAAGAGTAAGCTTACAGAGATGGATGTAACTGGTTCCCTATTTACCCACCAACTCTCCACTGTGTGTTTTGAATTTAATTTTTCCAGTTTAGCATGTCCGTAGAGTACCTTACATGTGGCTGTTTTGCACTTTTTTAAACTTCTAGGAGGACAGTGAATTTTTCCACGGATTTGTGGCCTGAATTTCCTCTTGTATAAAAGAACTCTTTAACTCCTTTGACCTTTTGAAGAGGACATTCTGTATTTAGAGCAGCTCTTCAGATTTGTGGATGAGCAGCTGCTGTCAGGACTGGTGGGATTGGAAACATTCTGATCCCATACAGTCATTAAGTTGGGAACTGTTGCGTGATTGTAGATTTGACTTCAACCAGCACAAACCCCTCTGCAAGCTGATGGCTATTATTCCCCCAATTTCTAGAGACTAATCATTAGCTAAAGTGCCAGGCAGTGTATGGAGCATTTTATGTTTATTGTTTCATTTAAATGCCCCAAGAATGTTCATGCATTTTGTTGTTCAGTCACTCTCGTGTCTGACTCTTTGCACACCAGGCTTCCCTGTCCTTCACTATCTCCCAGAGTTTGCTCAAACTCATGTCCATCGAGTCAATGATGCCATCCAACCATCTCATCCTCTGTCATCCCCTTGTCCTCCTCCTCCCTTCTGTCTTTCCCAGCATCAGAGTCTTTTCCTGTGAGTTTGCTCTTTGCGTCAGGTGGCCAAAGTATTGGAGTATTCAGCATCAGTCCTTCCAATGAATATTCAGGGTTGGTTTTCTTTAGGATTGACCAGTTTGATTGCCTTGCTGTCCAAGGGACTCTCAAGAGTTTTCTCCAGCACCACAGTTCAGTTCTTTGGTGCTCAGCCTTTTTTATGATCCAGCTCTGACATCCATCCAAAACCACAGCTTTGACTACACGGACCTTTGTCAGCAAAGTTCATACATGGGTGCTCTTATTATCTCCATTTTGTAGATAGGGAGGTGTCGGCTCAGAGAAGTTAAGTTTCTGTCTTTTTTTAAAAAAATTATTTATTATTTATTATTATTTTTTAACCATGTCACCAGGACTTCCCTGGTAACTCAGACAGTAAGGAGTCTGCCTGCAGTGCTGGAGACCTGGGTTCCATCCCTGGGTTGGAAAGATCCCCTGGAGAAGGAAATGGCAACCCACTCCAGTATTCTTGCTTGGAAAATCCCATGGATGGAGGAGCCTGGCAGGCTACAGTTCATGGGGTTGCAAAGAGCCGGACACGACTGAGCGACTTCACTTTCTTTACTTTCTTTCTTTACCCAGCCTGTAGGATCATAGTTCCCCAACCAGGGATCAAACCTGGGCCCCCAGCAGCAAAGTTGCCAAGTCCTAATCACTGGATTGCCAGGGAATTCCCGAGTTTTTGTCTTTAAGGCCATGCTCTAGGTGATGGTGTCCTCAGACTCAGGGCCAGGTCTCTGATTCCTCACTCCCTGCTCAGTCCCATTCTGCTCTGCTGCCCCCTGATGGGGAATCAGGCCCCAAGAGGCGAGATGCAGAGCTCACCCGCCTCCTTCTCCTTCACCTGCATCAGCTGCAGTCACCTCTTCCGGATGAGATGCATTTTTAAGATGTATTTCTGCTTTTTACTGAAATACAAGGTGAATTGTTTCCTTTGGATAATTTAAAAGAAATACACAGCTTACTTGAGATATAATACACACACCATACAAGTAACATACTCAAGGGAATGGTTACCCACTACCATATTCTTGCCTGGAGAATCCCATGGACAGAGGAGCCTGGTGGCTATCGTCCATGAGGTTGCAAAGAGTTGGACATGACTGAGTGACCAACCAACACTTCAATTCATAGTTGATGTACAATATTATATAAATTTCAGGTGTATAACATAGTGATTCACAATTTTTAAAAGTTTTGTCTTGATGATTTTTAAAATTTAATCATCCCAATTTTTAATGTGTTTGCCAGCCTCTGTCTCCTCCCTTGATCATACCTTTTTCCAGTAGTTTTTTTTTCCTTCCGCCATTGATTAAGTCATTATGATGCTCTGGACTCCAGGTTGCTACTTAAAAACTGATTATTTTTCAGTAGACTTTTTTTTTTTTTTTTTAAAGAGCAGTTTTAGATTCAGAGCAAAATCAGGCAGAAGGTTACAGAGAGCTTCCCATGTACCTATGTCCTGCCATCCCCCAGGCACAGCGCGCCCTTCCCCCACATCATGGTCAACATCCCCCACCAGATGGTGCCCTTGCTACAACTGATGAACCCACTCTGACACACATTTGTCACCTGAAGCCCATAGATTACAACTGGGTTTAGGTGAGCCTCTCGGGCTCCATTTCATTCAGTCTTCACTGCATGGCTTCTGTGGTCATCACTGTTATTATGAAGCCCATTTTACAGATGAGGAAATGGAGGCTCAGAGAGTTAAGAGCCTTACACAAGGTCACATAGCCAGTGCCTTTGGTGCACTGCCTCTGTCTGTTCATGGTTCCTCTTGGGCCTTCCCTTCCTGGAGGCAGGAGCTGGCATGTCCCCCGCCCCCCTGGGCCCCCAGCTGTGTGAGGACCCTCAGAGGACACATCCGGGGCATCGTCCTGGGGCAGCTCATGCTGGACCTGCCTCAGGGAGAACCACTGTGCATCTTCTCGCCCCCACCTCTTTCTCTAGAGTCCCTGGAGGAGAGCCGGGCACTCTCCCCTCGTGGAGACGTGGAGCTCAGCAAAGCAGCCCGGAGCCCCCGTGGAGACCCCGAGGCCCCCGTCAACTGCAGCTCCTGCCCAGGGCCCCCACTGGTGCCCCCTCAGAGGCCAGCGCTCCAGCTCCTCCAGCTCCTCCTGAGAACGAACCTGTCTAACACCCAGACTTTACCCATGAGCCCCTCAGGAGCCCAGGCCTCACCCTCACCGTCTTCGAGGCCAGGGGTGTCCGGGGCCTCCCAGCCTCCTCAGCCCTCATCGGGGCCTCCGATCCCTCCAGGAGCCTCCTCTCTACCTCCAGCCTCTCCCAGGGCTCCCGGATCATCTCCTTTGACTCCAGCGCTCCCGTCCTCCGCCTCCGGGGCCCACTCAGTGTCCAGACGGCCTTCTCTGCCTGCCGCCGTCCCGCGTGGAGCCTCAGCCCTTTCCACGACAGGCCCCGGCGCCTCAGAGACCCCCGTCACTGTCCTCAGGCCTCGCAGGTCCTCTCCAGGCACCTCCAGACTCTCTGCAGCCCTCGCGGCCACGGCCAGCCCCGGCCCCCGGCAGCCCACCCTGGGGACCTCACAGGAGGAGGAGTCCACGGTGTAAGCAGGCCTCCGCTTCAGGGTCATGCCTGGGACACGTGGGACAGAGAAGACTCTGCCGGCGGCCCTGGGAGCTTGCAGGGCCGCTCTGGGGACCAACGAGGCTGCTGATCCCGCAGGACTCCTGGTGGCGCTGGAAAATGCTCAGGGCCTGATGTAGCCTTGCTCCCAGGAAGCATTTGGGATGTGTTGTGAGAATCCGGCAACGTGTTCTCCATGGTCAGCCTCCTGCCTGGGCCACGGCCCGCCTGTCTTTTGAGAAGGGCTGGGCAGCTGAGTCCTTGCTCTGCAGGAGGAGAGGCCGAAGGGCCTGGGATCCCACTGGGACTGTGCTACCAGGCGCCGCGTGTCCTCACCTGGGGTTTCCTGATTAAAATCTGTCTGGTCTCCCACAGGCTGCCCTGCTCATTCACTTCTCGCCTTTGGAAAGTGAGAAGTCACTGCCTCATCACTGCCAAGCCCATGGGGGATGAACTCGCGCCCACCTCAACCCCCAGCTTGGAAGGAAAGCCTGCGTGGGCCTGGGGCTGGGTTGGGAGGGGTCTTAGGTGAGCACCTGGTGGCCTTTGATTCTGGGGCACTTCTAAAGTGAGGAGGGGGAAAGACAGATGGAGAGGGCTTTGCAGGATGGCTTCCCTGGGAGGGAACCTCTGAGATGGAGTAGGAGGCAGGTGGAGTCTTAGGGCCTGTGCTCAGCTTTAACATCTCTGGGCGCGAGGGAGAGAAGCAGGAGGCCCAAGGGGTGGGGCTGGGCAGTGCCAAGGTCTCAGCCATCCCTCTGTGGAGCTCTGAGGCTGAGATGGCCCTCAGAGTCATCCTGAGTTGGAGCAAGGGGACAGGGCTTCGTGCTTCCATGTTGACCAGTAATTCTATCTGGGCCGCTTCCAGAAAGGGGCGTCAGCCAGGGCATTTCCCTGTGAGGGCTGGTGGCCCAGAGCTGCCACCCAACAACCTTCTTTCCGAGTGGGGGAGTAAATGTGTCCATCCTGAAGGGGGCATCTGGGTGGTGCAGCCCAGTTTCCATGACAGTTAGAAAGAGGACGGTGCTGTCATTGATGGGGAGAAGTGAGATGGGGGTGGAAGGCAGAGAACTCTGGTGTCACCAAGTCACCAACTTGCTACCCCTGAAACCCAAGAAGGCTGCATAATCACCTGCAGCCCCCAGTGCACGGACCCCACTTGTACTGGCCCAGGCCGTCCTCCCCTTGGGTCTTCCCTGCCCTGGTGTTCACCATGTATCCTGGGAGGAGGATCCCCAGTGGTTATTGACTGCAAAGGCCATCTGGGGGCATCCAGCCCAGATGTCGGTGGAGTTGTTTAGTCGCTATGTTGTGTCCAACTCTTTTGTGACCCCATGGACTGTAGCCTACCAGGCTCCTCTGTCTATGGGATTTTCCAGGCAAGAATACTGGAGAAGTATATAATTTCCTTCTCCAGGGGGTCTTCTCTACCCAGTAATTGAACCTGTGTCTCCTATATTGCAGGTGGATTCTTTACCGTCTGAGCCGCCAGGGAAGCCCTCATGTTAGTGTAAGGAGGGGTCCTAATCCAAGCAGGGTGGCAGGAATAGTGAATTTGGAATTAGGAGCCTGAAGACCAAAGACTTTAGAGATGCAAAGGACTTAGAGACCATCAAGTGCAGTGAGACCCAAAATGTGTGGTAGAATGAACTCTGGGGTACCATGAAACCCAGGTTTGAGCCCTACACTCTGACTAGCCATGGGACCTGAGGTCTTAGTTCTCTCATCTGTATAATGGGATTATGACAGTCCTTCCTCCTGGAGTTGAGATGGTTGGATGTGACATAGACTCCATATGTCTCTGTGCTTTGTGGTGGTGACACTGTGCAGCCTGTGGAGCTTCACAGTGCTACCTGGGATCTAATTTCAGGATGAGAGTGTAGAACACCGGCTGCCCCTTCTCAAACAAGCCAGCTGTCAACATGGTAGAGGCTCAAAGTCAGTGCTGATTTTCTCATCATTATCCCTGTATTCAACAAAGGATGCGACTTAAGTTTTAGTACTAGTCTTCCCTGTCCAGAACACTCTCAAGTATAATAAATGGTATTCATTTTGAACATTAAAAAAAAAAAAAGGCTGAGGGGTGGGGGAGTGGGAGGACAGCTGTGAACACTTCCTCCAAGTTGTTCTAAGTATAAAAACATACTTATTTGAGACTCCCCGATCCCCTACTTACAGCTGAGACCACAGAGGCCCAGAGAGGTCAGGAGAATGTCCTAAGGTTGCACAGATGAGGAAGCCTGAGCTGGGAGGAGGGCCCAGGCTTCTGACTCCCAGTCTGGGCTTGTTTCCTTTGCGTGGCATTTCTCTGGCTTCTTCCATTGGAGTTGCACAGAGGCAGTTGATGGCTGCAGTTTGTGTGAGGGTGCTGTGACCCCCTTGTCTTAGTTTGAGCTCTGTGAGAGCAGAACCGGAGAGAGAGATTGGGTGAAAGCCACTGCCCTGGAGGTGATCGCAGGGAGCATGGTGGGGATGAGGAGGAGGGAGAGAGAAGGGGAGACAGCCAGTCAGCTTTTGTTAAAGAGGGGGGAGACAGCCAGTCAGCTTTTGTTAAAGAGTGGGTCACTTCTGTAGACCAGTGGCATCCTGTCCTGTGGACCCGCTGGGAGGTTGTGTAGCACACGCTTCAGAATTGTCCCCCAAAGCCCTGAGGATGTCACTCTTGTCCCTCTCTTGCTCGTGGGCTGTCTGCTCCCCATTGAGCCCAGCTTCCCCACCCAAGGACCATGCCTGCCTCCTGTCGGCCTGGCTGGGGGAAGGGAAGGAGGGAGTGCAGGAGCTGTCGGCAGAGCACTCCACCCCCATCCCCCAGCTGGGCCAGGGCTCTTACTGCCCACGCTGTGGTCACCGCAGTCCCTTCTCAGGACCCCCGGGGTGGGGAGGCTTGTGCTCTCCCCACCCCTTGTGTGCAGGCAGTGCCAATTGAGACATGTGGGGAGGCCCTGGGGGGACGTGGTAACAGCATGCTCTGCCGGCAACGAGCCCAGTATGATGCCCCTTGCCCAGGGCTGGCTGGCATCAGCAAAACCACCTTCAAGGTCCCAGATAGGCACAGAGTGCGGATTGGTGCTTTTTTTTTTTCTTGTCACACCACTTGGCTTGTGGGATCTTAGCCTCCTGAGCAAAGATTAAACTGGTCCATGACAGTCAAAGTGCAGAGTCCTAACCATTTGACCACCAGAGAAGTCCCTGGCACAGAGTGCTTTTCGCCAACAGATGAACTGTCTGAGCTCTCAGCAGCCTGCAGTCCAGCAAGCGGGGGTGGGGAGTGCTTGTTCTTGGGTGAGTTCATCCTGCACTCCCTCCTAGGAGTCGACCTGTCTGGTTCTGAGAAGCAGTAGAGGACAGGGAGGGTGGGCTGGAGCCTGTTCCCCCGGGTCAGTTTTACTGGATCCAGGGAATTCCAGAAGGGTCAAATGATCAAACGTGGTTCAAGAGACTTGCTTTTGGAGTTTATTAGATAAACACTGGGCTTGAGGACAAGCCACGGTAGGTTTCAAATTGGGACAAACTCTCTGAGGTTTAAAAGTACCTTTCATTAACTTATTTTCAATGTGTAGTAAACCACATCATTAGAAATAAAGATCTGTAAAATTGTATGCGGGGCTTCCTTGGTTGCTCAGATGGTAAGGAATCTGCCTGCAATGTGGGAGACCTGGGTTGGACCCCTGGGTCGGGAAGATCCCTTGGATGAGGGCATAGCAACCCAATTCAGTATTCTTGCCTGGAGAATAGTGAGGCATCTTCCCTCACCACATCCACCTAGACACCCCTCCCTTGCCACCCCTTTTGTGGTTTCGGGTTCTTAGGCACCATTTCTCTGTTTAAATATGTGCAAGCAAATCTAATTCTCTTTATAATCCAAAGATAGAATAGTCTAGGCTCCGTTATCACCGGCTGTTTAGCATGTGTGTCTTTCTCACCTAACAATCTCTTCTTGAGATCTCTCCTTCCCATCCCTAGCTCGCACCTTCATTCCTTTGCTTTTGACAGCTGCACAAGGGCTCACAGCAGAAGCCATTTAACCATCTCCTGGGGGTGGACTTTGGGTCCGTTCAAATCTTGCTCTTACAAAAGATGCTACAGAGAATAACTCTGGCCTTACATCATTTTGCACGTGTGCAAGTCTATCTTTAAGATGAATTCCCAGAAGTGAACTTGTTGGGCCAAAAGGTATATGCCTGTCTGATTTTGATGGATAGTGTCAAATGGCAGTCCTTAGGGGTTGTAACAATGATGCTCCCACCAGTGTGTACAGGTATCCGGGAGGGCCCAGGTTCCCCAGATCAGAGCAGAGACCTATGAGATGAAAATAACACTCCTGGGGAATTCTCTGGAGGTCCAGTGGTTAGGACTTGGCACTCTCACTGCCATGGGCCTGGGTTTGATCGAACCCATGTTGGGAACTAAGATCCCACAAGATGCATGGTGCAGCCAAAAAAAAAAAAAAACCCATCAAAACACTCCTGGACAAGTATGAGTGGAAAGGATGGATTGAGCTGAGCTTAGACCCCCAAGGCCCTCAGGAAGTGGGGAAAGATGGATGGGAAATGGGCCTGAGACCATAGAAACAGAATGTGAATCCATCTTATCTCGTGGAGGGAAGTGTCAGATCAGACAAGTTAGCTCAGGGTTTTCTAGTATGGATGATCTAATGGGGAGCCTTTTTAGACTCTGTCTGGATCCAGGAGTCCCAGGGTGAGGGAGCGGGAGAGGGGCTGGGAGGGAGTGGCTGAACTGCAGCTGCTGGGCTGAGTAGGGAGAACGCCGCGGAAGAAGCAGGGAGGTTGGGGCCAGGAACAGGAGAACAGGAAGGGTCTGGGGAGACCTGGCTGTATCCCTGGAGCCTAGAATACTGCCTGGGGCATGGGAGGAGCTCAGGAAATAGCAGAAACACAAACACAGTGAAGAGCCAGGACACGGTGAAATTCACCCCCAGAAACCTGAGAATACACCTGTTTGTCCCAGGACCAACTATGATTAG